TCTACGTCTTGGAACATGTTGGGAACTCGATATTAGTTTGTATATAAGAAGTAATCTTGCTGCATCCATGTTATTATTGCATGGCCAAGCAGACGATAAAAAAATGCTGATAAAATGTTTCTCAAATAAATGTGCTCGAACCCAAACTTTTCACGTGTGTATCAGATCCCGTCTACTTGACATAGCGGTTTGTAAATTCAAATACATCTCGACTGACATAATACTAGTATGAGAACAGATTTCGATATGCAAATGGTCTAGACGGTGCTCAATTCGCTGTTTCCGCTGTTGGCCCACAAAGTCGGCTGGGCCGGGATGGTGTTGGGTACCCGCTGGCTTTGATGCTCTTCAAGAGGTGATTAATAATAGGTGTCGCATAGGTGATGTCAGAGGAAGCCGTAATGCAAGTACCACTGGTCAGGCCACCGAGAAACTCATAATCCCTGTTTTTGCAAAGTGTAATGCACTCAGTGAGAAAAGTGGGGGGATCACTAGCACCCCAAGCATAGCAGACCTTAGTCACACCCAAAATTGATGAAAAAGCCTGAAAGTGGTTAAAATACTTAATTGTATTTTTTGGACCTACACAATTTTGTCAGAATAATGTAGTTTTATTGACATATGTTTTGTGTGGAAATATAAAAATATGTTAATAAAATTACATTATTTTGACAAAATTGTGTAGGTCCAAAAATACAATCAAATATTTTAACTACTTTCATTACACTTTGCAAAAACAAGGATTATGAGTTTCCCGGTGGCCCCCTGACCAGTGAGACTTGCACTACAGCTTCCCCTGACATCACCTATGCAACACCTATTATTAGTTACCTCTTGAAGAGCATTATATATATGATACCTAGGTGAAAGCTTGACAAAACCAGATAAACCCGGTCTCTGCCAAAGCAGCCATAATTCTCCATCCGGATGTGATAAGGCTTCCTTTAGTGTCCTTGGAAGGTCTGTGTTAGATGGACCGGTACTTGCTATTCCAGCAAAAAATGTCTCCTCTGTATCAGATGTTTCTTCATGAACCTCAGGAGTGTTAGGTTTCTCCATGGAGTTGTCATGCTGCTCTTTTTGAGACTGTTCCTCATCTAGAGTCCTTTGATAATCTCGGTTTTTGTCTGCAGGACAGGTCTGGCGACTGCTTCTGCGTACTCCTAGGACTTCAGCAGGCATGACTGCTCTTTTAGGAACTTGTGCAGGTACTCCAGGGAGTAGACACATTTGTGTATTTGTTGCCCCACTCACTCCTGAAGGTGTTGAATCACTCCTCGGAGGCGTTGGATGACTCCTTGGAGGTGTTGTATGCCTTCCAGAAGCTGATCCAATGGACAGGCTGTCTAGTTGTATTCGGACTTTTTCCACTTCAGCTGGCTGTATGTTGAGGGACTGTCCTCCCACTGACTGTAACTCTACTTTGGCTTTCCGTTCTGAAGATGGCCAGTGTTCAGGTCTTGGTTGTAGAGACTGTTGTGGAGGGTGTCTTAGTTGATCAGGTGCTCCCACTGCTCTCAGAACATCTTCATGCTAATATGGTTCCATTGCTTGTGGAACATCTCCTTGGAGATGTGGTTCTATTTGCAATTCATTTGGATCTCGGATCCAAGGGTCAGGATCATCCTCCTCCAATGTATTTTGGTCTGGATAGTGAGCATTCTCTGGAATAAGTCCCTCCCACTGATCTGTGCTAGTGTCTGTGTTCCAGGGAGCAGTGTTGTCCTTTTGTACCTTTCCGGATTTATTGAATATGACATGCTGGAAAACACAGTTTGTTTTTCAGTGTCTAGGAGTTTGTAGGCTTGCTTTCCATGTGTGTAGCCAATCATTATGGCTTTGCGCCCCTTGGAGTAAAACTTCCCTTGCCTTTTGTCTTTTGGTATCAAGGCATATGCTTGGCATCCGAAAGGGCGGAATAAAGTTGGATCAACTCTCCTTTTAAACAGTATTTCACATGGGGTCTTTCCATGGAGTCCTGATGCTGGGCTGCATGCTGTGATATATGCAGCTGTTTGCATGGCTTCTACCCAAAATAACTTTGGGAGCTTGGAATCATGGAGCATAGTGGTTGCTAATGTAGCCAATGTCTGATTTATGCATTCTGCAATGTCATTTTGTTCCGGAGTATCTGCAGCTGTAGTTTCTTGGATGACACCATCTCCTCGGAGTTGATTTTTGAATGTATTTCCAGTATATTCTCCTCCCCCATCACTCCGGAGGAATTCTGTGTATAGTGGAGTGAAGTTTTCTTCTCCCAAATTTGTTCGGAAGAATGTTTGGACATCTTTTTTCCATTGCTTGTATTGTTCCAGTGCTTCACTTTTATGTTTTAGGAAATATATCCATGGAAATTTGGAGAAATCATCTACAATGATAATCCAGTACCGGAAACCCTCCCTGGAGGTTGGTTTGATTGGTCTTCCAACATCGGTGTGCACAATTTGTATGGGGTGCTTGGCTCGGTTTCCTCCAGTGGACTTGAAAGGTAATTTCTTCATCTTTCCTAAAGCACAAGGTTCACAAAACTCTGGGGTTCCAGTAAGGGTGTTTATGTCCTGGAGCTGTCCTTTTGTAACCATTCATTGCAAGTGGTCCATTCCAATGTGTCCCATTCTCCTGTGCAATAAATTTACATCTACTGCTGCAAAAGCTGACTCCGGGTTGATTTCGGGTTTTGCTTGGATGTGATAAAGTCCTCACTTGTGTAAGGCAGTGAGGATAAGTTCCTCCTTTTTCCGAACTTCACAAGTGTTTGACCCTGCTGGAAAAAGTGTTGATAACCCTGTTTTAGACAATTTGTGGACAGAGATGAGTGTTAAAGTGAAGTTTGGCACAAGTAAGACATTTGACAGTGCAATATTGTAGTTCTTTTTGCCAACAGTTGCTTGTAGGATTACTGTTCTGATGCCAATGGCATTTACAGAGGATTCATCCCCAAAACTGATTGCCCTTGGAGGATGCAGAACATGGTATGTTCTTGGCTCAAACCAGGAGCGGTGAGGGACCATGTGGGATGTTGCTCCGGAGTCAATAATAATTGTTGTTTTGGTCTTATCGGGTTCCGACACAAGGTAAGCTTGGATGTGTTTAGCAAGGGGCTTGGAAATATGTACATGTTCCAATGCAATATGACCCTGTTCCTCCTCGGAGTCAGATCCAGATGATTGCTCTGCCGTATTTGCCTTTTCCTTCTCTTTTCCTTTATCCTTGTGTCTTTCATTTCCCTTCTTCCTTTGACCTTTTCCAGCTGACTGAAGTATTTGACACTCCAAGGTGTTGTGTGATTTGGTTTTGTGGAAGTCACACTATTTCTCCTCGGATTTGAGTGCTGATCCGGAACCTCCTGACTGTCGTGCAACTTCTGCAGTGATCCGGATCTCAACTGCATCAAAGGTAAGTTTATTTTCTTCAATTGTGTTGATTACCAATGACTGAAATATTTATCATTCAGGAGTGCATGGGAGAGATTGGAGAAGGGCGAAGGCCATGAGTTTGGTATCAACTCCTAGTTTCATTCCGGAGAGGTGTGAATCAATTGTCCGGATTTTCGCAATGTGGTCCTGGATAGGTGATGTCCCATCCCAGGACAATTTGGTGAGTTGCTGGAATGAATAGAAGGCCGAGGCAATGTTGGATGTCTGATGGAGTGAGACAAGTTTATCAAATATCTCCTTGGAGCTGGTGAGGTCTCCAGTCCTCATTAGGAGGGCATCAGAGATGTGGTCCTGGATGATTCCATGTGCCTTCTCATCCTTAAGTATCCAGGTGATTTCAGGATCCTCCAAGGAGGTAGGTTTTCCTGGTGAGGGCTTAAGCTCCTCTCCAGTAACAACCCGGAGAACTTTTTCCCGACGTAGCTTTGAGATGATCCAGAGTTTCCATATCTGAAAATTGTTGGGTCCAGTGAGGACTGGACATGCGGATGTATCATGTGCTGTGGTCATGGTTCTGAGGTTGCCATTTCAAATAATAATTATTTCCTGCATAGCTTTTGCGCACCAGGGCTCATAGCCTAATAAAACTAAGTGAAACTACAATGGATGTTAGTTTAAGGTGATCTCTAATAAATGTAATGTAACATACCTCAGCCGCTGCCCGAGAGGCTATAGAAACGACTGAGGTATTTCTATACTAAACCCCCTACTACTTATAGTCGGAGGTGCTACTTGCTACAGTATAATGACTCCTAGGAGTACAATTGTGCTCCTAGGAGAACAATGGTGACTCCATGGAGTGGTGGCTATACTCCATGGAGAACAATGGCTGCTTTGGCAGAGACCGGGTTTGTCTGGTTTTGTCAATACTATTTCCCGCAATCTCCCAATACCACATCTCCAACAACAACTCTCACTGCGGGCTTTGGCTTATTTAAGCCCAGCTTGCTTATATCCTGAAAATATTCAATTTTAGTTGTTTCTAGCCAATCAGAACCCAGAACTCCCATATTTTCAGGATATAAGCTGGACTTAAATAAGCCAATGCCCGCAGTGTCTAAGCCTTGTATACATTCCCATACCACCTCATCCCCATGTCTCCTGTGCCCATGCCACCTGCTGGGCTCATTGTGCCTGCCATGCCTGTACCTGCTGTACTGCTATATGTGCATGTAGTGATGAGTACTCAGATCACTAGGCCTATGAATCAATATACATGATGGTTTAGGTTGGAATTATGTTGGTGGAGGTACACCAAGTTGGAGCTGATTGCATGTCAAATTCAGCATGGTGAAAGCAGACAGAGTTTGCAAAAAGATACCTGTTCAGCCCCCCAGCCAAAATTCTTTTGATTTTAAGGATAAGCCATGGTCACTGAGCTCAAAGATGAAAGAAGGCCAATGTTAATATGATTCACCGAGCAAATTGGATAGTGGGGGTTGTGTTGGATGGCTGATGATGGCAGAACTGAAGAGAAACACAAGGTGGAAAGGACAGACTTTATACTTATTAGGAGTGCTCAGTGCTATAGCTATCCGGAATTGGTACTACAGACATGGTGATTGACCAAGACTAGATGATCAGTCCCCCCACATCAAATTCAAAATATCAAAATAAAAACATGGTATTACCTGATATAGGATCTTATCCGAGATTATTCGCGTATTATTAAGGATTTCACGGAAAAAATACAAGTTATTATTTTACGAGAGTGTCTCCTATCCAGAATGTCATCAAGAGCTTATACTAATGTCATCGGGGACTGGCATGTATCCGTGGGAACAGATACATAAACACTTTCTCAACCACATTCCTTTCCTCGAAACAACTTACGATAACCCACATCGCCCGCCGTTCAGATGACCTTCAGCACCATAGTTGTCGATAAAGTTTTACCCCTTCTAGGGCGCCGTCGCAGTCACAAGGTTCGTGTACAGATCGCAAGACTGAAATCTTCGTATATGATTCCCAATACACTGTGGAGCCGGGTTATTCTTGTCCTGTTCTGTTGGTGCCTTATCTTATTGCTGCGAGCCCTGGCTGGTATCGGTTCCCTCGAAGACAAAGCGTGTGTACATGTTGCAGGACGTCATTTTTTACCCAGGATGCAACAGGAATACTCACCGGACCGTGGTCTGATTGTACGCACGCCCAGAGCCCAAATACCAGACAGCGCTACACGCAAGGCAGCGGATTGGTACAAAGATGATCTCGACATTTCTCTTTTTGCGATTGCCCCACAGGATGCTTTCCCCACTCCTACCACCCAGAAGATGCGGACTCTTACCAGAAGTTCATCTCCCACTCCGTCTATAATTGGCATTCCTCCAGCTTACAGCCCACCACAATATATCTATAACCTATTCGATTTGGATAGCTTCAATACCGCCGTGTACGATGCTCGAATAAATCTATCCAGATTTTCCCCAAATCTTATCGACAAGCCTTTGAACGACAGTGCGTATCGCAGAAGACCTCGTAAACGTCGCTATTCTCGACAAGATTGAAACTATGTAACGGATCTTGTATCGAGTCCATGTCTTGGAATTTGTCTTTTTTTGTGACAGTCTACTTTGTCTGGTAAAATATAGAAAGAATGTTTATACCACATGATGATGAATGCATCTGCAAGAGAGTGGAACGTAGTGCTTTAGTAACAGTCAGTCTGGCTTGGGAAATCTAAGTGAAGGTGAGCAAGTCACATGAGCGCATAACTTCCTAATAAAGTCACTTGGTTCACTTTGGTGATTCGTTCCCAGGGTGATTTAGACGCAGACCTTTCTTTTACAAACTTGAAGATCCCAAAATTCAGCATTGCGAATATGGTCCGCTCAAACCCTCGTTCTCCCCCTCTTTCTCCAGGACCTAGGTCAAACAAACGAGAAGATAATTACTATCGAAGGAGGGAGCAATCAAGACGGGGGTCAGAAGAAGGTGAAAATCACAGACGAGCGAGGTATAATGGAAACAGAGAGGACGAGCGACGTGATAATAGACGCAGGCGGGACTATGGCAGGCGGGATGACGAAAAAAGAGACAATGACCATCGCGGGCAGGACCGTCCATCTTCGCGTCGTGACTATCCAGACCGTGACAGGCGAGAACGGGACTCTGGTCGAGAAAGAGCAAGAGATCCTAGTAACCGTGACTCGCGTGCCGGCCCTTCACGACGTTCTGCATCTCCCAGGAGCCGTCCTCCTCGTCCTAGGTCAGCTTCGCCTCCCGTTTCCAAATCACCTTCTTCTGTAAACAAGGCAAAACCAAATTTCTCGCAGTCAGGACTGCTGGCAGCGGACACAAATACTGTAAAGGCAGCTGACGGAACAAGCACGATCTTAAAGTATAACGAACCTCCAGAAGCAAGGAAACCCCATCTCGGGTGGAGGTTGTATGTCTTCAAAGATGGGGACGAAGTTGGTAAGATATCTCTCTTATTCGGAAGATGATCATTGTAACTGATTTGCGTCATGTGCTGTTCAATAGAGTTGCTTCATATTCACCGCCAAAGTGCCTACCTTATAGGAAGGGACCGCAGCGTAGCCGACATCGCAATTGAACACCCCTCCTGTTCCAAGCAACATGCTGTCATCCAACGTAAGTTTTCACCCCTTGATATTACTTTATCTTGTCATATCCCCCCCAGACCGACAGGTGCAAGAGAAGAATGAGTTTGGCGAATCTAAGCCTGTCATCAAGTCAGTCGTAATCCTCCAATGGCATTAACAGAGCATACTTATCAGTAACCTAGACCTTTTATAATCGACCTCGAATCCACGAATGGCACACATGTCAACGACGAGCCTATCCCTGCATCTCGGTTCTATGAACTGAAGCCAAGTGACGGTGAGCCGCTTTGTCTGCTTGGCTTTGCGCTTCTAGCTTTGCATCTACTTTGCTCCACATTCTGACCTCGTTTTCGTAGTTATCAAATTTGGGCTGTCAACTAGAGAATACGTTCTTCTGCACGATGAAGCGACCTAGTCACGTGGCCTCCTTGACGTGCATGTTCAATTCCCACCACATCCCGAACAGGGCAAAAGACGGCTGACTTTTTGGCTATTTTATGATGGTTTTCGATTTTGTTGTGTATGCTTTCGTATCGTAATAATTTAACCACTGGCCTTTATGGTGATTTTCCTAGACGTCTGCTGCGGATATTCAGACGAGCAAAGTACTCAACCCACAAAGAACGTATGAAAAGGCTTCTGTGAGTATTTCTTGTAACAAATTAGAGACTAGGAGAAAGGATAATATTGGTAACAGCTCAACCTATTGAGATCACGAATAAAAAGAATAAAAAAAGACAAGACAAGTACAGTGAGACTGAGGGTAAAGTATAAGATATAATACATAAGTTCCAGCCCGGGTATAACACACAGCATTGCTTTGTTATTAATCAGGATGAGCCGATGTCAGAAATACAATGTTGCAGGAAATTCGCTAGTCGTCAAGACGAGCAAGAGTCTGCAAGAAATCACGATCGGTGAGTGCTGTCGTTTACTACATAGTATCACATCACGTAGGCTTACCATGTCATGTCGTTGCGCCTTTTACGCCTTCACTTTCTAGTCGTAAGAGGTAGCGAAATTGTTGAGGTCTCCTATGCAAGTGATATTGTGGTTATCTAGATGCCGTTTGAGCGCATCACGCCTGCTGAACTCCTTGCCGCATCCTCCGATCATCATCCGCCCTTGGAAGTCGTATGGCTGAGCGTCCTCAGGGATCACATAGGGTCCAGAGAGTTCTAGGGCTACGCCACAACACACCCACAGTGCAGGCTGTTGGAACCGCGTGTGGGTGCGAATATGACGTTTCAAGTCCGGTGTGCGGTGGTTCCGTTGAACCCAAGAACAGTGAGGGCAAGCCCAGGGATTCGATTTGGTTGGTCGTTCAGTTGCAGACGATGCGATATTTTCGAGGGAGGCTTGGACGTTCCGGGGTGCGGGAGAGAAGCGCGGACGCTTGGCTAAACGCTCAGAGGTCGAGACCCCTGATGCAGGACGCTTACGAGATGATGATGATGATGATGGAGAGGTGCCTTGTCGCTGATAGGAGAGTGAATTTGAACGGCCGGAATGACGGCGCTTACACGAGTCCATATGGGGGGAAGGTATATACTCATCATCATCGACATCATCATCGCTTTCACCATCAGCATCCTCGTCTGAGTCATGAGCGGCGGTGAGAGAAAAGGCAGGAGTATTTACACGGTTGGAACGTGTTAGCGGTTGAGCGAGAACTGAGGGGGATATGCTGCTTGGGTCTTCCTTGGAAGCTACCTGAGCCTCCTGGTAGTGATGCTCGCTTTGATGCATTGGAGTGACTTCGCGAGAATATGGTTGGAAAGCGGGGGGTAAGTAAGGCAAGTCTGTATGCTGTTCATACTCCTCGATGGGATTGAAGTCCTGGCTAGAATCATGTGAGTGAATATTGCTACCATTGAAGGAATTATTAATGACATACAAGCTTGTTGTATTCGCGTAGGTATTGGTAGCATCTGATACAGAGTAGTGAGACTCTGCTTCTAGAGAAAAGGGTTCGACATCCGAATCTGAATCCGACCCAGAATCGACGTTTAAGTCGTAGTTGACAAAGTCACGCGGAGGTGAGTTTGAGGGCGAAGACGATGAGGAAGATGCGCCAGAAGAAATTTGCGAAGGTGGGCTATTGACGGATGGGAAGTTGAAATATAGAGCGGAGGACTTGTCCTCGGTTTCAAACTGAGAAGCAGTCTCGGCTAGCCAGCCCATATCATCGGTCTGCGCTTGCAGTTTGTCGTAGAGATTTATCATGGACTGACGGCGGTATAGAGTGGAGGATGCCATGGTGAGGGGAGAGATTGGCAAAACATAAGTCGCAGATCCTAAGGGATTATATAGTATTTGCGCATTTCTTTCTTCCAACCTGCGAAAGCGCGACGGAATGTCTCAGCCGACCTCGTTTTTGTTGTTTTCGGCAACTCCGACGAAGCACCCCTCCATATTATCACATCGAGGCTGCCTTGTTGCATAGGTTACCCCAATAAGACATGCCCTGACCGTAAGATTGGCGTGTGGAACAGAACAAAAGCCGCTTCCATAGATGTGATCCTTATCCTTATAGAAAGAAGCCGTGAGATATAACTGCGATATTCCCTTTATCTACAGCGGCGGCACGGTTACTTGATCTTATATGATAATGTGATTATAAAAAGTGGTACGCCCTCGATGCTGTGATCTTTCCACGTGGAGCGCCTAGTCCTCGGCCCCCCAGTGTACGATCAAGCTTCCGACGGCAGTTACCACAGCACATTGCCCAAGACCAACGATAATCTAGGTGTGTCCATAACGGTGCTTTCTCCTCGACTCTTCCATCTTAGTCTCATGGCTCGCGCAAGGTCGTCAGCGCCTACAACAGCGTCAATCGGAGACCGGCAAACGAGCGGTAACAGGGCAAGTCTTTTGTTCATTAGCCTTTGTACGCTGGAAGATCTATGGCTTAGCGATTAACGTTCTGCACAGCCTTACACGTCTGCCGAAATACACGACTCTACAAAATAGATTCGTCGTGATCGCACATGCTTTCATCGTAACCAAAAGACATACAACGAACAATGAACGGAGTTTTGTGTCCATCGATCCTCGTTAACGTGGTCCGGTACCTAGTATCTGGACCAGGAGACAATGTATCACCGACGAGCTCGAAGTCTTTAGCATGATCGCGATTTCATTTGACGGTTATTTCATAGATAAGCTAACAGGTGCAGGACGTTCCCCTACAGCAATCAGACATGAAATTATCCACGACGTACCATGCTGGACAAGTGCTTCAGTTGGAATGCTTGTATGCCGCTTTCTCGCACCTTTCGAGCATTCACAAATGTAAGTTGTAAGTCGAATGACAGAGGTCGGACCGGCTCCAGAAACACCCTTGAGTGCGTATATTAACTGAATATGGAACTTGGCCTCGTGTCAATGGAGGATACCGGGATCTCAGATGTCTACTTGTCCATCCTTGTCTGCGGTGCAGCTCATTGCACCCGTCGGCGAATTCCTCTGGCACGCCTCAAATCAATATATGTATCCTTTCAGTAGTCGTGTTGAGAGATTTGTCAAGGACCCTTCTGTGAGAGCTGTGAAATAACGGATATCACACAAGGGAGAAACACGAAGCAATTCTCATAACGGGGGACATACACGTTGCCGCCGCTCCTCGCGGTCAGAGTTCTCTAGATCAGTACTGTCTGGATGTATGATTTGATATGCAGCTAAGGTATTAGGATAGAGTATACTGTCTCGTGGTATCAACTGCCGGGATTGCGGCGTGGCCAAACCATTAAATATACACTAGCAAGGTCTAGGTATCTCGCCGAGAACGTATGCGTTTTCCATGCTGCACGGAAGGACCCCGCCTATTAGGACGGTTATTACAAAAGTCGAACTTCAGAAGGCTAAGAACGCACCCCCGGATCTTTTTCCTCGGTTTCGGTTCGTGCGCAAACTCCTCAAGAGGTTGGTTTTGCCTGTACTTTTCCATGCACCACATTATATATCTGTTTTCCCGTCTCAACTGCTGACACAAACACAATACACTTGCTCAGAAGGTAGGCGACTTACCTACGGTCTCGCACCGACACCCCAGATTTACGAAGATCCAACCCCGAAGTTTTCCATAATGCATCCCAGTTATCAACTGATAGCTTAGTTTCACATGAACGCCCGATTGCTTTTAGGAACTCCTGAGGCGTGGTGATAGTGCCTGTGAAGACATGGGCGAATTAGGTCAGGAGTGAACGACGACGAGAACGGCAACAATGACAAGACTCGCCATTGGTTGGTGGGACTAAGCGAAGAGCAGCCCTGTTCTGAAATGACCTTGCGAAGGCTGGTGATAGACGTGCTAATGAGGATTTCAAGCAAAAAGACATAACGTGCGGGTTGCAGGTGGAGAATTCAAGTTTTTGGCGAGTGGTTATGGATCACGTGACCTCATAAATGGTGAAATTAACTTCAGGTGCAAATGCTCTGTCGTCCTACAGCATACAGCATTCATGCAAGATAAATTTACAACAGCCAAGTGAAAACAATACAGAGGTCATAAGCGAAATGAATCATCACATACCCTACCATGTAAGGTAGAGTCAAAAGACCGGAGCATCTCTCAAAAACAGGCGCCCTTCTTCCTTCTTAATCCATCTTACCACAGCGTTTGCAGCACCGATGACTGCGCTCTTCGGAATACGAGGAGACAATGCAATATACAGCTCGAAGGGCTGCGTAATCTGCCGGCGAAATTAACAAGTTCAGCAAAAATTACATACAGCATCAGCTTGATTGGCTTACCCAGCCCATGACACTCTCGTTCTCTGTCAGTATATACTGCAGCTTGAGAGTTTCTTCCTGCCCAGACTTGGCATGGATTGCGTCGTGAAGAGTCTGATACAATGTGACAATCCTACACAGAAATGAGCGCTTGAAGCGAAGAAGTCATGTACCATGCAAAATGATATTACCTCCGCCTCTCATTAAGGTTGTCATAAGGTTCTTCGAAAAGAGGCACAGTGATCTGGACATGAGGCCTTGACTTATATACAAAATGGCGTAAACCAGGCACTCCCAGTTCCGATACCGAGTATTCTGTCAATCCGGTATGTACGGCCTTCGAGATGGCGTCAAGAATGCCTTCATTATCAAGTTTCTGAAAACAGTGCAGATGTTAGAAAACAATACAGCAAGGACTCATCTCGTGAAATACGAACGGCAGTCACTGTGTCGCACCAACCACGGACAGTTTCGAAATCGCCACCGCCACTTATGCAAACTAGCGAAATTGCCGAATCAGGTTCAGAGGCATTCGGTGCGAGTCTGTCCTTTAGAGCCAACGAACGACGATTAGGACGTGTACCTTCAAAAACCTTATGAATACTTGCTTCGTCTCTTCCTTCAACATCGCTCTGGCTACTTCGACCGATTACTTCTGGAGGTACTGCATCACTGGCTCTTCTTAAAAATGAAATGTAGGCGTTCACAAAGCCCGATGGGTTGAATTTCGGGAGGCACACGGGGATCCACGATGCAGACGCGGGAGAGTTGAATATTGATGGTGAATGAATAGTGTTCATAAGAATGTGGATGTCTTATTTGTGATAACATGTTGTGTGTAGATCAATGATAGGTTCTCCATGTAAAGGATACAATCAACGTCTACGCACCTGCTGGATGGATTGAGTGTTTCTTCGGCCTGACCAGAGTGATAACTCGGCCTTGGGCAGAAAGAATGATGTACAAAATATCCTGCAATAGCCCTGGTAAGTCAAACGTGACATATGCAGGTTGAACCTAGAAACGGAACCTTCATCTTCGTTATTGGAATTAAGGACTCTGCCACACGCGTACGCAAAGTTGAGTCCAATCTAAGGCAGTGGAGGGATGAAGTAGCCATGGCTAGATCAAATTCCATCCGGCTCAGAAGTGAAAAGAGGAAATTCTCTGCACCTAGCTCACCCCATTAGTCACAAGAAATTATCCATCAATGGGACTAATATTTACCATTAAGGAGACGTCTTAAGTCAAAATTTGTTCGACGTTCGAATATCCGTCTCAGTTGAGCAGCAGTAACAACACTGAGTATTTGTAAATGTAAGTATTCGAGATGGGACCTAGTCTTTCTTCGCCAAGTTAGTGATTACATGAATGTCCTGCACAGAACAAGTCGGGACATACAACAGATTCTGGCTCCCCCCACGAAGACGCACATACATAGTAGAGAGGTGACCGTAGTAGAAAGGTGATCCGGAGTTTTCCAGCATTGATACAACGCAGCTTGTCTGAGTCATCCAGAAAGACTGATATCAGAGCCTGAATGATACCCATTGTGGATGATAGCGTATCTGAATCCTCGCCTTCTGGTCGGCTGAATAGAAAAATCACAGTCACAGGGTAATACAACTAACACGAGAGTCATGATAACCATGATACCTTGTGAAGACTGGTTTTCCAGCGTCTGTGAGGACAAAGTATTCCCGAGGTGGATAAAAAGAAGCTACTACCACTTGATGACTTTAGATGGAGCAAGGATAGACAGAAGTGTCGACTTACCTGTCTCTGATGGCTGAACAGCAATATCGGGTTGTTTGCCTTTCCGCCGCTGAGAAGATACATCTGAGAGAATACATCTAGATTCCCGCCTCGATGATGTACTGGTTAAATTACGGGTGCTTACTTGAATTTGATCTCTTGCTGCTCAAGGTGCGCCTCAACTGATCCCTCAGGTTCCTCTTCGATTCTTCGTCATCGGCTGTAGTATCTGTATGACCGACCGCGATAGCCTCTTCGCCGTTTATGGTGTCCACCTCGGCGTCTGTGTCCTGTACAAGAATTCCTTCACCCATGTCCAAGTTGAATACAGATGACGCCGAACTTTCCAACCCTTGACCTGGTATTTGTATGGGTGGAGCCAAACTGGAAGGGCCCGACTGGGAACAATGAACATTGAGATTGGAGACGGAGGGATAAGAGTGAAGGGCAGGCGGAACGACCAGCCTCGAAGGAGACCGCGGAAGAGGTGTGCTGCTGCGAGACGGCGTTCGAGAGCATGGCAGTGACATTTTTATAGTATTATAATAGGCTCGAGGTTCGGATATGAGCACGACGACAAGCCTGAGCCTGACCTCACTGTAGAATGCGACAAACTTGCATTCGGATTTGCCGTAAACCTCGCGGTCTCACTTGAACTGGCACTGACAGCTATTCTCAGGCTCTTTTTACCTTGTAACTTTGCTTAGATCTCGTATTGTTGATACTTCGCAGTAAAAATTGTCGAGAACAGCAACCCATCCTGCACGAAATTTATTGTCTTTCCCCCGCTCAGTGGACTCGCAGCTAACATTCAGATATTTCAATTTCGCGCATTTGGACGTCCATTGTGGTCATGGTGACTGTGGGGTCTAGGAATACTACATCCGCTAAAACAAATGTGCCGTCTTTGGAGAAAGGAGATCCGTGGTTTGACGATGGCAACATTGTCTTGTTAACAGAAGAATCTAAAGTTGCGTTCAAGGTCCATCGTGGCGTGTTAGCCAGACATTCCGAGGTCTTCGAATCGATGTTTGCAATACCACAACCAGACGCAGACCTCGAGCTTTACGAAGGATGCCAGGTGGTCCATATGTATGATATACCCACTGAACTATCGGATCTTGTCGTAGCTCTTTACGACGGGGTGTAAGTCGCGTGCTTTTTTTCGCGCCCACCAACTATACACTGATAATCTCCATTTCTGTCAGTGTTTTTCAAACTCGAAATATTGTAGATTTCTTCTATCTCGCTGGTATCTTGCGCCTGTCTACGAAGTATTTTATCAGCCATCTTCGCACGAAAGCAATTTTGCACCTCACTCAAACTTGGTGTTATGCACTGGATGCCCACGACAGAATGATTCAGCGCGCTCTTCAGTCTCCAATCACCGATGATATCACTTTCCCTTATGCTCACCCTCTCCACGTCCTCAATCTAGCACGCGAGGTGAATGTACAGATCGTCATCCCATCGGTCCTTTATTACCTGACTTTGTACCCATTGGCCGATATTCTACGTGGGGATCATCCTAAACTGCTATGCGAGCATCCGTCCAGACCATCTTGCCAGCTGTCTTCTATCGATCTTAAGGACTATACTCTGATGTTCCAACATCGCTGGGACCTGATGCTTCGTTTTGTTCACGAATTCTTTGGGGAAAGGTCTGCAGATATGACTTGCCTGAACGGACAAGCTAGTTGTACAAATGGCTTTGCTCGGCATGCAAATCGACTTTCTCGATCCTGGAGGTCTAGGACCTCTCCGTTGCATTATATGATGCAAGCTACGCAAGAACTGGTCAGCGACGTTAATATCTGCTTCGTATGTCGAAAAATCTTTGAGCGAGACGCGATCGCTCTCCGTCAAAAAGTGTGGGACGAACTCCCCACCGTTATCGGGTTGCCCACATGGGAGGAGCTAAAAGAGATGGATCTACCAGTCTGAGTACGCCTCCCGCGTTCTTGGGTTTCGAAAACTATTTAAACTGCCGCTATAGTTCCTCAGGAAGCAGGTGTGAGTCGCGTCTAACTCGAATATGAATCCCTAGAAAGTGAATATTTACTTCAGCTCGTGGAAAGCACTAGTTTCAACTCGAACGACACGCTACAATCCATCGCCTGTCAGTATCCTTCCTTTGACATAAAAGCACGATCGCAATCACATTTCTATATAGCTAGTACTTGAGTGCACAATTGAATTTCCTGATATTACGAGATGTTACAGCAATTCTTCAATATACGAGGCTGGTGTGCCCAATCGAGTTCAGTGTCTCCCCTGTGTTGTCCAAAGTCAAATGACTCGTGCACATCGGATATCATACTTGCATATTCCATAGAGTTATTTTTGTGGTTGGTTTGAACTTTGACAGCCACCTGTTAAGTAATAAAGCAAGCATCTTCCAATGCTAATCGTGCTTGAGCATTGCAACTAACATTTAGTTGGATCAAAATTTAAATCTCAGGGCGAAAGCACATGATGCAGTAAAAATACCTGGGGATTCAATATATATGTATATTCACGTACTTCCGACCAAACAGCTTTTGTTCCGTAGCCAGTCTACGGTAACATCCTCCAAGTGATCATCGAAATCGCCAAACTTTTGATGAAGTTTGCTATCGCGAACAAGTTGTACAGCTTGGGATGGCGAGTCGTCCCTTTCCAGAGTAATCACAGAACCAGCACTGAAAGCAGGTGGTTGAGAAGAGTACCGCCGCCAAGATGATGTTGAGCTTTGCGTCAGGTAAGGCTGAATGACAATTGTCGTTAGCTGCGTACTGTCTTTAATACATGGACGACCAATGAAGTCTTACAATTAACGCCGGTTCGCCTGAGCCCAATTTCGTTCCATCAATCTGTGAAAACACGTGAAACTTCAGGGATCCGTGTGATAACGTTAACGATGATGGAGCGTACCACCAAAGCAATGGTTTCTTTGAATGTCTCTGCAATTTTCCCAGCCACTTTCTCTCCGACGGGTGCCAGAGCTGTATCATCTAACCTGTCGCAAGCTTGGTAATAGCCCACTAGAGTGAGACCTACAGATTCTGCATGACCTTTTGCCTATGTCCCAGCAGTGAAACTTAATGTAGATTGGCTAATAAAGATGTGGAGCTTACTCACAAGATCGAGGCCAATTTCCATCATAGGACTGAGACTCGTCCAATGATGAAGTAAAGGTATTGTGTCTTCGATCAAAATTTGGCTAGACGACGGCTTTCCCAGCAGAACGCCATTGACAGGCTGATGAGGATATTTGGCTGCATGAAAGAAAATCTTCAAGTATGCTTGATGAGATATACAGTATGAAACCATGACCAGTAAGTTATCAAGGAGTCCCGCCACCGTCAGACTTGGTATTCGAAACAAACTCTTTAGCGCCACCGCCGCGGCTGTGTCCGGTAAGCACATGTACTTGACTACTCTAAAACGACTGATATTCAGCGTTGATTGAGTATCTTCATCGTCATGCGATATATGCCACAAAAGGATACTATTAACACTAGTTCTTGATGAGGGCTGTCAAACCGTTGATCTTGAACGGCCCAGCCGCTCAGCGACAAGCAACTTGGATTCCAACTTTTGTATGGTATCGTTCAGTATGTATCGTATCTAAGTGTGCTAATATGATATCTCTATTAGACGTATTTGTTCCACTGCGCTACATACAAGTCATGTGTAGCCCAGAAACAGTAACTTGAATATTATAACTTGTTTAGCTGATTTGCCAAGGAATCCTACCTCGCATCAACCGGCAGTATTCTTCAGAATTTCGCTGTGGGGTATGCAGGATATAGAAGCGATATCTGCCACTTAACTGCGTAAGTAGCGTCTTTGACACTTTCTTTGACCGGTACAAGTATACCCGGCAGTTATTGAAAGTTGTTGGTGGGGCCATTCACACACAAGCACACACGTTACACTCGAGACGGGGGAGCCAGAGCCAGACTGTCATCATATATCACGGACCATCGTCGCTTGGGCACATAGGATCAAATCAGAGCTCGAACACGAAGGTCACCTATATGCTGTCGTTATGCTTATTTTGCAAGTTTGCGCAGGTAAAGGTCACAGGTCGATATACCGATCACAATTTGATTCACTTACATGTACGGCTATTAGACAGCGTGATTTACATATCATATAGCCAATACTATGATATCAAGAACCGTCGAGAGTGCAGAACGGCCCGGTACCTGCTATAAAGCAACGAGCATGAGTTGCTAGGAGTATATCCTCTCTAACTTTGCACAAGTTTCTTCCATCATTCCAGACTACAATGAAACTCACTGGCTCTTTGTCAGCCCTTGCTCTCGCTGCCTTCTCACTGAAGACAGTATCAGCAGCTAATTCTTTCGCTGGCTCAAACCTTTATTACGCTGCTGGTCTGGATTCTGCCACGCGTGGAACACTGTTAGAGTGAGTGCATCACACACTTCATGCGATTTGAGCAGTGTTTAAACCCACATTCTAGTGGTTTACAGAGTGCGGGTATGAAAGTCCTCCGAGTTTGGCTTGACGGGCAATCTACTACACAGAAGGTAGCGGTCTTCAAAGCTTCAACTTCTCCATTGCATCCATCACTGACTATGCGTACTTTTGTTTATAGGGAACGAACATTGACCCTTTCCCCGATCTTGAACCAAATGTCATCGGAACCTATAACGACACTGTCCTTGAACGGCTGGATGACTTTATGATTGATGCTCAAGCTCATGGCATCAAGGTTGGTTGTTTTACTTTTTCTTGTGGCGGCCTACTCATCCCAATTTCAGTTGCTCATCAGTATGCATAGTTTCAATGCTCTGCAAGCTGGAGACGTATACGGCAAGCAGTACGGCACTGGCTACTTCTATGAGCAAACGCAGCCTCAGCAGCAATTTGATGCTCGTCTTACGCACGTTTTGAATCACAATCACACGACTCTTGGAAAGCCCTGGAGCCAACTCTCTGACTATATCTTCGCTTTTGAGGCCGAAAATGAAGCGATGATTGGTCAAGGCCAGACTTATATTCAGGATCACCAACAATGGCAGTGTGACCGAGCATCCACAATTAAGGGAGTCTTGGGTTCCAACAGCAATGTATGTTTTGTTCCCTCAGATCATGTTTGATTGTGACTTATTTTCATTTGAAGATCCTTGTCGTCACTGGAGGCGAATCTTGGATGGCAGAATCAGTCCAACCTAATTTCCTTAATTGTAGTTCTCTCGACGTCATCTCCATTCACTCATACGGTACTGGTGACTTCGCCACCAGCAGCATCCAGACCTACGTTCAGCAAGCTCAGTCAGCTGGGAAGAAGCTTCTCTTCGAAGAATGGTGAGTTGTTATTTTAAAATATATGCTGCAGGCGCTTAATTTTCCTTGTAGGGGTGCTTGCTATTTCTCCACCTCGAATAATAACTGTCCCACTGGAAGTGCCCTTGACGCCGACACCCGCAACTCGAATATCAAAACTTGGGCTAGCCAAATTGACGCCGCTGGTGTTCCGTGGCTTTACTGGCAAGTCCTTCCCAATGCTGACCCTCATGTAAGTGCACTGCCCGTTATCACCAATCTCTACATTTCGCTCACTAAAAATGGCCGATACTATAGCAAGATCAGGACTTCGAAGTTGGTCTTAATGATAGTTCGTGGAGCACTTTGCAAGCGGCAGCGCAGGCAGCACTCCAAGCTACTGCTGCGTTTGATTACTCGAGCTATCTGCTCTAATTCAGAATGGCTCGCAAAACACTTCTCTCATATAATATATTTTGTGAATCAGTACAGCACGAAATTTACTTATATCGGGTTACGGCGTTCTTTTCTCTATCCTTGATATTTTTTTCTGAAGGCTACCTCAGTAACAAACCCTGAAAATATCTTGCGGTATTGTGGGTTAAGTAAGGTTAAGTATGTACGGTTATGTGTCAGGTTGCCGGTGGGAAATAACTGGGGAAATAAGATGTTTGCAAGTCTTCGAACTTGCAACCGAACACACGACCGACCTTTTCTTTCAAGTTCGTTCACGTTATGGATACTGCTCCTGGAATTTTCACGGTCACGTCTGCCTACTCTCTTGCTGGAGTTGCAGCTATAGGAGCTATCGCGTACTCTGGAGCAAACTCACTGCTCCCAAAAAATGCGAGATGGCAGGACCGTTTCACGTTCATCTGGCTGGTAAGTACTAATGTCGCGATTTCTAGAAAATCCGTTGTCAGATGGTATCTGCTTATCTTTACCCTCCCTCTGATAGGCATTTGATGCAATGATCCATTTCTCTTTCGAGGGTTCTTTTCTCTATCTGTCTACCTTTGGGAGGTCGGTAAACACCAGCGTTGGGCCATTCGCTGAACTCTGTAAGGATGTCTATCCAGAACGTTTGCATCCTAGTGATTCACTGATATGTTGTTGCGCTTATTAGGGAAAGAATATACACGCGCAGATGCACGGTGGGGCACTTCAGACCCCACTGTCGTCTCTCTTGAGATTCTGACAGTCCTTGGTGCTGGCCCTCTGTGCTGCTATATTTTGAAACAGCTGGTTAAAGACGACCCTGCTAGGCACTACTGGCTGGTTGTCCTCAGCACTGCTGAGCTGTATGGCGGGTAAGTCTGCTGGTTTGACTTTGCGGTTGTATTCATTACAGCTTATGTTTCACAGATGGATGACATTCTGTCCTGAGTGGCTTACCGGAAGTCCGAGTTTGGATACGTCAAACCCTCTTTACCTCTGGGTGTATCTTGTGGTACGTTTTTTTGTTCAGGTTATGATTTTAGAGCTGATTGGTCCCGAACCATCTTCCCAGTTTATGAATGTCATGTGAGTTTTTTTATTACCACGGATAGAGGTCACATCAAGTAACACAACTCATGTTTCGCTGTATACAGCTGGGTCGCGATCCCGCTTTGGCTCATGGTCGACTCTTATGGTCACATTGCTGGTTCTATACGTCAAATTCAGTCTGTAGCCAAAAGCAAGAAGCTCTAAGCGTCTTCGATACTAACTCTCCATATAACCAATATCAATACCATTGCAAAATTGCGTAGGGAATCTGAGATGAACATAGGAATACCTTTTACTCAGCTATGAAATCTTATAGTTAGTACTCGTCAGAATATATCATATGCATATATTGGCGTATTTGTTCCACTGTATACGGTGCGCTCAGACAGTATACGTATGCGGTCAAAAAACAAATCAAGAAGCACGGAAAATAGAGTCCAAGGTCCATACTATTGATGAGGAAGCGACACTACGTCGAAGAATAAGGGAGGCAATACACTAATATGTAAGCCTAACAATGTGGGTACCGAGTCAATATCAAATCAAGCTCGCAAGTCCGTGGGAAGTCCTTGTTCAAACTACAAATGCCTCCAAAGAAAGAAAATCCAAGAGGGCCATTATCGAGTGAAAGATGGAGGGAGCAGATAGTCATCACAAGTAATTAATGGATCAGGCAGCTCAAAGAGAGGGTGTAGTGATGAACTGGGGGGAAGCATTACCCGAGTCTCCAAAGACTGAATGATAGTGATGAGAATGACATAAATACACAACCCATAATGATTTATGACTTACGGACGATAATGTTGTTCATGCGGATCGTAACATTACTGGGGACTGTCACCACAACAGACCCGGTGTTCAGCGGGAAACCGGTTGCAAGAGGGTGGTCTGCGGACATATAAACCTCTGCGGGGGAGATAACACACAAAATGACTCACGAATGTCCAAGTTTTCACTGTTGTTGAAGTTGTAACCCATCAAGATAAGACCAGTAGAGTTAGCTTTCTCGGCAGGCATGTTGCTGGTGTCCCAGGTGACATTTTGAGTGGACCCTGCAGACCAGATGGCAGCGAACTGAGGGCTCGTGACTTTAGGGCTCCAGACGATGAGCTCGGTAGGGCTAAGAGGAGCTGCTGCTACGAGCGAAGAAGCAGCCAAAATGACAGTTGTAAAAAGGGTGGCGATAGAGCTGAACATGATTTTGCAAGGGTCGTAAAAACGAAGGAACGAGGTGCTGGTGAGCGAAAAATTTAAGCCTTGAGGCGTCTGACGATTTGGTCGTTTGTAAAGGAAGGAGAAGGAGACTGATAGAAGATGGAATGAAATGCCAGCAATATATAAAGCAAACACTATTTGCGCTTACTACGCGTGTTGAGTTGTGTTTGTCCGTCAATCTGCTCATCACCGCGCCCGTATATTGTTCAAAAGGAGATGACACTGCTATGATGTTTCGTAAAATTTCTTGGCCACCATCTATATCTTTTGCAGGTTGAATTTATAGTTTCCCGCGGGAGCTGCATGATGAAAACAAATGTTGTCCAAGGCTACAAAATTGCGGTCAGCTCGCTTTTGGAATCCTACAAGTTCAGCGACGCCAACAAAAACCAAGAGATTGTTCCATGCGTAATACGTGATCGGGGTGGAGTATCAAATCAACTGAGTATCTATGGTGATGCCGGAGTGACGGACTTCCTATTTTGGCAAGAGCCGTCGTTCATCGAACGTTTACTTTTTCGCACGTATCCCACCCGCGGATTCATAAAGGGTATCACAGTAGTACGTAGCATTGTTGGGACACGATAGGACACGATTGCTTATGTTGTTCCAATCCCAGAATTTGACGCGTCATCCTTTGTGCGGCCGTTTGGAATATCTATCTACCTAAGAACCTAGGTAATAGTAAACGCTGGGCTCTTGTTTCCCGAATCTCCGAATACTGTGGGAGTGAAAATGGCGACAAATAAGATGCGAAAATCCCATGAACACGACAAATATCACTTACAAACAACGATATAGTCATTTCTAGGAGAAACGTCAGGAGCAGTAATCTGAACAAAACCATCCTCGATATAAAAGTTCTCTGCAAGAGGGTGTTCTATGATTTTATTTCAATCTCCTAAATCGATTTCTGAGAATCTAATAGATTGCTCACCAATATCAAGATGTTCATCAGACTTTCCTTTTTCCAAGTAGCCAAGGACCACCTTCCCTTTAGATTTGTTGCCTAGGGGTACGGTACTTGTATCCCTGAAGTAAAATAGTCAAATGCAAAGTGTGGACCATTATGACAGTAGACTAACCATGTAATGGTGACGGACGAACCAGCGTGCCATATCGTGTCAGCATTAGGGTTAATGACAGAGGGATTATGAACGATTCTGGTATCTAGAGAATTAGTAACGGCATGAGTCTCACCTCTTGGTTTAATTGAGGCATCTGTAGAGGTGATCAGTAGCAAAACGCTATATAGAATAGGCTTTTTGCAAAACGTGCTAGTGTGCATTGGAAGACAACGAAAATAAGATTAAGATGAAATGCTGTTAAGACATCTTAATATCATATTCGAAAGATATATGAAGGAGCGCTGTCGTGATTCAAACCATCGCATTGGCATGCTTAGTAGCATCGTTCAATTGCGGTCCTATCTCTTCCATATTGAACGAGACTGGTCTGGTAGCGTATAGCTGTCCAAAACAAAACGAAGTATCTGCAGCATATATCCAGGACCACAATTGAAGCTGATTGAAGCTGAAATTCGAACCTTTAGCAGTAGTGCAGATATTTGCTGCTCGAAACACGATGTGGATAAAATCAACTGTATCCGTCTATTCTGAGCCTATCTACGCTTTGCAGTGACGTTTGGAGCGAAAGTTCAAAGTCACGTTGGATGTGACATAACGCGTTTGAAGCACGCGTCCGTGATACTTCAGTCCCACGCTCCTTGTCCTCCCCCCGTCAACAGGTCGGTGAGCATATAGCATTTTGGGGAGTCCAACAAAGGGCTTGAAGGTACGTAAGGCCACATATATGCTCCTAGAATCAACTATAACAGAAATGTCAGCTGGTGTACATATTCGATAACGCATTCAAATATCTTTCATCGCCACCACTGTCAGTGAGCGTGGTAGTCGTGGTTGGATCTTGCTTGGACCATCAACCATTATTGTCAAGTAACAAGCCGGACATGATAATAATTTCGATTCACATTGAAGCAGCAACCTCTGTAAATCATCATTAACGTGCTAGGATATGTTAATAATTGAAGACCAAACGGAACATCCTGGGACGAGTTCCTCGCTACTGAACTCTCCTACCTATCTGAAATCATCAATTGACACTATTGTAGACTCGTTAGGACATGACTCTGATGTCTCTCTTCACGATCTCTCAGATGCCTACGACGCTTTCTCGTTCAGGCTCAAATCCCAAAGTCAAACATTACAGGGTTCCAGTGAACCTCTAGCCGCCTTGAAATACTTGGTGTTGCATTCCCACTCAATTACGCAAGCACTCGATCGAGATATTCGCAAAGTGCATATTGATCCTTTTTCCTCGACACCACGTCACGTAACCTCTCCTGACGATTTCACGAGTTCAGTTGGTAGCGAGATAACGGAGGATGTTATACAACTTGCAAGAAATACATCCTCTGTGTGCCATTATGCCCTATGCGCGTCGTCCTATATATTCAGGCTATCAGCCCTATATACCATCTTTTCATGTGTGTGCTTACGAATAAATTCCATCCTGACCATATCTGATTCAACCGTGTAGCGGCTGACATATCCCTCCTTCTTGACGACATACTTAATATCGTGCTTGCAGAAAGCTTACCCATACACAACAGTCGAAAGGCATACTCTATCTCTATCTGGATTTTTCAAGTTCAACAACTCCCCCTTGCCTATCTCTCCCCTCGAAAGCGTGAGATAACATCCGCTGTGCAGAGAGCAATAAGAGATGAGGAAGCTCACCATGAAGATTCTGTGATCGACGGACTTAAGGTCAGAAAATTCTCATTTTGTCAAGACTTTCGTTATTGACCCAATCCAGGCAATATGTAATCTCATCACCCATAGCGGCTCTGTATTCTTAATACCAGTATCCGACCTGCTCCCATGTATTCTATCAAACCTCGTATCCTCCTCGTTCAACAAGCGTTATGAAGCGGCTTGTGTAATCGGTAAAATGGCCTCTTTCCTTGTCACTACTCCAAATCAATGCTCTCTCCACTGTCGAAAATCAATTTCTCATCATGTTCTGACATTCATCGATGCTCAGTGTTCAAAGTCTCGGCCAATAGATATCCCCTTGCCACTTTCAGACGTCCTGCAAGAGGCCATTAAAGCTGGGCGGCCTTCGTCTAAGGGGGATGGACCTTCATGGGCGCTCCCTGCACTCGCATCCCTTATTGTTCTATCCGGCCATTCTCTTTTCGCAAATCCCCATGCTCTAAAGCTATTCCTAAATTCTCTAGCAATAGTGGTAACCCATAAGCGTAGCACCGTGCGTGCACTCCACCCCCATGTCTGGCGGTGCCTCATTTGGGCTTTCAATCAATTCCCATCAACTTCGAGCAGTCACGCTGATTGTTTTAGCATCAGGCAATCCGCATTTCTCGTTGTCAAACAAGAGCTTGGTACCGGTTTAGGTATCGCACTTACCGCATCCCTGGTTGGCTCCATAGAGAGTGTAACTCCTTTATCAGAGTGGACATCGACAGTAGCAGATGTAGATGATCCAATCACCAATGTGATCATGGTCGTCGATGAAATGATTCACAACGACAACGATCGTACATCGCAGGATGGGCTCTCCTTGCTACACAGACTTCTCGGTGCAGTGGGTGCTCCATCAGTGCCTGTTCGACCTTCGTGGAGCCCAATTAAAGTTCTCTCTTTGCCATTACTTGACGGAACGATAATCAATGCTGAACGGGACAAGTTACCAACAACTGTACGTGGGATAAGCCAAGTTGTAATCGAAGAGATAAGGCAGCTTTCGGAGGCTGAAATCACCGCGCACTGGCGGCAACTGGCTTCGATGTGGGCTTACTGTGTACGCAGTACGTCGGGTGTGTCAATATCAGTAAGTGCATATAGTCTCAGGCATATCACACATATTGATGCTAGTGTAGACTGACCTCGTTCATATTTGGCAATCACTGCTTCTGGGAAAAGCAGAGCTTACCCAGGGACATGGACATCTTACGGTCTCCTCTGATTCGGCGAAGTGGGTAGTTGCATACGTCATAGACGTTATAAATCAGCCTTCCGTCGAAGGGAGAGTTGATTATTCAGTAGCTATGAGCATTGCAGACCAGCTCCGTCAACTTTCCATCATAGCGCAGCTTTGGGCGGTGATGAAAAACGTGTTCGCGCCGTCTTGCCTATCAGTTTCGGCGGAGTACATTTTTGGGGCTATAATCAAGAAAGACTTTTGCTTGACTGATCAAACTATACGAGATGTCTGGAGCGAGCTATGTGCTGATCTCGTTTCTGCGGAAAACTCTTCATTCTTTGGGAGTATATGCGCGCAGCTTGATGCTCTACGACAAAGTGTGGTTCAACGCGAGCTCTGGGCTGTTCTCGCGGGAACGATACTATCGTCAGTAACCAGGCCTGCCTGGCAGGATATCGTGTCTTTCCTTGCAGTGCCATCCGGGTATGTCAGAAATATTTTTTGGGCGTACTTTCATTGACATGTCTCATCAACAGCAACTGGGTATTATCCGATACCGAGATACAATTATGGGGAGATTTGCTAAAGTCTATCATTCTAACTGCAAAATCTTTTTCTGTGAAGTCTTCTTTCGTTGTTGAGACCTTCGTGCAGCGGTTGAGTGATATGTCAATGAAGGAGGAGTGGGTAACTTTACCTTGGGTTAAGACAAAGCTAATTCATTTTCTAGTGCTACAAATACCATGAGAAGGGAACTCCTTGTACTCCTAGACCATTTTGACCATTCTGAGGAATCCCCGACCCCTACCTTATTGTTGACTAAAATTGATAGTACCTTGTGCGCGTCTTATCCTCCATCTCCTGAATCACTATCCCTTTGCATCGAGCTCCTCAATCGACTGGGGACTTTTATCACCTCCTTTCCAATACCTCAGATTATGTGCATTATTTCGCTCCTTAACAGGGCTTTGTGTCACTGGATTGAGGACAAGTCAGAAGCTCTATCAGATCAAGACTACAATGATGTGGTTAGTGCTATGATTCCAGCGCCTTCACAGAATATAGCTTACTAATTGTGCACTTTGTGTAGGTCATGCCCTTGTATTGTGATACACTAAAGGCGCTCAAAGGTCACTTGCCCACTCAGGAGAACCTTATTACCATCGCCCCTTTCCTGGCATTTGGTTTTGAGCGTATACCACCGCCAGCTCTAGGACCCATGGCTTTTTCCGAATTCTGGAAGGCCACTTACCACGGTCAAACGCATCTCTACAAAAGTTACCCGGATAAGATCAAATTGTGTCTGAAGGCTTTTGACGATGCATTTGGGGGGGATCGGTCCATAGGACTGTCGTTATCCTCAGAGTCACAATCGGCAAGTCATTGCCGCTGATATAGATAAAAAGCAGGAATTGAGTTGTGTTTTTGACAGACAACTTCTAGTGTTCCTGATTCTCAGTCATTGTCCCCACAAGTTATTACCGCCGCGCAGCAGTTTCATGCATGGAGCTCTTACGATTCTAGTGGGCTTGCCCAGGACTACATCCAAATAGAAGTTGCCCAGACATCGGGGGGTGTGCCGCTCGAGAGAGAAGCATCGTCGGTCATGCTGGTCGATGTTCCGATCTCGCCGGCGCCTCGATTTTCTGCTTCAGCGTCTGAAATCTGCATAAACCAACAAGCCCAAGACAGTTATGCAGACGATAGATCCATCTATCATTCTTCCGGTAATACATATAGCCTTCAGCAAGTTACTTCTGATGCTCCACGAACGTCACCGTCGCGCTTACGGCGTTCTCCGCTCATAGAGATATCGGCTTCGAAGTGCAACTATCCAGGAGGTAGTATAAAGCGGAAATTGGACGATAGTGGTACGTTGTGCCTAAATTGTTATCCGTACCTAACTTGAATTGGCTATTTCATGCTAGGTGTCAAACTTTCGAAGCGAAACCGAACGGCAGGCGCCCATTCCCTTCGAAGGTCCCAGCGTCTCGCTTCAGAGCCTACAAGACGGGTGACCTCACCTGTCATAGTGAACCGAACTGGATCTCTCCCTATCAGTTTGAACAAAAGGGCTGTTTTTGATGGAGTAGAAGTTCCCACTCTTCAATTGGTCTTAGCGCGCGAACGGCAGAAAAAACGTGTTTCCGAAACCCCGCGGGATACATTGACTCCTACAAGGCCTAGAGAATCTCTTTCGGTATCGCCAGTATCGTCAGCATCGTCCGAGGACTATGATACCTGGGAGGCAGGTCAACTGGAAGTGGACATGTCAGGTACGATTTACTTTGAATATTGTATTTGCTATATTATATTGAATGGCTCACCAGAGGTAGGAGTTGAAAATTCACTGGTAGAAGTACCCGAAAGCTCTTCACCGATAAGTGAAAATAGACTTTTTTTCGGTAGGTGCAAAGAGGCAACGTAGTCCTGCACCTGTGTCGATGCTGATGTGTAGTGTCATCAAGATGATCACCAATCTCACACACACACTGAAGATGTTCACGCACAACATCATGGTCATTTTCACACCGCACACTCACTCCCAGCTCCAGAGCGCTCCTCGCTACGACGATCGAGGACTATGTCTGCGAGTATAGAAGCATTGCAAGAATACTACGTGGCTTTGAAAGACAACGCTTCACAACTACCAGTAAAGGAGCTACTCCAACATACGACGCTAGTCCATCAGATTGGTGCGGTTTTAACTGAGCATGTGGGCAAAAAGCTAGGTTCGACCAGTTAATTTATTTTCCAATTTCTTCGGGTTTCTTCCTATCAAATAATGCTGGATATTTATTCTTCTGAGATTCTATGCTATTTATCCGTATTCGGATTTCCATACTAACTGTTAAGTTGTAACATGTATGGACGATATATATCATGTATATACGTCGCAACCGTATTCTTCACAGCCCTCCCGTGCAAAGGTGATGATATGATCTGGGTCAATACGACGAAAATGATGAGAACTAAGCTGAAAAAAATCATGTTGAACAAAAAAAAATATTACCGCCTAACGTTCGAGTAGTAAACCCCACTTCGCAGTAACAGCTGCATATGAGGTTCATTATTCAAGACGGGTATATGCGTCAAATAGTAAGGCAAGACGTACAAGTAATCTGCAGGTAAAAAGCAAAGTAATTAGCGCATGTTGACCAGAAGGTAACGGGCGTTACGCACATAACCATTTGCGTTTAAATACCTCAATTTCTTCTCTACCTTTCGGTCCACCCATGACGGACGGATATTCAGTTTTCAGTGCAGGAACAATGACGCTATCAAAGTTGCTGATGAAACGTTTTCGCCATTCACGTAGTGTTCGAGCGTAATGTGGCCCGATGTTGGATATAGAATCTACGATGAGTCGACCAGACGAGCCTTTCTCCATGGCTTGAAGTAGAAGTGTTACAGTCGGTAGAAAACCACCTGGGAAGACTGGATGTGAAATGAATGTAGTTAGAGAAGGCTATACAAAGCGACTAAGACGTATATCTTACTCTGTATGTGATACATCGATTGTCAACGCATCAGTGCTATTAGATGAGAATGTCAGTCAAAAGGACATGTCGTTCATTTCATACCCATTTCCTGATAAAGTCTGTCTCTCGTATATATCGGTCATATCCTATACATACGAGGTGATTGGACGTGAGGTTTGTTTTTGGCTACTGATAATAAAACACTTACGTGCTTCAGGTATCGTGATAACTTGCACAACACCCACGCCTCCATCCTCCTTCAGGGCCCAATCGACGACGCTCCAGTATTTTTCTATAAATTCAGATCCGACTGCTTCAATCATCTCTATACTAACGACTCTGTCAAATAGTCCTTTCCACTCGAACGGCATGGCACGATAGTCCATCAGATGGACTTTGATTCTATCCTGCATATCAGCCGCTTTTATCCTAGCTAGCGCCATAGTCTGTTGGTGTACTGAGAGCGTGATGGTGTCCACCGTTGTCCCAGGAAAAGTCTGGGCAATGAGTATAGAGAGGGAACCCCATCCAGAGCCGATCTCGAGTACGCGCTGATTTGAGGATATCTTGGCTTTTGCGATGATATGCCTTAACTTCCGTAGTTGACCTTCGTGCAAGTCATCGCTGGCGGGGCGGTTCTGAGTAGCCCAAGGGAAAGATACGGAATCCGAGCTGAACGTCGAGGCGCGTTTAGGTCGTAAGAGACCCTGGCCTCCACTCCACGCGATGGATTCGGCATGACCTCCCTTTAGGTCGGCGTCAAGGGTGTCAAAGATGGCACATGAGTAAGTCATATCCTCCGATAGAAATCCTGCCATGAAGTGACGAGTGAAAAAGAATTCAGCCATAGAACGAAAGGTAACATACCCGCAAACATTTCGTTGGAAATATCATAGTGTGCTGAAATGTTGCATCGAGAATTACTTATTGTGTTCAGAAAGCGGTATGACGTTATTTTTTGAGGAAGTGTGAATAGATACGACGCTTTTGAATCGAGATCCACGAGGTTCTGGCGGTTGTGAAGAAAAATCTGTATGTATTTATTTGTGAGTAGTGAGAAATTGGACGAGAGAGTGTAGGAAATCATACTTTGAATAGAGCAACCAAGTCGTCACATTCTACGTCTCCATACATGTATGCCTCAGAAAACCCGAGGTCCCCCATGGTAACCAATCTGATCCAGAATGTATCCTTAATAACGCGCAGTTCTGCTTTGAGGTCATCTTTGGGATTGGGACCTTTTAAGGAGGGGAACGCGTATATCTGGGAGTACGTTAGCACTCGCAAATGGCCTGATGTAATTTTTTGCATCAATCTATAAAGAAAAAAAGGCAGGTCAGGCTGATGAACAGCATAGTGGACAAAGGAAATAAATACATACGTGATGACAGCAGTTTCCGTTACCCTTATGAGGGGAGGCCATGCAGTCGTAAGAGCCTTTTCGCGTAGCACACTCCAAGCATTATCTAGGACAGCGAGCACGGAAAAAGGATGTTTAGATGGAGTATCTAGCAACTGTTCGGACATGAGCACGAAATAAACGAATAAATGCCTGGGACGCGTGCTGGAGGAGAGTCGTGAGTTATCGCTGAGGTGGGAGAAAACAGATCTAGGATTAGTGAGTTTTTCAACGATTTTTGTACCGTGAGCCAAGGGTGATCCATTGCTTGTGGTACCGTCATTCCCACTTCCATTGTAGCATCGATTCATCACCATCGGCTTCTGCTTTCCTTTCTCCAATGTCAACAAACTCCGCGGCACATGGCGAGAATGCGACATTCTACCACCACTAGCATTTTCGACTTTCAAACGTGGAGCCCGTTGGTAACCAGCGTTAGCATCAATCGTTTTACCATATGCTATTTTATGTTGAATCTCGAGTAATATGCACAGCAGAGAAATCATCCTATATATCGATGAAGGGCAAGCCAGTGACACAGCTAACAAAATACAATAAGTTCTTGCTTGAAATGATATACTAATGTAAAATACAATATGTATGAATGCCTTGCGAGTAAAATTCTATTTAGCTAGTTGAGGACGTTGAGCCTCAGAGAAGGAAAGCAGCCGTTGCCGGCGTCGGGTAACGATATCGCGAGATGGACTAGATGTCAGCGTCGAGTCATCGCTTGGGGGGTCGTAGTCAAGACCGTGGACTCGGCGAAGGGCAGGAGAAATAAGATGATGGGGTGTCACTTGACCCAAGTGTGGATCGTCGTCAGAAGAAAGCTCAGATGAACCTTCAGTTGGGAACGGATAGGATTTTGTAAGAAGAATTGAATCGTCTGAACCGGCCAATGTAAGTTCACACTCAAGTTTAGATCAACACTGGACTTACCACTGCCCGCAATATCCAATTCTTCCAAAACTTTGAATGGTGAGGAAGGAATTGTTGCATCAGAATCAGAAACAACCATCTCATCCCAGCGCTTCAGTCTTTTCCGGCTATTCCCCTCAGCATACTCTTCCTCTGTATCGCTCATCTTCGGTAAAGAAGATGTACGTCGAAGAAGTTTAGTTGGAGTTGATGAGGAGTCCGTAGATCTCTGGAGACTAACCCTTCTCTCCTTCCAACGCCGTCGAACTTCTCGCAAGGTTGGAACTTCAACAGCATCCATGAATACGGATTTTCGTTTCCTTTTATTTGAACCAGAGACGAGCTGACCAGCCGACTCTGCTATGGCCTCTGGAGCGCTCGCCAGAGTGGGCAGCTCGCGCGGTGATAATAAAGGATCACTAGAAAGAGTAGCTTCCACCACTTTCTCGTCTTCGCTGTCACTGCCAGAGATGAGGTCCTTGGGCGAACGCATGAACGTCCCGGACGCAGTTCTGCCTTTTTTAGGTATACATTCCCGCTCTTCGTCGAACGAACGACGCTTGCCAAGTACAGAAGACGACTTGGGCCGGCTTGGAGAATTTGCAAGAATGCGTTCTAACACAGAAGGGACAGGTAGAGGGGACACATTTTCCTTGTTCTCCATGATTCTGTGTTTGCCAGGAGACACTGGTAAGCTCGGCGATGCTTGCTCTGATTTTGCAGTGGGCGAACGTCGTGGGGTTGTATGCGTGCCAGCACTCAATGGTAGAGAAGATGTTGGTGTGCGAAGAAGCAGTGATTGGAAATTGACAGGAGTTGTTGACGGTTTGTGGGGGCGAGGTGGTGTGGTGCAATTGGAGCGTTTTGTAGGAGTGGATGGTGCTGGGAAAGTGAACATCGCAGACGGTGACCCTGAACCAGATTCCAGAGCCCCAGGCAGTAGAGGGGTAAAGAAAGCTGGACCAAGTTGGCCAACGAAGGGAGATTTCTTTTCTGACGTAGGTTTCTTCGATGTTGGCTTTTGAACCAGATCGATAGGTGAATCGAGCGTGGCTTTGACCGGTGAATTTTGTTTGCCATATGGAGAGCGCCACTTGTAGGCATTCGGCGATATATTAGATAGAATATTCTTACGAGGACTGTTCTCTTGATCTGGCGAGTGTGTCCCATGGAGTTCAGCGAGCGAGCGAAGACATGTTTGTATCTTCTCTGGCCATCCATTTTCAGGTTTGCTCATGTTTGCATAACAAGTGTTCCAGAATTCGTCGAAGGAATCCATAACTGTAGCAGGCTTATCCGTACGACCACTGAACGACGATTCTAAGAGAGGTGCCAGCAATTCGAGTGTTTGCAAGGTGCGCGGCAGAACTTGAACTCCAAGCAGCGAAGTCTGATACAATGGCAACACCTATACGTGGACAACGTTAGCAGTAGTTAATACACGAAGTCCACATTCACTTACCTCATCAGTATAATCAGTTATATCGAAAGTACAGTAATCGTCCGAGATCCAAGTACACATCCCATCTTGCAGGATCTCAAACATACCCGGCGAGAGCTCCACAGGACATGCGTCCACAATTCTAGTGAGCGACCTCAGTAGCCAGATAGAACGCATCATGCTACAGGGTTCTGGGGGGTACGTGGAGAGAAGCGTGTCGTTAACAAATTCGAAAACACTAGATGGTACTTGACGTGCATCCACGATTTCCAGATGACCCAGGAGAAGGTCAGCAACACGAGTAGAGTATGCAAATGTGGGGCTAGGGTTTCGTGATACCGCTTCCGCGACACAGTCGAGGACGGTCGTAGAGTCAATACCATAGTCCAAGGCCTTGTTCAGCGTATAACTGAGGAAGTTGTCCCAGGTCTGGAAATCGTCATTGCTCAGCTCCCAGGCATTCGAATCACTGCTTTTCCGTGTTAATACCCATTTGCTCAAGAAAAAACTAATACTCACGCGAAAGGTATTCCCAGTAGGACGACGGCGCACTCCCATGTCCCATCAGCGTCTTCTTGCCACTTTTCAACAAAGCAGTTCCACACGAGACTCTGGACACCAGGTTCATAGGTCATTTGGGCCCTGGCACTGGCTCTACGTGTCCAGAACTTCTTCAGTTCGTCAATATCACACACAACCAGGACTTCAGCACATAAATAGGCCCATTCTTTCCTCGCATCGTCAGGAGCGTCGGTCTCCCATACCAAGTCATCTTCGTTCTCCATGAGAGATGTCAATAACTTGGCACCGCCTGCATGCAAGAGGTTGTTGGGAATTGTGGTGCGCATAATTGTCCAAAATTCGCGTGTGATGGAAAGCTTGAGAGCAGCATTGGAGCGAGATGAATTATTTGGCAGCTTCCGAGGGGACTTGGACGGACTACGATCCTTAACGGGACTTGTCGCAACAACAGGAAGTGCAGATCCTGCCTTGTGGGACAGATCAAGGTTTGGATCCTGAAGTATATCAACTAGGATGACGGCTGCTCGACAGGCAAATTGCACGGTTCCGTCATCGTCACCTGCATCTTTAAGATAATAAGCCGACCCGATCCAAAGACCCAAATAGACCTTATTAAGTACCTTGGAGAACAGCGACGTTACCCTTCAACAAGCCTTCCCAAATTGAGACAACCTCAGGCTACACGTGACCCGATCAGCTATCGCATTCAAAGACCATAAGCATTTGCTTACTGGCGTAGTAGACTCTTCAGGCATCTCCAAACATGCAAGGCCAGATCTCCAGACCTCAATTAGCTCGTCGAATATCCACTCTCGAGTAACATCTTCTCTCGTCAACGACCGTATGTCATCAAACTGCGGACACTGCGCGAAGATAGGTTTGACAGCGACGGAAAGCGTCTTGTAGTCCTGAGTGAGGAGGCCAGGGCTAGACGAGAACAGTAGGGGAGGAAGGAGCTTGTTCATTGTCCACGGACAATCAGGTACATTGAAGCTGACGAATATCTTGGCGATCTCCATACCGTCACCGCAGGTTTGCCCACCCTTCTTGATCATGGTTTTAACAAGAGAAAAGGCTTTTCTTAGCCTCTCGTCGTCGTCAGATCCTTCAGCGAGCAAAGCAGCAACTGTTGACACGCCTGCGCCCATATCGACCACGGATTTCACAACTTTCCAGAAACTTTGCCGTCCGAGTTGCACCTTTTGCTCATCTTGTTCTTTCTGAAATTCATCTCGTTCATCCTCCTCGTCTTCATCGAATTGCACGAGAGGCGGCCGGAAATACGCCCATGCCACACATCGCCAAAGCAAGCACCCAAGACCTCTCACGGAACTCTTCTTATTTCGCATTGAAAGCGCAAGCAACGCAGATATCATTCGCGCAAGTTTGATGTCTTCGCAAAGCGCCGATCCGAGCAGTACGATGAGACTAGCAAGAATACTAAGCGACCAGACTGGCCCATGTGCGACGTGCGTTGGTTCCACGGCATTTAACGTCGTACGTAGCGTGCGGATAATCGCCGAGTCCTGTCCAATCTTTGTGGGACTCTTTCGTGGTGATGAGGGAGGAGACGTTAGGAACTCAGAAACTGTACGAGCGATGCGGGTATGAACATAAGATGGTGGCAGAGCAATGCATCCCATAGTAAAGCCACCCAGGGCATGACATGCTTGTGTCCGTATAAGCAGGGTGGGGGCCAAGAGGCCAGCAAGGATTGAGCTAAGTAGTTCAGTGAATGCAGGAACGAAGGTAACGGGTTGGTATATCGAGAGATCATGAATAGCCTAACAGGATCCTTAGCGTATGTTCACGAGATAAAAAGCACAAGCTACTTACTTTTAGGCCATCACAAGTAGACCCTTTCTTACCCTCTTTGCCGAGTTCACCTTCGATGCCACGTCGAAGGGCGTAGGCTATGCGGTCCTTCGCAGGTAAGAGAACTTCAGCGGGTAATCGCTGGGCTTGCAGAAGCCATATTGACAGGGCACATGTTTTGCGTGCGTTGGGTGTTGGCAATTCCTGGGCCAGAGGAATGGCCAAAACTCCGGTGAGCATAGCGCGTAGTTGATCATCTATAGGCATTGACTCGTTATACTACGAGTAACAGCCATAATAAAAACACGCACCATTGAAAACTCGAGAAATAGCAGGGATAGTAAAGACAGCTCCGAGAAATTTCATAACAGCATGCGAGGTGGTGCACAGATCTCGTGCATATTTGACTTGTTCCGCTGTCATTCCTATCTTCTTCCTTGGACTGTTCTTGGGCGATGGGAGAAGCGACTTCTCTTCTAGTTCGTCACAAACTTCGCTCATCTCAGCGTCCACAGTGTGAGGCTCAACCAAAGCTCTTCCGAGGTCCCTGACTATCGCGTCAACTACAGCCTGTTGGTGCTTCCTGACAGGTTGAAAAAGTGGCCAGGACGCGTCGGCATCGGTAGTTCCGTTGACTGCAGCTCTCAAGCGAGCCGTAAGGACAGAATATGCCTCAATGAGGTCGCGCAATGACGAGTCTATCGATATAAGCTTCGACACTGGAGAATCGAGGTATGATAGGTTTGCAAGAGGATCTTCTGGTTCTGGAGTTATGTCTCTTTGCTTCTCTTCCGGCACGGTAAGGAGAGACTGAGTGGACTTCTTGAGAATAGACTTTGTTGGCTGCTCTCTGGATGTCGCCAGCGGTGTAACCCTTGGGGTGTTTCCAAAGTAGAAGAACTGGTTCTGCTGCGACCATGCTACACGAGATCCTTGAAATTTGTTTTCCTTGTCTCTGTGTGACGTGCCAGGTGGTGTTGGGAGACTCATGACGAATTATGAGGGATGATGAGCGTGCCGTATTGGAACGTCCAGGATATATTATGCAAAATGAATGATATAAGGCGGAATAGAAAAGGAGGATGAAGGCGAAGGAAAGGTGAGGGGGATGGTTGAGGTTGGGGAACGAACCAAAACCTCGCCTACGGAATACCCGCCTTCGGCCACTAAATACAATTATTTTGTATTTAAACGCGACACTTTACGCGTCGCGTCCGCTATTTGGCTCTGTTTATTAAACGCGACAACACGACCAAAGTCGCGTCGGGCTTCCCAAAATGGCCACTCCGCCCCCAGCATATATTTCGTGTATGTTAACACGCTTTAGATGGTAGGAGATAAAATATGTAAAGGGTATAGAGAAATAATGAGTAGCGTTGGATCCTAAGAATTTGTATCAAGAAAAAGCCCTAGATTCTGCGCGAAGGTGGGCGTCGTCCTTGGTGAGCAGTACAGACAAGGCAAGGTCGACATGTTCAAGTAAAATCGTGGATCATGTATATATTGCAACATCCGAGACACTTGCTGCAGTCTTTGACGATCCTATATCTTCAGCGTTGGACACGGACTTGAAAATGTCGCCATCTCCATCGTTGGTCTCCGTCAATTGTGTTATATGAACTTGTAGGGGTTTCAGCGGATAATGTTGCCGTTCGGGGATTGACTGACGATTGGTACTGAATCCACGAGTCAGCCTAGTGGTAGCTTGCATATCCTGTGACGTTGTTCTCTTTATGGTGACCCGGATTATGACCATATAAAATGTTATGGATATGATAGGCATAATCTGTGAATCATCATCAGCTTCCCCACCTTTCCGCCAGCAGGTCATGCTTACCATATCCAGTAGAACATAATGACCTCGGTTTTTAGTGACGAAGCAAAGCAGGGCAGCCAAAAGTGAGACTGAGTAGAGTATCCCAGAGTCTAAGATAATCCGTAAGATGGGCCAAAGAGAGCTCCGCCCAACACGAGCGTCCCCGACTTCCCGAGTCACATCCCATATGCGATAGGCTAAAAGAGCTGCTGAAGCCATCATCATCTGCATCAGAAGAAGTTGACTGTGATACACATACATGTGCTCAGTAGATTTGCGGCAAGTGTCGAAGCTAAAAATGCGGTTATCCACGGGCCGGTTCCTGGAGCGAAGATGTTTTCTTTGTTCACCGTCGCCTGGGATATTGAATAAACGCAGCCAATGCCAGTCACTATGAGACACGACATTAGACTATCAGCAGTGAATGAGTTAACCCTTCATACATGCGACTGAACACCACAGGAGGATAGGCAAAGCAATGATATACAAAGATTGCCAAACAACAAAACAACGGTAGATCTGTGGGATGTCTTAAGTTGTGATATTATAACGTGGACAAACATAAGCATGGAATTCTCACCACAACGGCATCGCCGACTAAAGTTTGTAGCATATATACCATGTTCTTGTAGACAAAACTCCACTGTGCAACGTCTGAGAAGAACGCTACAGGGCCTTTAGGGAATGTATCACGGTACTGTACTAATCCCTCCTCAGTCCTAACGATATCAATAATCAAATGCTAAGTAAATGATGTGTTTAGATCGGCAACGCCGTAAGAGTGGAACCCTTTCCAACTCACAGTAGTGCTGAAGAATAACAATAAGTTGGCAACCGCTACCATTTTCTTATTCATCTCGATCATACCCCGCCTATGAATCAAAGCCCACATGGTTCCTATAAACATGAGCACAGAGAATCCTATACAACGATTCAGCAGAAGATGTAAGATTATGGGGAACGAGCTGACCATAGAGAATTGCCTCTAGGACTGTTGATGCGACAGCCGCTGAATCCAAAGGGATGCCATTAGGCTCTAGCATCAAGGGCCAGGTACTGCTGGACAATGTGCTTTCGAAAGGGAACGGAGAATGAGCTGGCGACTTCGCACGAACTCCTGTGCATTCTTTTATATAATCTGAGCGAACATCCAAATAAGGTGGTACTGGTGTCGAAATGCCTGAAAAGGTGAAAAGAAGTTGATTAGCTCATGTCACCTGTAACTAAAAACAAATGACCGGGCTTACCCCAAGATGCACCTTAAAACACCACGGAACGTTACATGAACTATAAGTAATATAAATATGCATAGTAGTGTGAGTTGTAATACTTACCAAGACCGGGCTGGACATGCTAATCATAGATTGTCTTCGCATAGTAACTTGAAAGCTTTCGAGGATAAGTACAACCTGTGCACAAGTGGAGACCCACTCCAATGTGCTGATGGTCCAAGCCTCATAGCTTGATAGGCGGCTGTCAAGCTGTCAGCGAGGAGTAAAAGCAGCGATGGAATCAGACTTCTGTGTGATTTTCTGCACGAGCTGAGAGTTGGATCCTATGGTCACGGTGTCAGTGATCGTTTAGTGAGCGGTGTGAACGCAACGCCCGGAAAATACCGAGTAAGAGTCTTTCGCTTGTAATTTGGCTTTCTGCAAATTAAACCATCTGAAGTACATATTTCTTCCCACTCGACAAACGGAATGTATCATGTGTGAATACCAAAAACACACGAGAGATTCAGCAGAACATTACATTTATGCAAGCTATGGCATTATTGCAACCAGCCATCGCACAGCACATACCAGGTGGATGATCATCAAGTCGATCAAAAGTTGTGACTGATCAACAACTCAACCATTTGAGTTGCCGTTCATTATAGCGCCTATAAAGCATTTCCACCTGCGATACTATTATTATAGTTGACCTTTACTCTTCAATGCTTGACCTGCCAACCACAGATTCTGTTACTCTCACCCCAGCTTCCACGTAGTATTTTGAGTTTCACTCAGTAACACGGTAAGGTAAGGCCAAATAATCTCCCAATCTGTTGGTATGTGAAATTCAATACTTCAGACCTATATAGCTAGACGCATCAAAAAAAAGTACAGCGTTGGCCCGAGAACAGCGCTCGGCCTTATAGACTTCATTAAAAAGTTTGTTGTGGTGTCATAGTAGTTTGCTCTCCCTTTATAAACGTTCACCTTAAGCTTAGTTGACGGCCATCTGCGTAACCAAATTCTGCTCGGTTCATCAACATAATCACTGATTTGTTGGTAGGCGATAGATGCACTAATGGCCCACGTTCAACCAGGATTGCTTTGGGCTTCAAAACGCTATGCATGCTGTGTTTTGATTACCAATTTCGAGGTGTGTCGTCTCTCTGTCAAAAATACTGAAGGTCTACGAATCACGAAATCGAGACAGGAATGTGAGGTTAGGCCACATTTGCGGGTATTTCAGGGATTATTAGTCAACGTACTCCTTTCTTATGTGCCACCACAATGAAATTTGAAGTGTCTTTCACAGCTACAACTATAACGGAGGTGAAACCAATGTTCAAAAGTCGATGTTCTTATTGCTGGGTCGCCTGACGTGGTGGATCGCACCCTAGCAATGAGAGAAACAGACAATCTGGTCATAGAAGAAGACATGAGCCAAGTTCAGCTGGATTGCATTCGTATATGGCGTTGTAAGGAACCGAAAGAGGAGGAAACTGAAAATGCACACCCATAGAAAGAACATCTCTTCACCACCGCATTCTGCACCTGCAACCACAGCCACGATCGAGCAAGATAGTAGTTGCTACCTCCGCCGGGGTCCCCATATTTGCGAGGCAGACTTTCCCGCGAAGGCTCAGCAAACACAAAGGCGGACCTACTCAGTCGAAGAGTAGACCATCCGAGAGGCGCCGCGAATTGGTGTTCATGATGGATAATGAGAATTTAGCAGACAAATTCCTTCGCAGCTAGGATATCGATGTCCCCCTAACGCGCCACTGGCGTCAAGTTCTAGTCAAGTGGTGGCTTCCTATTAAATGCTTTGTGAGTCAGACTCTGCGTCACTTGCGATTAGCACATCAACAAACAAGTAGCTATAGTAAGTGTCAAGTTCTCACCTAACCGATGCTTTGAAAAGTCTATACGTCCCTTGAGGTTAGTGCATTGGATGAGATGAACCCCCAAACACTCCACCGTCTCCAGTTCTTCTACTCGCCTGAAAGAACGGAGAGAAGTATATTAAACATACCCCTTCAACTTTGCCTGCCCCTAGACCCACATACCAGCCATTGAAAACGAATATATTGTGTATCCTGGTGGGACAGCATACAACGCACGCTAGACATCAATATTCAATATCACAGAGCTACAGCTCGCGTATCGAAATCACACCCCCCCCAGAAGAGTGTTTCCTATTCGTTTCGACTTCATTGGACTCAACTTCCATACACCCACTCGTGTATTCCCGTTCGTCCCAATCCGTTCGACTAATCCCCGGGCTAAACCTCATTGTACTCTGACTCTGACCCGCACGATCCGATGTCGGCATCGTGGCACGGATGATGACACCATAAAAAGCTATAGATATTATAGGCGGGAGCTAGCAGCAAGAGTACCAACCCGATTAGCTCAACTCAAGCTGAGACGAAGACGAAGACTGGACAATTGAACGTACCATTTCTAGTATAATGTATTGTCCACGGCTCTGAGTGACGAAGCACAAAAGGGCCGCTAGTAGTGAAATTGAGTATAGTATGCCAGAATCCATGATGATGCGCGCTAGAGGCCACGGAGAAGACCCCTGCGACCGAAATTGCGCTGAACTGCGGTCTACGATCCATATGCGATACGCCAAAAGGACTAGACAGAAAGAAAATCATGATCAGTAGTAAGGAGAAGAAATGAGAAGGGGATAGTTACATGTACTAGAAAAATTCGTGATTAGAGTCGCAACAAAAAATGCCGTGACCCATGGTTCAGTTTGCTGAGCAAAGATGACTTCCTGACTCGAAGACCTGGATAGAGAATATACACATCCTATGCCTGTAGCTATAAAAAGGAATCAACACCAAATAACCACAGAAATACAAAATCGCCCGTACCAACCATGGAACACCACATAAACATCGGGACAGCGATAACATACCACGATTGCCAAACAACATAGCATCTGAAGATCTACATTGTAATGTCACTACAAGCTCGTTTACGGGATGGAAGAAATGCTTACGACTACGCCGTCCCCAAGCATAGTTTGAAGAATATATATCAGATCATTATACACAAAACTCCATTGTTTAGTGTCGAAAAAGTATCCTAGTGGGCCCCCTGGGAAAGTCTTGCTGTATTGCACGAGACCCTCCTCGAGTCTTATTATGTTTATAACTATATGCTAGAGATATGTGTCAAAGAGATGCCAGCACCCTTTTTCTTTAACTATTCGGGAACGTACCGCAGTACTGAACAAAAGTAAAAAACAGGCGACAGCTACCATCACACGATTGACTTCTCTTCTCTTGCGTCTGTGCGTCATTATCCATATCGTGAAAGTGAACATCAACACAGAAAACCCTATGAAACCTCATTCAGCCACATGGAGAGATAATGTATCTGATCTCACCGTAAAAGATTCCCTCTAGAATTGTGGACACTATAGCAGCAGTATCCAGAGGAATTCCATTCGGCGCCATCGCGAACTCGGCGACACTGTGCCAATGAACTGAATGAAAAAAAAACATCACCTCGCCTTCCCCACGCACTGGCAGTTATGAGCACCTTGGTACCGATGGCACCGACTTCTTCCTCGGGCGCCTAAACGAAGAACCATAACTCCATGAATACTAAGGATGAGGTAAACCTTGAGGTAAAGCACCAAACTCAGGGCCAGACTCCAAATTTCATTATAGCGCTGAGTATTTGATAGGGGCAGCTTCGAAAGGAATTATCTTGCCAGACAAGGTTTAGCTGACGTGTTGAATGCCATAATCATGTCATATCTCGGGTCCACATACTGCAGTCTACATAGATAAGCCCCATCATGATATTTCATTCATCCTTGTATCAGCGCATATAACGCACTGGGATTGTGAAAGTCTGAGGAGAGGGCAACTTGAGTCGCAGAATGGGATCAGTCATCTGTCCATTATAAGAGATCCAAAAGGATGTCTTAACCATGGTAGATACTTACGAAGCACAGGCTCACAGGCTTATGTAAAAAGATATAGACTTCTTGATGCGAGAATGAAGGAGAACTGAGCAAGAAAAGGTCGACCAAGTGAAAAGAATGCTTCATTTAGGTTTATGATTGATAAAATGCGGAGGCGATAGTTCTGGCACGACATAGCTCACAGTCCCTACTACCACATCGGGCTTCATAGATGCTATCAAGTCGAGCGGAAACTGATAGGCAAGAATGACAATAACCATGTCTAGCATTGTGAACACGTAGAATGTCTACTCAGTTAACTCATCGTTTCGTGGATGCCAGTTTGAATGCGAGGTGCTCTGACAGATGAGGAGTTGAAGTTTCTTCTAACCGCACGATCCGGGGGGAACGGGAGTAGAAGAAGAGTATGAGAGCAGAAGTCGGGACCATGGTGTGATTGGAGAACAGACAGATAGGCGTGAAAGGAAAGCGGGTATAGAGCCAGGGGGAAATGCTGATAGGTGATTAAACAAGATGCGAATCTCGACAGAGAGGAGCGTTGCACGTTATTGGGTTCGAATGTGCGCGGCTATAAGTGGAATAGACATCACTATACTCGCCAGTGGAAGGATGCTTTTGATATAGACATGCCTCGCTGAACTACAGATCTTTGATACGCCGGTTTCTGACCGGTATGACTGCATCCTGGGATGGCCGAAGCTTCGACCACGAATACAACGCCACTCGCCTCCTCCAAGGAATTGTCGAACACAATACAGTCAGCTCAGATGTGTTCGGCGCGGCGAGATGCTGTTCCGCCTGCATTCTGATCAGGTATAAGCAAGGCACAAGCGGGGCATGATAACCGTCAGTACATATGTACATTGGACAGAGCACCGGAGGTTTGAAGGTATAGACACAGGTGACATGCATCGCTATCGAGCAGACCCGGTTCTGCTAAGAGGAGGAAGAAACAAAAGGAGATTCCCAGTCGGGATAGTTTTCACCGGACGATCGCTAAATGACGAACACGCATGCAGACTGTGGCCCAGTCGGCTCTACCCGGCCATCCCTTCGGCGACCTGACCCCGTTCACTCCAGTCGCTGGCACTACAAATACCGCCATGTCTCTCAACATATCCCATCGAACGACTTCTGTTCCCCAGTCGTACGACCACAAAGACATCTCGCTCATCGCAAGCATCGTCGACCTCAATCATGATCATGACTCCCTTCACGACTTTCCTCCTCACTCTCTTGTCTCTTTTTGCTTTTGCGATCGCGCTCCCCATTAGCAATCTCCAAGCAAGAGATGTCTTCGTTCCACCCATCTTGTACCCTCATGCAGGTACTGTCTGGCAGGCCGGTAACCACCACAATGTCACCTGGTAAGCAACCATTCTTGTCATCCCAAGTCAGAATCGTCTAATTAAGCTTACGATAGGGACATTTCTGGTGCGCCTGTCAATATCACTAACAAGGTCGGCATGGTCATCTTAGCCACCAATGGTCTGGAGGATATTGGTATGTATATATCACACTTGAAGTATCGGCCATCTTGCTAACGCATCTTTCAGAGCACCCTTTGGCATCTAACTTCAACATTTTGGATGGCCGGGTTGAAATTCAAGTCCCTGATGTTCCGACGGGTAACAACTACGCTATCGTCCGTAAGTAACTGCAGCTCATTCCAGTCCTCCGTGCTGACCATCCTGTCCACTCTAGTCTTCGGTGATTCGGGCAACTTCAGCCCCAACTTCACCATTATCAATTGATCCGCCCTTTCATATTATTGAAGCCAGGCGGGTCCCGACCCAGATTTTACGAACAGAGTGACGTTAATGTGTGCTAACCTACGGACTTGATATTACGGACTTTGGATTTACTTACTCATGATCAAAGGACACTGATTCGAATGTACTTTCTGAGGATATTCTTTCGATATTAACCTACTTTTATTGGGTGTACAGTAGGAGCAACTTGGACAATGCATTACTTTGATGGCTTTACCATGCTTCGTCCTTTCAGTAATTATGTATGAGAAGCCAACTTCTCAGAGTCCCTGAAACTAGCTCAAAGATGTAATACCATTGTCTCACTTGCTAGACGGTGACTCAGCTTGTTCGCCTCTTCACTGTATGTATTCGAACCAAACGTTGCTAGTTCGTCACCCTAAAAGCTAATGAACATGGGCTGCAGGCCAAACGTCGACAACGTTTTTAAAAAAAATGAGGGTAGATTACTTCTGAGCTATTCATCAGACAAAGGTTCTTGTGACGCTTCTTACAAGGTGTGACTAAATGTGACTAAATGTCACCCTCTTTCCAACACTAGTAATCGTAGTTTTGCTCTAAGCAGAGCATCCGAGTCCAAACAGGCCCCCAAGTTAGCAAGTTATGGCTTCTTACAACCAGGATGACTCGGATGTAGACTCGGATGCTCCTCGCGTTGCTCAATGGGTTGACGAAGATGAGCTAGACAACTGGGAAGACGAAAGTGATGAAGACGACGAGGACGAGGAAATACAAGAAGATGGCGTTTCTGTGGCCGGGCCCTCTATGAGCCGGTCTCAACAAGTGAGTTTCGTTTACATGTCATCAAAACAAACCTATCTTATCTTATTCATGTTACACAGCGGGAACTAGAGGACGGTAAGCTTACGCTGAGCTGCTGTAGAGATCCGACCATGGGCATACCTTCGACCACTCGATTGGTGCTGTGACGAAGATGCCGCATGGTCGTATTTCTACAGGATAGCCTTAGTATCTACTCATTGGCATCACCCAATACTAACCATGCAAAAAAAAAAAATAATGCTAGATTTATCAACCATACCTCTCGGGATGCTACGCAAAGCTCAGCGTGCTCTTTCTCAAACGCAAGCACTGGAAGACTCGAGCTCTGAGGACGACTCCGATGGACCCCCGAGTGAAGGCGGCATCGCAGAGACGTCCCAATTCTCGAAATCCAGAGACAAACCAGACCAAGACGTCCCTAAAAGATCTCGCAAGGATGTTGCCAAAAGGGCGAACAAACATGCGTATGTTTCCAGCTTTTATAGATCATAACCCACCACTCAAAGATATCGCAAAAAAACAGTCCAATGGAGGTCACATCAAAGAGACCCGTCACACGCAGAAGAACCGTAGTCGCAGTTCAGACGGCAGTGAGTTCTACCCCACTACAACATGCCTCTCTTTCGCTTTCACCCTGCAACGATGTCTAATTCCCACCATAGCAACCTCGCGATCCGCGTTTCCTTCCCCTAACAGGGGAGCTCAAGCCCCACAAGTTCCGTCAACAATACGGCTTCTTATCCGATCTACACTCCTCTGAGCTCAAAACGCTCCGTGAAACTCTAAAACGCTCACGAAAGTTACTTGAGAACTGCCCCAAAGACTTGCGTGCCGAGCGCCAGGCAGAAGTTCAGAGGCTCGAACTCACGGTGAAGAGAGCTGAAAGCTCGGTTAATAGAGATAAGAGGGAGAAAGTTGAGGCGGAGGCTTTGCATAAGGTGTCAAAGGAGGAACGGGAGAAGAGGAAACAGGGCAAGGCAGGCTGGTGGATGAAACAATGTAAGTGTTTCGTTCGTGTGCTAAACGTGTTCCATGATTCTGAACTCGTGTGTCTCTGTAGCGGATAAGAAGGAACTGTTAACAAAGGCACGATACGAGGCCATTGCTGCAGATGGTGGTAAACGCGCGGTGAAGAAGGCAATCGAGAAGAAACAAAAGAAGATAGGGCAAAAGGAAAAGAAGTCACGTCCATTCCCTCGTGGAGGTGCAGCCGAAAGCGCTAGCCATCAAAGCAGTGATTCACTGAAACGTCCTAGGAGATTCAGCTCTAGCAATGAGCAATCAAAGCGTAGAAAAATAGGCTGAATACATAGAAGAATGCAAATGAAATCCCTGTGCTTTTCATCTTATCCCTTAATATTAAACACACTCACGCGTTGCCATTTGGATTGGTAACTCTTGTCTGTTGGCATGCGGGAGATTATCTAAGGCACAGTTCAGGAGGAACAACATTTTGCTACACGTGTTTGCATTATTGTCTTGGGATACTAGTACTGTACTAAGGTGTATGATTCGGCTCTTAACTTCAAATTTTCATCAGGCGACGTGAGAAATCGTATAGGTGTCGTCGGCTGTTCCAGGTCAAGGTTGGCAAGAACGAAACGGGGGGAAAAGACAAAAACTGGAGGGATCATGTCGAATAATGGGTAATGGTATCGATGATGTGATGAAGAATTGGAGGTCAACGAGTCAGCAGTAGATAGCGCGAAAGCGAACAAAAAGGCGTGAATTTGGCGGGAGGACCTATATATGTCGATGATGATTACGAAGTCGGAGTCAAAGTCGTTAAGAACCCTTCCTGCTCGTATAGCGGAAGATAAACCCCAAGATGGATCATCGCAAGCCTTGATAATCGTTCCGCAAGCGACTGTATCTCGTCAGTCAGGGGCTCCATACCCGAAACGGTCCCAAGTTGCGCATTTGTGTTCGTCACAGCAGCAAGGCTTGCAGCAAAATCTAGTGCCTTGCATTTTCCAGAGGACGATTCCCGAGCGGGAAAGGTGAGTGCCACGACGTGGTTGAAAACCGCGTCACGTATCCGGTTGCGTAACATACCACTGAGTGCGGAGCCAGGCTGCATGTGCGTGTCTGACCAGCGCTCGGCGAGTTTTAGAATACGTTCATCGGGCGCTAATCCTAGCGGCGGCCGTTCCGTAGATGGCGAGTCTGGGCACGTTGACTGGGGTTTAGGTGTCTGGGCCTCCTTGGCTCGCATCGCTACCTGTAGAACAATATCTTGCTCGAGCTTCTTCCACTTTTCCCATTCCTTATCTTCTGGCTTCTCCACATTGGAGTCATCTCCGTCTTCTGGCCGCCGACAAACAAGACAGTAACCGAGATGTGTAGAACTGACATCGCGGATCTCTTTCTTGAGCTTCACCAGCTCTGCGTCGCTTACCTTGGATAGGTCCCGCGGTGCATTAGGTGATGAGCTCGGGTCGGAGAACACTAGTTGGCGGTACAGTAGCAGGAACATGTACAAAACGGTGGTGTCAGCGGCATCTGCGGCAAGAACAAGGAGACGAGCGCTGTCAAGGTACGAAGTTTCAGGGTAATTCGGCAAGGGAGATATAGGAGCATGAGAGTTGTGGGAAGGATGTGTAGGGGGTGTTAATATTGGTCCGATGCTTGAGGGGGGATTAAACACGAGGTCGGTAAGACCCTTGAGTACAGACAGGTACGCTTGCTGTGTGTTACACAGGTTGCGGTAATTCAGCGACCCAGAGGGGAAAGATGGATGGGTAATACGTTCGGAGGCCATTAGCTGTTTATGAGTAGCTTGCAGCCACTGTTGTGTGACGTGAAGGGTTGATCCCGGGCCTTTGCGACCCTTGAACGTTTTGAGTTCAAACTGTCCAGAGGTGTCTATGAGGAAAGGGCGGAGGGTTTGCAGTTGGTGATTTGCAATGTCCTGAAATGGCTAAGGATTAGTTATTCACCCAAGAGCAGGGAGGATTGCGGGAAACCCACGAGTTTCATGAGCTCCAAGATATCCAGGCACATGCGCACGGCTTTTACAGCATCCTTCTTGCTTCCACCACAACCGGGGGCACATGATTGTGCCACCTCTACCATCATGTCGACAGCACGATCGCGCATTGGAGCGCAGTGGCTCTTGAGAGTCTGCCCGATCATTCGGAAAAGACCTGAAGGGTCAAACAGCTCGTGATGTAGCTCTTGCTCTATTAATTCTGGGTCGAATAAAGATCGGAGGTGTGTAGCCTGAGCCGCGTGCTGCTGGATCTGATTCTGGAAAGCATCGGGGTTGGCGTAGGGACCAGATATGGTAGATAAGGGCTGGATGACTGAGAGGAGAACCTCTAGAAACTCTGCGAGTAGAGGACGGATGCGAGAAGGCATCCGCAGTGTCAGGACGCGGCGAGAACTCGAAAAGGTGAGAACGGGGTTGTGAGGAGGGATAGGAACTCGACGACAAACGCAGACGCAATCATGAGGTTTTCCTTGCATATCAAATGAAACGCAAGTGCAACCGTTTTCCAGTTCTTGAACGATGGCACGCCAGTACCTGTCAGCAAGATCACGCTTCCGGCGGCCAGAAGTGGGACGAAATTGGAGACCAGCATCGAAAAGTAAATCATGTCCTATGATATGACAAGGCAAACATGAGCACGACGTGAGACTAATTGTACAAGATAGTGGTACTACTGACGAAGCTGCGGATTGCGCATGATAGCGCTGAGATCGAGTTCCTTCAAAGTCTGCCTGTTTATGAGAGGGTGCAAGGCGGGTATATGCGAGGAATTGAGGTCGATGGGAGGGAGACCAGGGGGGAGGGGACTATGCTGCAAATCAGTGGCGGGACAGCTGCCCTCGATGCGGAGAGAGGAAGGATTGGGAGGACCAGAGTGAGGAGAAGGGACGATGCTCGGATCACGTGCATCAGGCCTGCGGGAGCGACGGTTGTTGCGAGGCGAGAGACCTCGCGGGGGAAATGCTAGTCTGGGAGGCGAGCGTCGCTGGATCGAAGGAGACGCCTCCGCTGATTCTAACCTGGGACGTTTGTTGAAGCGTGGGCTGGCGTCGTGTGATGGATCGTGAGGCGACAAAGGGGATACTGGGGTTGCGGTGTCTGTAGGGGACGGCTCAGAGGGCCATACTGCGTGTGAGGTGTCTGTGGAAAGCCAGGGGCTGGAGGGGGGCAGGCGCGGGGCACTTGGGAAGGGATGTGGGGGGATGGCGGGGTCGACGAGCATGGTGTCCTTGGTGTTTTTGTCCTGGACGACGGGCTGGGAGTCTTGACAATCATCGTCAGAGTCGGCTTTTCGTTTTCTGCAGTTGAGGGATTGACCCAAGTCGCCCATGAGAAAGAGAGTCGGCAGCCAAGGGGAAAGAGTATGGACTCGAGATAAAAGAAAAAAAGAGAAAGAGAGAGGGTGATATATACGAAAAGCAACTCAGGGCGAACACATGGCTGCCCATTAAGAGCCGAGCCTATGACAGCATGCACGAGCCACCGCGAACCAGACCGAACCACCGCGAGCCTGCAACGCCGATGCCACGCCAAAACATACTTTTTATTAAAAAACATATTCCCCCATTCCATGATTTCCATGAAAAAAACGCATTCGCTCCTCGCCACAGCGCCCATTCCTTATTTGGCCCCAAAGCATGTGTCGTCGCCTCGCAGTTTGGCTTCAGTTTTCGACAAAGATTCGATATGGTCATACGACGCACGACATCCACGACGTCGAAAGGGCCATCTGGTCCGGATCCTTTCTTTTCAGTGCGCGTTATCGTAAGGCCTCTTTCCTCTCTCGGACCAATATATGATACACCCATCACTGATCTAACTCTGATGAAATTCTAGCTGCCCATCCCATCCTCTCTTTCACTCAAAATAGCCTGTGAGCCAGTTCGTCTCACACTAGCACCGAGCCTTCCTCTAATACCGGATCGTTCATCTCATCGCTCTCTTCCTCCACCTTCGATACTAGGCGGAAATGACCCTGATCCATCAACATGAGGTCAGTCGGTAATCCTCTCCTCTACTTGCTTTTATCTCGCACCATCGTCCTTTCACCACCCCTCACATCCTTCCTATCTTTCTTCCTCCATCTCCTCATTTTCACACACCAGCAATTCTCACATCTCAGCCTTGACGTCGCTGTCTTCCTCCTGCTATGTGTAACTATAGACCCGGAGGAAACCACGGTCAGTTCTGCCAACTTGAAAAGGCAACGCACTCATACATTACGTTGCGGGATGAGAACTTCCGCGGCGAGACTCCTTTCTCTCCTCTCCTACTTGTTCTCCTCACGTACAGCTCTTATCCTCATGAGACTTTTCGGGAATCACTCGTTTGCATCACTAGCTCCCATTCGGTGTAAACCGATGTTTTGCCAAATACAACTAGACATGCTGTCCTCTTTCTTGCCCCGGAAATTAATCACGGCGTCTCTTCAAGACCCCCGATGCTGGTCCCGTCTACAATTGGCAATCTTGACATCTTTCTACTCGTCCGCATGATCCTCCAGTCCAACATTTTTCACAAGGAACGACGCTCCGGACAAAGAAAATACGACCCTGTGTTCCTTCATCATTCTACATTTTTATATCATCGCGGGCACTGCTCCATTACCTCGCCTTGTGCGATCCGTGCCTCCTCAGGTAATCCACTATTTCTACGTGTGGTTACCAGTCACCCGCCCATTTCCTTTACCGTCTTCTTCATTTTCCACTCTTGCAACTGAACTTCAAGGGCTAATGTTCACCCCGGGCCGCCCAGGACGCACCTAATGCCATAATGGACATAATGGACAGGCAACACGACAACACTTACACTTTCAGCCTTCTTCCTCTGAGGTCCTCCGTTCACTACGGATATGCAACGCTTTTCAAGACAGGCTCGACAGCCTCATTGCTACAACCTACCTTTCATGCACATCCTCCTCTTTGCGCCCTCTACCGACCAACGGTTATCTAATGCCTATCTAAGCCTCAGAACACACCCGTGTGCTTCTATCTCGTAAAATTGACATAAACGATTCTCTTAGAAGGGTTTGGGTTTCTCGCCGCTTTGGTGTGAAAAGCTGTCATGCTCGTGCCGCGAATGTATATCTGTCCAACAGCAACCAGTTGTCCAGTTTGGCTTTCCTGCCTCTTTCTTGGCCTTTCTCACCAAAATAGGAACACACATCCAAGGTTAAACCGGATTTAACCTGATCAATACCATCCCTGCGACCCCATCGATTAGATACCACCATCTGTGGCACTAGGACTCATTAGGTGTATACTTGTCCCGTGAAGCGCCTGTGAAGCATGTGAAGTTTCGCAGCTGTGGCTCGCCCGCTTCAGGTTTGTTCGGAAGAAAGATAATCGTATGCGTCAGTTGGGTGACAGGTTAGCTGGAATTAATGCTGTATTCAAGTACATAGGGAGCAGGGAGAATGAAAAAGCGATCAAGTCCTTTGTTCGCTTATTAATGATCGTCAACTATGCGTCAATTAATTTTCCTTCTCCTGGTCCATCCGGTTGCTCTTCAGAGGCAACCTTCTTCGTGGGTTTCCGCCCATAGAACTCTGCGATGATCTTCGGGTTGATTCGATTGAGTTGCTCCTTCGGGAAAATGCGAAGCAAGGACCATGCAAGGTCTAGGGACTCGAAGACGGTGCGAGACTCGTAAGGGCCTGTGCATTTCTAGATTTAGCACCATCATCAAGGGAATGGATGTGGAGCTTACCCTGTCCTACGAATTGGTGTTCGAATTTGTCAAGGAACTCCAAGGCAAGTTTGTCTTCAGATGATAACGCCTCCTCACCAACAACAGCTTTCATGGCTGCGGCATCACGACCAATCGCATACTTGGCATACTGTGCCCCGCATAAGATATTAAGATCACTCCTTGCAAAATACATAAAGGTACGACTTACCAACTGATTGGAAACATCGCCGTGATCTTTTCTGGTAAGTTTCTCACCAATGGCGCTCTTCATGAGACGCGAGAGAGAAGGCAGTACGTTGATAGGAGGGTATATTTGTCTGTTGTGCAACTGACGGTCGACAAAGATTTGACCCTCTGTAATGTACCCAGTCAAATCGGGGATGGGATGCGTAATATCTAAGGCAAATGAATTAGGAATTAGCTTCTTCTCAATAACAATTCAAATTTACCATCATTCGGCATGGTCAGAATGGGAATCTGAGTAATAGAGCCATTGCGGCCCTCTACTCGACCAGCACGTTCATAGATCGTCGAGAGATCAGTGTACATGTAACCGGGGTAACCACGACGGCCAGGAACTTCCTCACGAGCTGCGGAAACCTGCACGAAGACGTGAGTTATGGAATATTACAAGGAACATAGAAGCTAGGAAAATGCACCTCACGCAAGGCATCAGCATAAGACGACATGTCGGTTAAAATGACCAAAACGTGTTTCTCGAGCTGGTAAGCGTAGTATTCTGCTGTCGTCAGCGCAAGCCGGGGAGTGATGATACGCTCGATGGTAGGATCATTGGCCAAGTTCAAGAAGAGCGTCACTCGATCAAGACTTCCATTCGACTCGAAATCTTCTTTGAAGAACCGCGCGGTTTCCATGTTTACACCCATTGCGGCGAACACCACAGAGAAATTGTCTTCATGACCATCGTGTACATCCTTTGTGGGCCGCTTGACAAGACCGGCTTGACGTACAATTTGTGCAGCGATCTTGAAATGGGGCCGTTGTCAGTTAGCGAAGGCAATACAAGCAGCATGAGCTCTAAAGCCGACCTCATTGTGGGGTAAACCTGCAGCAGAGAAAATTGGAATTTTCTGACCACGCGCGATAGAGTTCATGGTATCGATAGTTGAGATACCGGTCTGGATCATTTCCTCAGGGTATATGCGAGAGAATGGATTGATCGGTGAGCCTAAACCCCATTAAAGATACTGACGTAAAAAAAATAAATGCAGAACAGGTGCGTACCATTAATATCGAGGTAATCCTCAGCAAAGACCTTCGGTCCCTGATCGATGGGATTACCAGAGCCATTGAATATACGACCTAACATGTCCTCGGCGACAGGCAATTTCATGCTACTTCCGGTGAATTCGACATGAGTAGCCTTGACGTCAACTCCCGATGTTCCCTCGAACACCTGGACGATGGCCTTTTTGCCTTGCACTTCCAACACCTGACCACCACGTTTTGAGCCGTCCGGCAAAGTAAGTTGCACGATTTCGTTATATGAAGGGAACTGTAGAATGTATAAGACGTAAGTAAACGACGAAAAAACTTCAAGGTAGATTGGGATATCACTGACCTTGACGTTATCTAAGACCACTAGAGGGCTATATGCGACGTCAGATACTGCGTGTAGATCTCTTTTAGAGAGTTACTTGCCCATTTACTGCAGATACAGTGCGGTAATCTGAGAACACGAGTCAACTTCCTGAATTGAGTCCACTTCAATAAGTCTCGTCCCAGACTCACCGAGATGAGGCTGCACGCGATACTCCCGTGTTACTGCAGCAGCATTGATTGCTGCCAGCTCTCTGTCGCTTATACGAGGGTCAGCAGCCATGATTATTCACTTAACTGATGGTTGACCAGAGTAAATGGTAATTATGCACGCTGCCCGACGCTGAGCAGGCCCAATGCAGGAAGGAGGGAACCGAGTTTCCCACGCATACCATGCCGAGCGGTGGAGGCCGCTCAGTCGTGCATCCAAGTTGTATGTCAGTGAAATGGCAGGTGCAAATACATTGTTACTACGATAGTGATAATAGTACAGGTAGAGCATATCGTGAGCTATCTATAATCAAGTTGGATGCGAATACTTCTCACGGAGACTGGGAAGTCAGCTCCTTCGAAAACCAGGCGGAAAACTGCCGTGCGATCTTTTTGGCCTCATCAACATCAATCGTGGACCTGCATTGAAGAGACAGTTAACAACGGGACATCGGAACAAGAATTTCAGCGCACCATTCTGTTTCCAGCAGGATATCTTCTCCTTCTTCTGCCTCAAAACCTACATCTTTGGTCTGAAGGACTAGATATAGGTACTCTGCTGCGCTGGCTCGGACCTGCTTTGTTGGTTAGATTCCATTTGCCTAGCCAAATGAAATGAATAATATACCCGCGGAAACGAGTGGCCAAGGAACTCCGCCAATTGCGGGATACAAGCCTCCGCGACAGTGGGAAACATCAACAGGTTCATAACGCTGGTATAAGCAACTGAGTCGTGAGGTAAACCCCAGCTAACAGACGGTGAACTCACGCTTTCATTGATTCTTGAATTCTCTGCACGCTCTTAAGCCGAGAAATATTCCTTGTAGTAAGGGATACTAAAGCATCCAGGCTGCTAACACGTTGAGACAGCGAACCTTTTAATATTGGCAATCTCACTAACCATTTTAAACCCTCGCTGGTTTGAGGAAGGCGCGCCAACGCGTCAGCTTCCAGAAGTAAATTGAATGTTTGTAGGACTGGCACAACTACGGCATTGGATGTCACATGAGATTGAGCATAGTCGATTAAATCCCGAGCGAGACCTCCGAGGCTATAGCCGGTGTCAGATAGCGAAACAGGAAGGTTGTTGCTGTATGCGATCAAGCTGGAGGACGCGGGCCGTTGCTAGATCATATATCAGCTGCGAAAAATTCCAGAAATCGATGCAGCAGCGACACTTACTGTACTGTCAGTTCTTGTCCCTATACTTAATATAATACCTTTCAAGATGGGCTTTCGGTACTCCTCTATTTCTAGCATTTGTACTGCTTTAGCAAAAAGCCAGCCACCGTTGCTCCAGCTCATAATCTCTGCTTCGCTATATATGATACAGTACGTTTCAATACATATAATACGCGAAATCATAAATTACTTGCCTCAAAAACAGATTTTTCATCAAAGATTCACCCTTGATGCGCCAGCAGTTTGCGTTCTCCACCGCTGGGAGTGGAAGCTCTAGGAGACGCAAAAAGCACTCTCCTGCGACTTGCCTAACGTTATCCAGCCTTTCTACTCCTTGCTGGAGAATCTTAGCTAAAGCACTATGATATCTTGATGGCGGGATATATTGAGCGAAGTTTGCAATGCAGGATGCATTAGAGAACAGGACTTCAACCGAAGAAGTCAAGCCTTTGATACAGGCCATACGTATCCAAGATCCGATATCTCCACGTTCGTCTGTGGTATAATCGTCGAGCCCAGCCTCGAGGGTATCAAAAATAGCAGAGACCTGTTTTGGTCCTAGACCTGATACATTTTAAGCGCATTGCCATTGGCTTATCACCGCACAACTTACTATCGGATAACCGGGAAACAACATTAGCCAGAATCTTTGACATGGCGAGATAACAGTTTCTACGAGCTTCGACGTTCTGCATCCTGGTGTTTGACTAGAGAAAGGGGTATATCAAGCAAGAATAAGAAGGCCGGTAAGCAACCCTACATCATTGTTCACGCTGTCCAAAAGGCATTGAACAGCTACCGACAGACCATGTGGATGAGCATTGTAGTCTAAAGTACCGAGAAGGCGGCCAAGGCTTTGTTGCATACTTGCAGATGCAGACCTAAGTTCAGGAATTAACGTGCTGATGGAATATAAATTTACTTGTCGACACAAAAATCACGATAGGCTTATCTCTGAATGATGGCAGAGCAGTCTACGAGGCTGCTGATTGCAGCCATTGAAGCAGCAGCAGCTTCTTGAACAGTATCATTCCTATGCCGCAGGCCTTGGTCGACAATTTTTCTCCAGTAAGGAACAGCGGAGTCATCCTTGAGCTCAATCTCTGGCAAGGTGATAGTAGTGGCTATTAGATGGCAAGTTGCAGCGAGGACAAGCTCGTTGCGAGGTGCCAGGATAACGCCTTGGGGTATTTTGGTAATGTACTTGAATATCTAGGGGACACACGAAAGTCTAAGCCGTGATGATTTTCCCAAAAATGAGTAATAAAAAGCACCTGTCGTCGTTTGTCATCTCCAGTTTGACCTAATAGGCGATATGCATCTGCGAGCTCCGTTAAAGCCAGAAGACCTCCGTGAATATCAACGATGTCAACAGATTCGAACAGCTGGGCCTAAACAAGAATATCTTCTAAAAAAAGAATATAGGATAAATTTACAACACATACCAATCTCGGTAAACACGAGGGTCCCAGTACGTGCAAATCCAGCTCACAAATCACACGGAGTGACTGAGCCCCTAGCTGCCTCATAGTAACATCCCAGTGCCGCAAAGTCACAAGCAGGAGGTGATCGATCAAAGAAGATCTATACTCAAGGTGTCTGGTAACCGAACCGAACAACAACAGTCAGCTACCTTGAGGACGAGTTTTTCAGCAAAGAAACGTACTCCGCTACTTGTGGAGCTACAACTATGAAGGCGTTGCGTCGAATACTTACTGCGTAGAAGTCGGTCTGGCGTAAAACGCTGATTCCGTGAGGAAACAAGCCCTATACCAGAATATATAAAAGCTAACATGCTGAAGCCATGACATATACTCACTGTCCTCCCAACATTCTCTTGGAAGGCAGCACTCGCTGCTCTGCGTATATGGATCTCGCGATCATACAAAGACACGGTGACAAGTCGTTGTGCAAGGTTCAGGGAAAACGGCTGCAGAGCTGCTGGGTCTTGGGCCCTAGCAATTGCCCAAATTACATACGCTGCAGCATCACGAACATTAGACCCGATGGAATGAGCGCCTTTCCGTATATCGAAATATAGAGCCTAGTGATATGAGCGCACAGATAGCAGATATAAGGCTCAAGTACTGTACCTTTGACAACCATGTGACAAGCTCTGACAGATAACTACCAGACACAAGACCTCTGCGTGCCATTTCAGCCGAGGCAAGACAGGCACCATGCCACGTTGCCTCAGCGATCGTCGGCATATCATACACGGTTGCCGCTGCGATCGAATGGATAGTGAAAAGTCCCAAGATTGTCTCCAGAACTTGATTAGAGAAATCCGTCGGCAGCCGTTCGGCCAAACGAGCAACACCCTTGGCGGCTGACCATCGTACCACAGTATCCTGGACGCTTTAAGTCCTAAGCAATTGCGAATAATCAAATTCTGCGACTACGTACTTTGTCTTGCAAGCACCGAAAGAGGTCTTCGAGGATTCCTTCGACTGCTTCTGACACTTCAATATCTTCATTATCATACTGATCCGATTGATCACTAGATGAAGTGGTGAGGCTTCGAACTGCGGGACCGATAAACTCGGATTAGCAATGATAAGGTATGAAAATGTACCTTTCCGAGCTACTTTGACCTTGGGAGGTATAAGACGCAGGGCGATTCGTGATACCATTTTTGTCTTGAGTTTGCGGACAAGTGTGTTACTCCTCAGGGCCTCATTTTGATCAATAGCTCCTGATATTTTTAAAAGATAGTCAATCGACTGCTGGGTCTGTTCAGCAGACCCCGCTTTCACATTCTCGCAAATGACTTGTAGCAGAGCGATGGACTGGCTTGAAATGAGATATTGTACAAGGAAATTGGATTAGTGCGTACCGTGAATGTGTCGGGGGAGTTATTAAGAGTCTCAATGGACCAGACCAAGAAGGCTGCATAACGAGTCTGCGTGTCCTTTCTATCAATGGTCAGATCACATCAATATATATGTCGCAATGGCTTACCTCATATACAGCCGTGAAAGTAGGATTGCTGCACCCTCTCGCTCCAGACCAGCTCTTCCCAGATGGCTTTTGGCTAAAGACTCGATGTTATTTGCGGTGTCACCAACACGGTCACGTTCATCAAATTGCTCCAGATCGAATGGTAGCCGGCAGATTAAAGACAGCCACAACAACACAATATACCGCAAGGGCCATTGCGAAGTAATTTGGGTGGGCCCACCACACAACTGCAGAAATCCCAAGGCAATAGACAAGTCCTCAACCTCGTGAGGAAAAAATCTGACTGTATCCTACCTCAGAGCTGGGATTCGGGCATTGATGATACAGAAAACTGACTGATTGTTTTGTATCCACGGCATTTTATATAGTTGTACAGTAGCACTGCAAGGCGTCCGATTCTAACCAAAGTGGTCGATCGATCTGGACTAGAAACTGACATCGTAGCATGCCTTCTTAGACAATCCACAACTGGGATGACGAGGCTCTCCAGAAATGGATCAAGCAAGTAAGACTGTTCCTGATATTCACCAAGCTTCGAGAAGAGTCCGTTAGACTAGTATAGTAAGTAGTATAAGCGTAATGCAGAACTCACTATGAAGCATAACTTGCGTAACAGCTCTATTTCATCCTTATCCTGCTCGTCATTTGGTTCAGTTGTGAGGTCGACAACCAGAAAAGCCTTTTGTATAGCCAGAAACTCGTCATATTTCTCGAAGGTCGCAAATATCTTTCCTTCTATAACTTCATCTGCCATATCGCGCACTAGTGGTCGTGCTAAAATGACGTTCAGGTTTCCAGATTGTGAGGACTCCAAGCTGAGCACAGTCAAGGAACTTCCGAATCCGACAACGGATCGCTCCGACCTCGTTGATTACGTCAGCTTATTTTCTCATTCGCCTTCGCAGTTTCTTTTCTTCCAACAAGGTCCCAAAAAATGTCTGAAAGCGAAAGGAAACGCGGTACAAAGCGAAAAAGAACGGATGGGAGCAACGAGGTAATGCTGATATATTTGTCTCTCTTATATCCCTTAGCTCATGTAAGCTTCCAGGAGGATCTAGGCAGCAAACTCTTGAAAAAACTGGCATGTCCTCTCCAACATGCGTGTACTGGCATGACACTCAATGCAACATGACTGATCAAGCACCATGATGTGAGGGAAGTGAGAAAAGCTGCAAAAAAGGCAAAGACCTTCGAGACGCAAAAGCTGTTGAAGAAACTGAAAGATCTCAGGTGATTTCCCCCCGAGACTCGGTTTATTTACCTCTTTCTAATTTAACATTGGTTGTAGACGCAAAGCAGAAAAACCAAACGAAATAACCGATGCCGAAGCTCAGTTAGATGCTATTAAGGTATGCCTCGCCCCTCTATCTAACACATGGCAGATTGTTCGAACAACCTATAGCACATCACCCTTGACGTCATCGCAGATACGGCACTCAGGACTAAAATGAACAAGGATCATATATTATCGACTAACGAAGACCTACAACATGCGCTATCCATGGAGTTATTGCCGAGTCCTATCGCGTCTGCTGCCGCAGGGTCACATCTAGCCAAAGTGCAAAGCCGACTCCTCAGTTCCAAAGTTCTTGCCTCAGAGATATCCATAGTGATTGGAGGTATCAAGGCAACAATAAATCCTGCTTTCGCTGCAGCTCAAGATGCAGCAAGTGAAGGAGAGTCCGATGCAGACGTTCCGGCAGTTCCCAGGAAAACCAAACGGGTATCTGCGGATAAAAGTACACACGGACATAGCATGAGTGTTCCAGAAAAGAATGAAGAAGACGGCGGTAATGCCGAAGAAGATGAAAACATTCTCGACGATGGTTGGGAGTCAGGTACCATCAGTGGGGGCGATCAAGCTTCGGAGGACGAATGGGAGTCTGGTTCAGTGGACGATGTACACCACGGCACGAAAGAAGACGGTGACTACTCTTCTGGCAGTGAGGGAAATCTCGCGGCACCGAGCAGTCCACCTTTGCCTAACGAGTCCAAGCCACATCAAGGCAAGGCAAAAACTGTCGGCTCTCAGTCCACATTTCTTCCATCTCTTGCTGTCGGATTTGCTCGCGGTGATTCAGATTCAGATTGGAGCGAAAGTGAGGCAAAGGATGCGGACGGTATCAAAAAGAACCGGCGTGGGCAGCGGGCTAGAAGAGCGTAAGCTATTTTTCCAAGAACATGTGTGCTTCTTTGATCATGAAGCTCCCTTTGTGTTATAGAATTTGGGAGAAGAAGTTTGGGAAGAATGCTAATCACGTGAAGAGGTACCAGGACGATCCGTCAAGGCGTGAGCGCCCTACGGAACGGCGACGGGGGAGCCAACCTTTGGGTCAACGCAATTCGGACCGTCCTCGAAAGCGTGACACTTCAAATCAGCAACATCAGCAACCACCTGATGCAGGTTGGAACAGGCGAGAGCCAAGCAATTCACATACGAAGAGTATTGTGGGGACACGCTCGACAATAGTGTCAAGTGCCGGAAGTTCTCAGCGGAACGACCGCCACGACGAGCGACCTCTACATCCCTCATGGGAAGCTAAGAAAAAACAAAAAACTGCTGGCATTGTACCTTCACAAGGCAAAAAGATTGTTTTCTCATCGTAATTCTTAGATGCATAGGATGCACATATGTAGTCAATGTATCATGATCGTCATATTTTCGCGACATTTTGGGCTCCGTCTATCCAAAGAGAAAATAATACTTCGTGAAAGAGAACAAGATAGAGGAAAATAGAGGAAGAGTTCACAACAAAAGGAGGAGTTTTAAGTAGCCAAGGAAGAGTATATGACTTACGGAAACATGCAAAAACAATATGGATACAGGAAGTCAGGATAGAATGATACTTTTTGAATAATTTGACTATACTCTCCTCGTCATGCACACACATGCCTCTTGCCTCCTTGCAATCTACACTTTCGTGAACACCACATTTCTTTGCATCGCGGACATCGAGGGAAGTCAAATCCACTCTTGTGACATGTAGAACAAACAGTTCGGCTGGACAGCTTTGAAGCGGACTCAACAGCTTCTAGAATAGGGTGGAGTTTGTTACTACCCAGGTCGATGGGCAATCTGGAAGGCCCTGGGTCGGTGAGAATAGCGGGTGAATTTTTTGTATAAATCTCCACAAGACATGAATCAGAGGAAGATGTCCGGCTGATGGAAGGACGGGTAGCGGATAGAGGTGAATCGGGTGCAACAGAAGAGTCTGGGGTGTCGTAATCATATACCGACGAGGATCCCCTGATAGGTAGCTTCCCTCGGCGACGTTCGTATAATAGAGAAATGGAGACTTCTGGCAGATTCAAGAATGCATAAGAACGCAGCCATGAAGATGCGGATGGGGTGGTGGTGAATGACCCGTAAGCACTGACTGTCCCTGGTACAGGTGAAGTTGCGGTCGCCGTGGACAGTTTTTGTACATATGCAGAGAGCACAGATGACTGGGAGGATGATCTAGAAGAGCGCGAGCTACTCCGTTTATGGAATCGTATGGGAATGGAGAAACAGTTTGCATTCTAAGACAAAGATAAGTTTGGGCCTGCACCAACACCCAGTAAAGCTGGCGTACCTGAGTATCATTGTAACGATGGTCGGCTTGGCTCATGTTTGAGTGCAATGCAATGTAGAAAGAGAAAAAGTCGTGCCAATATAAGTCTTTCACCAGAGCTGCTTATATGAACGTGGTAAACAAATTTCATCAACTGATTCCGGCTATGGAGGACCGTTTGTATAGAATGGACTACTGGAGCTGGAGAAAGGAACGACCCCCGTAATACAAATGTCGAATTCGAATCCGCAAAAAAATAACAGCCTGGGAGCTGAGAGAATACGTACCTTGGGGCGCTCGGCGTAATTCTGATCCAGGTAGATTTTTAACCAAATAGAATGCACAAGGACAATGAGAAGCAGGGCGTACCTCTGGAGAGCACGGGACAGATGATACGTAGCGTTAAGATAGGAAGGCTTCCTCAGCTTTGCTTTATATCGGAAGCACGATGGAGATACGGAGGACAAACGCAAATGTCAAAGAAAGTTACCAACAAGATCATTTCTGTCTCCGCGGGGACTTGAATAGCAGCCCGAGTTCGGTTCGCGGTAAATGGAAGGGTCCTTATCTTATCTTATCTCCAGCTAAGTCTAAATTTTCAGTCGTGTGACCCGATTTACTCGGATTTATAACCGAGAACTGAACGGAATGTTCTGTGTGGCAGAAGCTGTGTTAGCACTTGTACCCTACGAACATATTGATACTACTATCATGATGATTATCATGCTGCCATGCTGCATGTAACAGCAACCTGTGAGAACACCACCTGGCATCGGCATGAAGATTCATCACCACTACAAATAGATAGATAAGCCCAATTACTTGGATCTCATAGGCTCGTCACCTCTATCAGTCGAATAATAATACTACCCTGTCAAGTCAATGATCAATGTCGTACTTACCATACTTTATAGGCTAGTCTTTCTCAGCTGTACATAATTTTTTTTGCTGTCAAATCATAGCTCGGCGCAATCATCCATGTGCATTTTCGAATTGGTTCTATAGTTACTGTGTCGATGTCGACAGGAAGTAAACTGACTTACACAAACTAAGATAGGTTACTTTTGCATATGTGATTAGCATATCTAGCTTTTTTACTCACCTGGAGAACCCACCACGACCGTTTGTAACTTGAAGGTTATTGCCTAGACAGGAAACCGTTTTAATGTCAACATAATCCGAACAACAAGCGACGGAGCCCTTACCGCATGTGGACTAAAAGATAGAAGTAGAGAACTTACAGCAGTTTCTGATCTGACATACCTGACCATTCATGTCTGATACCTAATTCTCGCTTTTAGGCCCGAAATATGGATAGCCAATGCTTGACAGAGAGTAACCGCCTTTCGTTAAATTGCGACCGATATATTTTGATTGAAGGACTGATTTGTATTGGCATGGCTCCGGGTCTTCTGTGTTTTATCCTCGAGAAGGCTGTCCGCGGTTCGTGAAGCGAACGACTATACAGCACAACTGTGCTTATCCGCCGTGTACTTATCTTGATACCTTGTTCAAGTTGAAACGTAGTCTTGCGACAATTCAAACCTCGGCCCCCGTTTGACCACCGAAAGAAATCGGGTGCAGAGAGACAGCTAGGGAAGTCCGAAGAAAGGGTATACATGTTCCTTGGGAGGGACATGTAATGAAATATTTGCGTCCCCGCTGATGGATCCAAAGTAACTGCAGAATGTGCCAGTAGTGGGGTTGGACCAAGATCACCACTTAGAAGGCAGCACCAATCAGTAATCCTGCTCACGAGACAGAAAATGCAAGATACCGCATTTCCACAGCCCACGTGAAACGCACATGCTACGGGCGACCACTGTGCATAGCTTGGATCCTGCAGCATGGCCAGTGTTGTTACTGCAGTGCCTACGAGACGCGTCCAGTCCCGCTCGAACTGGTTATGATACTCTGACTGGGAGTGCTGGGCTGCGTTCGGAGAGGGAAAAGACAAACAAAGCAAAATAAAAGAATGACTACAGCGGCTGAGTGGAGAACGGCAAGGGCTTGGGCATACGACCACGATCCGCTACTAAAGTCCTGCCAGCCCTTGGTTTCCGCCCGCATTCTCTGTAACCAGAACAACAGCAAAAGAAAACAGAATCGTAATAATTGTAACATTTTCGGCTGTTCTCATTTGTCTTTCTACGTTTTTTTTCCCGCCGCATCAATAAGAACATGGTGAGTGAGATCTTAACTCCCGCAAATTCATCGTATCTCTAATCTGCCATGCGTCTATGCTTGTTATGATAGGGTCAAACTCTTTCAGCACCAGGTGTGTCTTTGTTAAGCTTTGTTTCGCTATCAGTACCTCTGCAACCAGTTTGATATTTTACTTATCTGCTTTTATTCAGCAACGACCAAGAAATCAGAGACGGGGGCTAATGGTCAGTATATGTTCGCAGTTTCAGAGATGCAGGGATGGAGAATCAGTGAGTGGATGAACATCGCCAGTTTTTTTTTCAATATATCTATATGCTGATCTCATTGCGTACTTCATCTTCGCCACCAATCTTTTCCCCCGGATCTTCCTTCGTTCAGCCATGGAGGATGCCCATGCGACTCTACTCTCTGTAGACGAGAGTTCTGCGGATTCTAATACCTTCTTCGCCGTGTATGACGGCCATGGTGGTATGCTCCTCCTTTTCATATTAAATATAACAAGTCTAAATAGGCGATGCAGGTGGATCTGTGGCCAGGTTTGCCGGCAAGCATGTACATAAACGGCTTGTCACAGAGGAAGCATACCGTGAGAAGCGATATGAAGAAGCTCTAAAGAGGGCGTTCCTGGGGACAGACGAAGATCTGCTTGCAGGTATTCACGCTAGTCATACCCGTGTTTTCATATGGTGGCTGATCGCTCGTATCAGATCCAGCACATACACGAGATCCTTCCGGATGTACAGCAGTTGCTGCTCTCGTTTCTTCGGATGGAAAGATATATGTGGTATGTTGTCTCCGACGTTATTTGTTATTCGTTGACCCTGATATATATATGATTGCAGGCCAATGCAGGTGATTCTAGGTCTGTAATCAGTGTTAAAGGAGAGGTAAAGCCTCTCAGCTTTGACCATAAACCGTCAAGCGAAAGTGAGTCTCGCCCATGTCGCGTAACAATGATCCGGAATATAATAATTTGTGTCGTGTGCAGCTGAGAAAGCCCGCATTGTTGGGGCTGGTGGATATGTAGAATATGGTCGTGTCAACGGTATGCCCATACATGCCCATACCATTCAATGTATTAAACTTATTCTAATGTCGTCTGTCAGGAAACCTCGCCTTGTCAAGAGCATTGGGAGATTTCGAATTCAAGAAAAATTACTCTTTAATTCCGCAGAAACAGATCATTACTTCCGATCCTGACGTCACAGTACATTCAGTCACAGAAGAGGATGAATTTTTAGTTCTTGCGTGTGACGGTGGGTTTTGCCATGAGTCTTTCATTAATGTCATCTTTACGTGTTGTTAGGTATATGGGACTGCTTGTCGTCTCAGCAAGTTGTTGACTACATTCGCCTTAAAGTTTCCGAGGGCAAGGAACTTTCTGCGATTGGCGAGATGCTGTGTGATCATTGTCTTGCTCCGGACACATCGTCAGGTGCAGGCATTGGTTGTGACAACATGACTGTCCTCATTGTTGCGCTTCTCCATGGTCGCACTAAAGAACAATGGTACCAATGGGTGACGGATCGCGTCAAGGACGGCTACGGTTACGCTACGCCCGATACCGTGCCTCAGATTTATGCTCAGAGCAGATTGCTGGCATTCAGGGCACGCCAGGAAGCTCGAGAACAAAGGGAACGTATGCGGCAAGGGCGGGATGATTCCCCAAGCAGCAACAACAACTCCCTTATTGGGCCTTCAATTGTGCGCCTTTTTGAGAGCGGGGGAATTTCGCTCCCTGTTGGTACCACCATCATTGGTCCCAACGAGAAAGTCATGTTTGGCAGGGGTGACGACAGCGAAGAAGACGAGAGCGGGGACGATATGGATACGGAAGTCGCGCGGTCGCTTTTTAGCAATAATTCCTCGTTCGGTATCGAAAACGCACAGTCCGCAGACGCCACGCAATCTTTACGTGATCGGTTGGATGCATTCGAAAGAGACATCCAAGATGACGAATTCGACGACGAATTCACGGAGGGTGATATAGAAGGAAAGGCCAACCATATTGCCGAAAATGTGGACTCGGGGAAGGCTAACCATGAACCTATCAACAGCTCCCCGCAAGTAAACCAGAACGGCTTGCAAGGAGAGACCCCTCCACCGCCGAAACCATCAGTCAATGGTGACATTTTACCCTTGCAACAGCTGAAGTCCCAGCCTTTGGGCGATGAAATAAACCCTGTGGTGAAGGCAGACGGGTTTATAGATTCAAGCGAAGACCCCTTGTTGGTATAGTAATAGCGCTGTTGTGTGCGCGGATTTTTTTTTTCACAATGCGTCTTCTCATTCATTCATATTTCCTTTCTCTTTCTGACTGACTGACTTGTTGTTTGGGCTATCTCGTGCTTCGTTTATCTATTTGGTTTTGTACCTTGTCATCATCATGCCTTGTAGCAACTCTGGTTCACGATTCCCCATTTTCGAACCTCAGTATTATACATCTTATACTCGTTTACAGGCTTTTAAAACTGTACTACTGGTGCTACTGGGATGCGTTTATAAGATCTCTTGTATCACAACCAACTTGCTTTCGCAAAGGCAAAGAATAACATGCTTTCCTTGCGCTGTTTGCCATGCACCGACTCCTAAGAGTGACCCTGCAGTGCCATCGCTTAGTTTGAGGATGCTTTGCTTAGCCCACAGCTGGTTGGGAGCGGCCCTTCGGTATACATATACATTGCCTCCACGACCTCCAGACCCACTCTCAAAAGCAAGCACAGCTTTGGAAGAGATATGGTATGTGAAACGAGTGTCACGTTTGGAAGCTAACACGAAAGCTAGTGCAGAAAACGTCCCGTCATGCGTCCATTCAGGAGAACTGCTGATGCCAGTTGAAGAATTGAGAGAGAATAGTATCCCGTCAAGGCCTTGTTTCAATACCAAGGAAGGTTGGGCGTGTGGACCTGGTAAAGCTATAGAGAGTACGTTGAAGGGTGTACCAGACTGAGCAGTCAACCACGTTGGACTATTTCCATCCTCTGTGACCCAGGTTAAAGAAGCCCCCCTCCCAATGGAAGTATCTACTTCATCATCCATTTCCCCTTCAGCAAGTGAAGGTACCCCGCGTCCCAGGCCCAGACCACTAGTATCTTCACCAGTCTGAAGAGATGAAGTATATTTTTCTAACGTCTCGCGGATCGTATATAGCTCAGAAGGGTCCAGAGTCTCTGGTACTTCCACGTCTTCTCCTTCTCCCGTATTAGATGATGTACCTGCGGAAGCAAATACTTGCACCCATCTCGTTCCCTCGTGCTGCTTATCCAAATGGAGAGTCAGAAGGCCGTAGGAGTGCTCTCCTTCGCGATCCCATGTCCAAAAACTTGTCGAAGGAAAAACGCCGTCCCACAATTGCTTTAGGGAGTAATGCGGCAAAGAGACGGAAGAAGTTGCGGCTTGAATATGAAGCGTCAGCGTACGTGATGTGAAGGAAACCTTTATATCAGATTTTGGTGTGGCAGATGGGAGCGGGAATGCGATTGTGACAGAATCTGACGTTTGTGTCCACGAGTAAGGAGGAGGCTTCGCTTTTTGAGCCTCGTCATTATCTAGGTTCTCATCCGCACGAGGAATAGGGGCAATCTCGTCGAGTGAAGGTTCATATGTAGGGGTTGAAGGGACATTAATATCGTGATATATCGAACTTCCCAATAGAATGTGCAAGTTCCGCAGGTGGTCGTAAGACGTATAGATAGGAACGTCGTCTCCGCGCCTCCGCCAAATTACGTTTAAGCTGATAACCTCATTGTGAGCCTGAGAGAATGGCAATGTGAATTGTACGGCCCAGATATCAAAACGAGCGGCACGACTTTTCCCCATGTATTTACCAGATTGTGCAAGCGGCTCTCCATTTTTATCATCGTAAACTCTGGATGATAGTAAGGCCACAGCTGCAGTTTCTGATGTGTTCACGACACTGTGAAGTCGAAATGGGATAGCCATATTGGATTCAGGAGTCGATAACTCATAACATCCAACTAGATCTGAAGCGCCTGCAGCAGCGAGATTGAGGACGTACAGTGCACCGTGGCCATCGGCCACAAACACTGAGTTATGGTCGAGGAATGCCGAAGAAGGATACTCGAAGTTCAACGATGCAACTGTGGGTGCTGAAACGGGCTTTGGAAGTTCGTAGGCAATCCTGAAAGACGGAGTGCGACTATCCTACTTCGAGGACAGGGTAAGTTGAAGATACAGAGAAGCATCAGGGGAAACTGGCTTACCTCCGCAAATTCTATTAGAACAACTTTATGTTCTGCATCGACGTAGAGAGCACGACTTCCCTCAGCTGCCACTGCAAGATGATTGTGTGTGATCCGACTTTGCACCTCTTGAAATGATAAAGGGGATTTTCCTGAGACAGTGGCTTGTGTGAGCTTATACTCGAGATCATGGCGTGTCACGACGTCTTCTTGGCGAACGATATCCAATTTGTAGCCCTCAAATTTTGGATTGAGCAAAGCTCGGTTAGGCTCGAAAATCGCCATGTTGAATGGATGAACGAAATTTGAGATACGCTTAGGGTTTGACAAGAGCGTTGAGTGTTGCAAGGTTATTTGCCGGCCTCAATATTAGAGAAAGGGTTGTAATGATGATCTTGTTGCACAAAACTCCTCGAAGGATGGGCTCAAGGTCGCGGTGTCGCGCTGCTAAGCGTGCACTCCGACGGACGAAACACGCGGGTTCGTTTATTTCCCCCATGAGCTCATTCATATATTCATAAGTTATGTCAGACTTGCGAATTCTGAGCGCTCTACGATATCGTTTTCACACATTATCCAGTCTCCAACTGTCAACCTGAATGGGAACGTTGACATAACTGTTGCAATGGGGCAGTGCATGCCTCCATGTCACCCAGGGCCTCTTTTTGGGACGTTGAGCAATACGGCGCAGCAACAACACATATCACCATCACATCCTAATTAAATCGAACTGCACGTCCACTTCATTATCTTCCATCATATCATTAACCGAGTTCATGGATGCCGCTGATACAGGTATGTGCCATCTTCAACTTTCAGAAGAACATCTCTAAGTACCGCCTCCCGGCAGCTCTTAAAGTTGGCAATATTTCTATTAATTTCTCGGATTCAGCATCTACTTCCTTTCCATCTACGGAATGCTGCGTCTGGCTGTCGCTTGAAGTAGATGGTCGTGAAGTAAGCCGAACGTCTCGTATAGCAGGGTCAAATAAGGTAGCGTGGAATGAGACTTGTGAATTGTGAGTATGCATGTATATTCATAATCACACGTACGCGTAGAAGATTCTGATGTTTCAAATGTGCACCAGCAACATAGCCGCGACATCGGCACTGACCTTCTTCCTGCATGTTTGCTCCAATCCAAAAGCTTCAGGGGAAAGCTCGATATTTGGCAAAGTCGTGGTCGAGTCTAACCATCTGATTACTCATGCGAGTAACAATAAAGGTATGTGGTACCATAGCAAGCAGTTCCCAAACAAGAACCGATGTCATTATGTAGAGATTGTGCTCGCCATCGAACCTCCGGAACAGCACAGATCCACCTTCCGAGGAGACCTCGTGTTCGAAGTGGAAGTATTGATGTGTATCATAATATCGGAAGGTGTGAAGTCCCCTGGGGTACGTTATGTCGACCACACGGTTTATATATACGTATCTGATTTCATGATTGTTCAATTTTGTGCTTTCAGATTAGTGAAGTCAAAGAGTTTGATATTGTCCTGCAAAGTAGCGCAGAACAATGTTCGTGTAGTGCGGGACTAGATAACCCTTGCGAGCACTATGGTCGTTATTCTCAATCTGGCAATGTGCAAGAGCTAGAGCTATCTATCAAACACTATAGCAGTGCATTGAGAATGCGTCCCCCTCAACACCCCTTGCGCTCACTTTTACTCAGTAATCTTGCTGTCGCGCTCAAGAATAGCTTCAAGCATAAAGGCGACCTTCGGGATCTAGACGTAGCGATCGAGTTACAAACTAGTGCTCTAGAATCGCGCCCTCCCGGACATCCACTTCGTGTCAATGCGCTTTCTAATCTCGCCAATACCCTTTGGGTTCGATTTTTGCGTACAGATGACTTCCACAATCTGGATTTAGCGATTGAACACCACACCAGTGCCTTCACTTTACGTTATCCTGGTGACCCACATTTGTTTATTTCGCTCAACAACATTTGCCTTGCGCTTGGGACTCGCTTCCAACGTCAAGGGAGAATTGAAGATTTAGAACAGCTTATCAGGCACTATACTAGTTTGGTGGAGCTTTATCCACCAGGTCATCCCCAGTCTTCCGACCCCCTTAGTCATCTGGCCCATGCTCATTGGCATAGATACGAGAGGCAGGGTAACCTGCGAGATTTGGATTCGGCCATTATGTACCATGGTTCCGCTTTAAAGCTGCGTCCCGTAGGGCATGTTGGCCGACCTCAGTCACTAAATAAACTTGGGAATGCCCTCCTTTCTCGATTTCGGAAATTGGGCGAGGACCATGATATAGGATTGGCTATCACCTATTACAATGAAGCGTTGAAATGTTTCCCGCCAAATCATCCTCTTTGTTTCGATTTATACACTAATCTTTCCAGCGCTATTGCACTTCGTTATCAGCAACATGGCGATCCCGAGGACCTCACATCAGCTATCGAATACAACAATCGTGCACTGACACTCTGTCCCCCTGGACATCCCCATCGCCCTGAGGTACTTACAAACCTCGCCAATGCATACATCATTCACTTTAGGTTAGATAGCAATCAAGAAGACTTAGACCTAGCTATCGAGCATTACAGCGTCACTCTAGCATTATGTCCACAGGGACATTCCTACCGTTCTTTATCTCTCGATAACTTAGCCCATGCGTATCACCTCCGCTTCACGCATCGTGGTGATCTTGTGGACCTCGAATTATCCATTGCACACCATAGCGAAGCACTGGAGTTACGCCCCATAGGGCATCCGTACCGTCACGACTCGCTGATCAACCTTGCTCGTTCTCTAATTTCCCGGTTCAACGAGCAAGGTGTCAAGCGAGACTTGGATGAGGCCGTCGAGTATCTTAACAGTGCATTGGAATTATGTCCACAGGGAAATCCTGCTCGTCCTCTGGTCCTTACCACTCTAGCCCTTGCCCTTGATACGCAACTTGACCAGCAAGGTGTTGTTGGCGATTTGGACTTGGTTGTGGAACATGTTATCGATGCATTGAATTTGCAATCGCCGGGAGATCCTCTACACGTGGAATTATTTCAAACCCTAGCTTCTCTATATTTTTCTCGTTTCAAAGAACGCGGCGATCTTCGCGACATGGAGCTGGCTGTTGAAAACTCTAGGAACGCGATAGACCTGTGCCCTCCTGGACATGTCGTTCTGTTTTTCTCTCTCTACGCTCTTGGCTGTGCACTTACTCTTCGGTTTCAACATCAAGGGGACTTTCGAGATTTGGAACAAGCTATCGACTGTATCACTAAATCTGTAAATCTTTGCCCCCCTGGAAATCCCAAACGTGGCACATGTCTTTCCACCCTTGCCACTGCGCTGTTAATTAAGTTTAAACGGACGGGAGAGATAGTTGATTTGAAGCTAGTTATTCAGCACTATACTGATGCCTTGCGTCTGTGTCCAGACGGACATCCTCAGCAACCACACAGGGTCGGTAATCTCGCTGCTGCCAGACGTGAACTTTTTGGTGTCCGCGGTGATCCTAGGGATCTGGACATCGCAATAAAGCTTTTCCATAACGCATTGGATCGTCTCCCACAAAAGCACCCTTCCCGTATAGCACCTCTCTGTAACGTAGCTGGTGCTCTTCACAGTCGGTTCAAGCTCCATGGTGAAACTGCAGACCTCGAATGCATGCTCCGTCATTTACATGATGCATTGGATGCCTTACCTCATGGACATCCACAACTTTATGGCGTGTACCACTATTTGTCTGGTGCATATATCGCAAAATTCTCCCTCTCGAGCAGTATAGATGATCGTAATCAGGCCTTTGAATATTACGAATTAGCTTCGACATTATCAAGTGCGGGATCTTCGCCTCAGTTTGAAAGTGCCTTGCAATGGATTGCGTATGCAGAAGAAGAGGACCATATTTCGAAATTAAAGGCGTACATAACCACACTCAATCTTTTAGACCGCTTTCTCTTAGTAACATCATCCGTCCCGAGACGTTATATGATGCTCAAAGAAATACCTTCTTCTCTAGTGCCAGATGCTGCATCCTGTGCCATCCGCGATGGCAAGGTAGATACAGCCGTCGAATTGCTGGAACAGGGAAGGGGGCTGCTTTGGACTCAATTAGCACGGCTTCGGACTCCTTTAGAAGGCCTTCGAAACAGCAACCAAGATGGGCAACGTTTAGCGGACGAATTTGAACGGATCACAATATTACTGAATCGCGAAGACTACACGTCGCCGGGCATAGAAAGCTCAGAGTCATCGACCTTATCACTCGAGGAAGCCGTTGAACGCTACCGAAAATTGTGGGGAGAATGGGATGCGATTATCGATAAGATTCGCTTGATGGATGGTTTTGCTCATTTCTTGAGACCGATACCACTCGGTGATCTTCAGATGGCAGCCGTTCATGGTCCTGTGATCATACTCAATATCAGCCAGTACTCTTGTGACGCTATACTTGTCTTTCACAAAAGAGGACCCCTCCTTGTACCTCTCCCTCGGGTCACGGATGAACAAGTTATTCACATGTCGGAAGACTTTACAAACGCTCTGAAAATGACCACAGCCGTAGGGGATGAGAAGACAAGGGAAAAGAAACTCACATTCCTGCTGCGAACGCTCTGGGACAATATTGTAGAACCCATTGTACTGGCTCTGAAGTCTGTCGGAGATATTGTGCCCATAGGATCTCGCATATGGTGGTGCCCTACTTCAAAGTTGACCTCTTTGCCGTTACATGCTGCTGGACCATACCGGAAAGGTGAAAAGAACCTGTCTCAGCTTTTCATCTCTTCGTACACGCCAACATTGTCCGCGCTGATCAGGTCGCGAAGAAAGTCGACGATTGTCAGTCCAGGGTTAGATACTCCCATTCAAACTTTCCTTGCTGTTGGCCAAGCGAAACCTCACAAAAGCACTGACGAAAATGAACTCCAGTCAGTCGATGCAGAGCTTGACTTGGTTAGGACTCTTGTGCCACCTTCTTTGTCATATTCTCAGGTGACTGGCGATGCTGCGACTGTAGATGGAGTAATGAATGGATTCCGTGCGAATGGGTGGATTCACCTAGCCTGTCACGGCAGACAGGACTTTTCACAGCCTTTTGACTCTAGCTTTGCTTTACGTGACAAACCTCTTCGTCTCATGGATATCATTCATGCGGACCTCGAAAATCCCGAGTTTGCCTTCTTATCAGCTTGTCACACTGCTCTTGGAGATGAGAGCACACCAGATGAAGTTATCCATCTTGCAGCTGGCATGCAGTTTTCTGGATTTCGCAGCGTTATAGGGACATTATGGGCAGTCGATGATAAAACTGCAATGCACGTGGTCACCGAGTTCTACAAAAACCTTTTCAACGAGGGAATCAACTGTACAGGTGCTGCAAAGGCACTCAACAAAGCCGTAAAGAAGGTAAACAAAACAGAGGTACCATTAGATCAGAGGATTGTATTCATTCACATCGGAGCCTAACTAGTGTTATCCATGCTGTCGGTTAATAGCGAGGTAAAATGATAATCTTTAGGTTATTGTAAAGACAATAACCTTTGCGGAGACTAGCACCTGAGTAAAATCTTTCCAGAAAAGGTCGTTGGAAAAACTTTGGTAAAAATTCCCGGAGGTAACGAATTACTGTAGTACGGATCCACCGTCCTACAATTAGCTGAATTGAATTATCACATCGTATTCGCGTGGATCGTGATTGATATTCCATGGATCTGCCACGTTCAACATGCTACCGTTGAAGACACTGCATAGAATCAAATCACAAAAAAAAATAAACAATAAAGATACTACAATATACAAACTGATTGGTCACATCTAGCTCTGCTCAGTAAGCGGATTTTTTTCACTGTTATCATTTCTTCGCTCGCGATGGTTTATCGGCTGCAACAATCGAACGGCTCCTGCCACGTTTGGAGAGCGCTGAAGTCTCAGAAACTTCTTGCCTATTGGGTGGACCAGGCGTTCGACCCCTTTCTATCTGTTGGCCTCGAGATTCTATTGGTGTCGAAGATTCATCGTCGACAACCTGAGACCGTTTCGTGCTTTTTGAGATCTCGTCCATCGAGCTTGCAGCCACACGTCTTATAGAGGACTGTGGGCGATGTGATGCATGCTCGTTTTTCATAGGACGTGACCCCTGTTTATCGCTCGTATCTTGACCGGATCGATTTTCAGTTACCCAGGCATCCAATTCATCGACGGGCGAGTCGTGACGCCTTCTGCCTCGATTCTCTGAAGTCGAGGGACGATCAACAGAGCGTGGACGATGATCGTCATTTAGAACGAATGACACTCTCCTTCCCCTCGACTTACTACGTCCCTTAACGAGAGACTTTGGACGCACAATCTCGCCATCACCTGTTGAGAGAGCAGGCGATAGAAGTTGAGGCGAAGAGGGCGGAAAGGTTGCTTGCGACGATGAAGGAGTGATCATATTGGAAAAAGACTGCGCAGGGACAGGAGTTTGATGCATGAATGGGATAGATGATGATGAAGAGTCACTTCGACTATGGAGCGGTGGGGGCGGTCTGGACTGATGGGATATATGATGTGTGGGGGTATAAGGTGGCCAAGGCGGAGGGCTAGGAAGGGAAGGCGGAGGATATGACGGGTGAGCATATGGTGCAGGAGGTGGCGCTGAGTGCTGCATCCACGGCGGTTGCCCTGGACCTGCATGTCCATTGGAAGACATGAGGAAGGAGAGATGGTGCATCGCTTGTGCGAGGAGGTATTGCGCATGTTGGGTTTGCATGGAATCCATGTGTGGAGGGTACGACTGGGGTGTATCCGGATATGGATTGGAAGTTAAAGGGTGATGTGGAACGCTATATGGCTGAGAATAAGGATAAGGATAATAAGGTGACGCGGTACGGTCGGACGAAGGAACTGGAGTAGGTAGGGGTACTGATGGCACACGGGACGAAAAGTGACGATGTTCTCTTTCGACGTGGCGATCTGACCACAGATATAAGCATGGGACATGTCTGAATTATGAATAAACATACCTTGATCCCGAAACTGATGGCTGTCGTGATCACTAGGGGTAGCTGGCCGCGAATTCGAATACCGAAATGGAGGACTGTCGAGGACTGGCGATGCTGCAGAAACATTGTGCGGTGAGTCCTCCGATGGTTCTGAAAGGGTAGATGAAGGGAGGCGTTTTCGTTTTCGCCCTCTTGATGGAGTTCCCGGGGTCTCTGGAGGATGGGAAGGAAGCCTTCGAGTACTAGAGGGAAAGTCATTGGCAAAGTCTTCATCCGCTGCTGGTTCCTTTGTGGGCAGTCCTTTTGCGGCTGGAGTTACCTTATGGACAACAAGAGTATCGCGAAGTTCTCTACCCTTTCCCTTCTCTTTGGCTGGGATGCGTTTTTCAACTGAAGTGTTTGATATTGCTTCAGCTTCAGCATCGTCTGACGTCTCCACCACTTCCTTGTCCGAGTCCCTGTCGCGAGCTGTTACCTGTTTTTTAAGCTTGCCAGAAGTAGATTTTCGAATGATAAGTACTTCCGGTACGAGTCTGGGTTTCGAGGGCTTTTTGGGAATTTTGCTATGAGTATCTGTTGCCTTCTGTGGAGACCTGCGCTTTTTGGATTTACTAAGAAGATCGATCATAGGAGCAACCTCATGATTTGGCACTTCAAGGACTGGAGGGGGTAGTTCAACATCCATTATGGCGCCTATTTCAGGGGAGAGCGGCGGTGCTTCGAATGGAGGGAGCGAAGCAGCTTTAGAAGAGTTTTGGGGTGGATTTTCTATCTGGAACGAAGACGAACGTGGCGGAGTTTGCAGTTGTAGTGCTGAGCCGTCTATAACAGGTGAATCTTGTCTGAGAAGAGGAGATGCAGGTACGTGCCCTCGTTCGCGCGATTTTGCAGCTCTTGGTTTCGACTTGCCCCTGCTTTTTGACCTAGCACGTGTTTTCGGTGCGACGGAACGCCTAGAAACAGTTCCACTGCGTTCAGAGACTGGAACCGGTGGAGGAGTGGGTGGTGGTGAAGGTGTAGGAGAGTCTGAAAGATCAATTACTTCGTTTTCGATTCGCGAGATATCTTCCTGCTCACGATCGCGTGATACTTGGTACACTGCACTAGCCTCGTCCCTCTCCCATACACCTAGCTCGTCCTCGGACTCGTCGTCTGTGGGTGGGTCAAAGTTTATATGCATAATTTCAATATCAGAGGAGCTAGAAACGTCAGCATCATCTCTGGTCGCTTCTTCTGATCGTGTCTCTCCGCGTTCCGTAGCATTCCCATCCTCCGACTCCTTGTCGCTATTGTCTTTATCTTGTTCTGCCAGCACTTTTCGCAAGGCAGCCAAATCCTCGTTTGACAGATAATCTTCCTCAGCATACAGATCCTGTCGCTTTCTTTCTGCCTCCAGAAATTCGTTCAAGTCCTCTGCATCTGCCGACTCCATTCCGCGCATTGGTGGCACATTGCGATTTATTCGTTCTGCCACGAATGTTTGGCTAATATCTGGTTCTGGAACGGAAGAATCCACTTCATCTTCATCTTCCTGGTCGTTTTGGTCACGGTCGTCGCCAAATGATTCGGAAGGGTCGTCAAGCGGAAGATGGCCAATGTCATGGTGTGCAGTACCACGCAACACACCTCTATCTTTGATTATAGCTCCTGACCATAAATCAACGACATCATCCTCATCCAACCTGCGGTTATAACGTTCTGCGAGTTCAGCCCAGGCGTTGAGAACGCGCATAGAGGATGCTCTTCTGGCATCTTGGACGTCTGCTGCCGGGTCCTGCGACGGCGTATGAAAAGATAAAGGCGTGGATGAGGAAGAGCTTGACGGTGTCGCTGTAAGTCGGGGCCGTTTGGGGAGAGGAGCGGTATCTGGAGCGCGTAGAGGAGGGTTCATTGGGCGAGACACCATCGTAGGGAATACAATTCAACTTATTCCACGTAAGTCATGTGACTGGTCCGTTGAGGCAAGTCTCGGGCAATTCCGCCATATTTCATTTATACAGTATACTATAACCATTTTATAAAAGGACTCGAAACAAATACAGCGTGGTAGACGAAGAAAAAAGTACTCCATACCTAACTGCGATATTCAGTTAAGTGTGTATCTATGGGTGAGAATGTCAAGTTACTGCGATACTGGTGAGTGACATGAGCAAATTGGATAGATCGCGATGGTGGATTTATCGAATCATGGTTGTCAGACTGGGAGTCGACAGTGCGTAGGTGAAGAATAATGCGGCACGCCAGGCTGCTGTGCAAGGTATAATATAGTCTGGAGGGAAGAACTCGGTTTAACATCCTCAGACGACTACAAACCAACGACAGCCTTAGATCACTTACATGTCTAAGACAGGTCTCAGGGCAGACTAGAAAAGGACTGCTTTGAGATCTACTACAGACAACAAATATTGGGAAGGGCTTACAGGGAAACTGGTCATGGCGACAGCATTTCCCACTGACAATGCTAGGTAGTGTGCATGAGCATTGCATCTGAAAAAGAGAACACTATTCAACGTACCCAAGGTACAGATGTAAAATATGATCCCATCCTTGTAAAGTGTTCGTACTAGAGGACTGGAATTATGGCGAAAGACCCCAACCATTCGGTAAAGCAAGAGGCTTAAGAGTACTAATCAGTTGAATGAAACCATCAATTCATGAATGTCATAAAGCAGGCGGAATAAATATCAAACTTACTTGTTTCAAGAAATATGACGCACATTATAATCACCACCGCATACACAGAGTCACCCGCTTGCGTAACAGGGCTGCATCCTTGTGGATTGGGTATCTGAATGTCTTTTTTTCAAACTTTCTAACTGAGACACAGGCGAGAATATAGGGAAGCTCACAGTATAGAAAATGAACATATACAAAGGCACAGGTGATCATAGCGACACCGAGAGCCTTTGTTTGGTTTGTAAATCTTTATAGTCGAGGGCAAAGGTGAGAGGTCGTACCGAAAATAGAGTCCACAAGAAATAATGAAGTCTTTTGCGGTCACCCCAGACTGCACATGTTCGAAGAACGAGTATCGCTGAGTTGATACTTGTAAATGTTTGCCTGTCATGATATCATGTAAGAACTCTCGCCTTCTGTTCCAACGACGCCGGTTATGCCAAGCACTGCAGAGTTTTTTCAGATTATATGAGTATATATGATGCAGGTCTAACGCAGGTAACTTTACCTCCACTAGCATAAGTCGCTTGTCGGCATACCTGGATAATGGGAAGAAAGTTCCTCAGTAAATAACAAGAGAAGAGGCGGAAAATGAACACGAACACTTGGGGATACACTGGGGCTGGACGATACTTGAAGTCTATCAGCTCTGTACGGGCCACTGAATATCGATTACTCACAGATCATGTTCGGGATAGTCACGATGAACATATAATAGCGAGAAAAAAGGAATAAGAATTTGGCAAGGTTCCATTTTGATTTCCAAATCAGCGCAACCTGGACTAACAATTTAGCACTCTCGGACGTTTATAAGCGAGTCAGCTCTACCTCCCGCTCCAGGGTATTGCAATAATCTAGGACCTACGATGTGGACATTAGTCGAACAAGGATAGTCAACCAGGAGGCTTACTAGAATAGGAAAACATGCCACTATTCTCGTAGATGTTCATATCGGATTAGTACTCATTGTTTGCTACTTGAAGGAATCTGCCATTTAAACGCACCGTCTACATACTAAACAGGTGTGGAGTTAAATCGCTGAAAAATCTGCTAATTTAAAGGGGTCCGAATGGGCTTTGCTGACCTTGACTACTTGAACTTGAAACGCTACAGAGTTTGTAAGGTATGTTGGAATGGAAGTCATAGTATATCGCAAGGTTAGAGAAAGGTTGATGTGCAGGCGTACGTTGGGGGAAAGGCTAGACTAGGATGCATACGCAGGCATTATAACAATCTTGTGTAGAGGCGTTAAGGCTATGACCCTGTCAACCATATCATAAAACATAGTCATATGAGTACTATTACCACTTATGCTGTGTGTGTACGGCATATATCCTGCAGCTGAACGGCTTGTTCAGAATACCAAGTCTTTATTTTACGCAAATAATACAGTCCCTCCCTCAATCTTTGATGGCGTATCATATTTTTAGCGCTCTGTACGTAATTGAGGCAGGACTCTGAACTTCCACGTTGACGTTGATCTAGAGTTTTTAGGAGAACGGTTATTTGTGCAGCACATTTATCACAACTAAATATGTTTCCTCCTTTATTGTGCTCGTGTAAAGGTATAAACACAGAAGCAGGATCAGAATACAGTGCAAAATGTTGGCGCGATACTACATACTCGGAAAACGACAGTCATGATCGAGTTAAATGGGTCCGACATCAGTCGTAGAAAACAAGAAGTCTCAGCTCAATCGACTCTCGCAGAGGGGCATCTTTCGGGGTCGTCGGATCCTGGAATCCTGTATGGGGCGTCATAACCGCTACGCTGCCATCTTGCACAGAGTCGAAGCTAGAAGATCAAGTGATATCAGTGATTGCAACATTCCTGATGATCATGATGCGTACCATTTGATAAGCACGATCTCGTCCGGTTCCATGCCCTTGAGATACTTCCACTTGTGATTTGGATTGTGCCTGATACCCAATATCTCCCCTTCCCTATCCGGATAGATCAGCGCAACTGGTATCAAGTCCTTCTTAGCGTCGACACTGCGATAATCGCACAGTGCGAGGGGCCAGTCGAGAGCCGCATGAGAGATGGGGCGCCAGAGGTTGACGATCTGGAAACGGCGGCGAAGCAGAGCAGGCGCATCAGTGGGTGGGAGATGACGATGGACGCGAGCTACGGAGGATGCTGTGGTCTGGTCGACATGGACTAGAGAGACTGGCTGACGCCTTTGTGGGCTATCATCTGCTTCTCCTGGTCGACGGCGTCGAATAGCTGCGATCAGAAATGGACGAGTGAGCAGACAAGTCGCTGAGGTTCAAGGAGAAAGAACATACTATGGTCAAAGACGACGGCACTGCTAGCGCCTGTTAGTTCTTTGATGAGTTCGATGCTCTCTGGGTAATACTCTTTCTGGATCTCAGCATCATCTGTGAAAGTGGTATGCTTGGCGGGGCGGCGAAAGAACTGGAACCCAGAATTATCAAGAGTATAATCGCCCTCGCTTCCACGGACGTTCTCGATCTGAGCTTCATGATCATCCTCTACCCAACTACGGTCGACCTTGCCGGTCACGGGATCAGCATTAACATTGGTGTAAACTCGTCTCCCGTCTGAGGGCGGAAGGAAATACTTGAGGAGAGTACTCGTCGTGCTCATTATCGGTGCTCAGATGCTCCAACTTTCCAAAAATCCGTAGGCAGAACGATAAGAAAATGACATGGCGACATTTCGCGATATATATGTGGTGTATATTGCTGAGGAATCAACAGCCTGAGAAGGAAATCTAAAAGTTGCGTGCTTGGCTTACACACCTCATTTTCTCGCAGTTTTTCCGTCTATTCTTTCCATAGTAGGACTAGAAAACAGAAGTTAGGAATGAACAATGAGTCATCGTGTCTCAGGCTGGTTAAACCCACACCCAGTGATCGCCACAGTGCCATGTTATCGGTATGCATAGTTGGTGTGCATCCATGATTAATCAAAGGCTGGCGTTTCTGTTACAAGGTCACCGTCGAGGTGCATGATGGCCTTGGGGTCCAAGTACACTGCAGGACTTTAGTGAGGTGCGTTTGGCGGGTTCGTCATTTGTGACTGGCGCATGAAAATGCACTCAATGCACAGCACTTTTGGCGAGATAAGGTACGGCGAAGTCAAACTGCCCCCAGAGGAAGCTTTCACTGCTGAGAGGCTTCATGCATCGATGGTCGATTGTCGCTGTAGTACGGAATTTATTCAAGTTGCACCAACAATATTCGGTTTAGTTACCGGAGTCGCCCGGACTGACCGCAGGTCCCATTGTACTCGAGGCGCTCATATGTCGATATACAATGAGCTCTAAGGGGAGATGAACCGCTTTATTGTCTTTGCCATCATCGTGCTTTCTTCCAACCACCCCAAACGCTCTCCAGGCTGAGCCGTTGAGTCTATTCTTTTCAGTTTTCGCTCACTTCACACTTTCCTTACACATGCACTTTCCTTTGAATATGCTCTCGGTTTCCCTTTGTATTTCTCTACTTGTTGCATTTGCTAATGCCATCCCTCTCAAAAGAACAATGTCTGCTGAGGTCAGTATGCCACCACCTGCTACTTCTCTTCACTCTGCGACACCAGTCTCTTCCTCCGAGTCTCTACCCGCGGCATCCTCAGCCACTACCACAACCATTGTCTCTGGAGGTCCTTCTACTACCACTACCACTCCCACTGTCTTATCTTCTGCTCCAAAATATGTTGTGGCGCATGTTATCGTAGGAAACACTTATCCATACACAGTCGATAATTGGAAATCGGACATTTTGCTTGCACACGCCAACGGGATCGACGGGTTTGCATTGAATGTTGGATCTGATAGCTGGCAGCCCCAAAGAGTTGCTGACGCGTAAGAACAAAGCCTATCACAAATAATCCCTGAAATAACGCAATGAATCATAGATATAGTGCAGCTGCACAATCCAGTACCGGCTTCAAGCTTTTCTTGTCTTTTGACATGTCGTGAGTGTCTTTTTCTTTCGTTCTGTTATGCGATACTCAGCGTTGTCAAGTGCAATGCCGTGTAGCTCTAGTGAAGACGCCTCAGTTCTCCGCAATTACATCACTACCTATGCTTCACATCCAAATCAATTGATCTATAACGATCGTGTATTTGCATCCACATTCTCTGGAGAATCATGTACTTTCGGACAAGGAAGTGTTCCATCAGGCTGGTCTACGCAGTTTACACAGCATCCAGACCTGACCGGGTCAAATGCGGTCTACTTTGTCCCTTCATTTTTTGTGAATCCGAACCAGTTCAATACATTTGGTGATGTTATGGATGGTGATTTCAATGTAAGAGGCTCTTCACGTCTCTCAGCGCTTGGTTTGACTAAAATACAATCATCAGTGGAACTCTGGCTGGCCCATTCAAGTTAGTACATCATTTGCAACGTCTCTCTTGAAGCCCCTAGGAGCAGCACTCTCTAGTCTCTCCTCAAAGGCAACAACTGCTCTGGCGCAGTTCGTTGGATCAAACTCCAGTGACTCTGAGTACCTCAGCGCACTGGCTACAATGGGAGGCCAGAATCGGACTTATATGGCAGCAGTGTCTCCTTGGTTCTTCACACACTATAGCCCTCAAACTTACGACAAAAACGTATGTATCACTTTTATGTTGTCTAATGGCGCACACACAACTCTTAACTCACTTACCGCGCTATGTATAGTTCATCTATCTCAGCGATGACCATTTGTACTCCAAGCGATGGGAATCGCTCGTCGCTATGCGAGACCAGGTCGACATTGTTCAAATTGTGACATGGAATGATTATGGTGAATCACACTACATCGGCCCAATTGAGGGTGCACAACCTAACAGCCAAGGTTGGGTGGACGGCCTTGATCACACCGGCTGGCTCAACATGACATCGTACTATTCATCTGCATTTAAGACTGGTTCATACCCTGCCGTCACCAAAGACCAACTGTACCTATGGTCACGCACACACCCCGTCAATGCTGATGCACCCGATCCAGTTGGACGGCCATCGAATTATCAGCTGGTAAGATCCATTCAGCGCCAGGTTCCTAATATCAAGTGTTATAACTGATTGCTGTCATTGACATTGACAGACACAAGATAAACTATGGGCCGTGGTGATGGCTACCGCTCCTTCTACTGTCATTCTCTCCACCTCTTCTACCAACTCCCAGACGTTTTCTGTCCCGGAAGGTGTGTCAAAACTTTCATTACCGATCGAAGCAGGCGGAATCATGCACGGTACGATCACGAGAAATGGCCAGACTGTTGTTGATCTTCAGCCGAGCAATTTCACATTCAATCCGAATCCACCGTCGTACAATTTCAATGCTTTTGTTGCTTACTCTGCGTAGATGCATCTCATGACTCGTTTTCGACGAATTTTGTTTCTTTGGATATTTGGCATGTCGGAAAAATCCAATTCACCTGATCAGGACTGCTGGAGCATGCTGCGAGTACGGTGTTGCCTGACGACCTTATAAGGGAGCTGGAGTATAAAACCATAGTGCAGATGAAAAGCCTATCATCATGTCTTATGAGACCTTACAAGGGGAATAGAGGACGTGATAAGGTGTGATCAAGCCCTATGGAATCGTAGCGAAAAATGAAAAAGCGTTGTTTAAGTCAGCTCGTTCCAAAACGGGCCCGTTTCGAAATGGCAGCGTTTTAAAACGAGACGAGACTTTTTTGGCGGGCGACGTTTTGAAACGGTGGCTGCCGAACGGGCCCTTGGTTAGTGAGTCCATCATGCGAAAACAGAATGCCCTTGCCCAATCGGACTCGAAGATGTCAAGTAGAAAGAAAAAGAGGCTTGAAAGCTACATTGTCAGTATACCCTGACAGTCTAATCCTTTGTTTGGTACTGAGAACAGTTTGCGTGAACAGGATAAGAAGCTGAAGAAAGAAGAACGGGTTCACATATTCGAGAAGCTTGCGTATGTTTCGATTTGCACGATTTACTCATGACCTGGACTCACAGTATACAGTCAGAGTCAGGCTCAAATAGGGAGTCTTGTATTACAGTCGTCTTCCACTCTGGGTACCGGAAAACCTTCCACACATCGCGAACGACTAGACGAAGATGAAGATAGAGAAGTACGGCGCACTATGGAGGGCCGGGCTGGTAAACGTAAACGTCGGAACGATGAGTACACTATTCATAATCCTGTTGAAAGCGATGAGGATTTGGATGGTGAGCTTGAGACGTCAAAGCACAAGGGGAGTGATGTGGCCGGTGTTGCGGGTTCTTCAAAGTCGAAGCATATAATCGTAGTGGATACTACTGGATCTACCAGTGTTAATCCGACTGCTCCTTCCTCCTCTGCTGTAGGGGGCGCACTAAAACGAAACGCGGATGGAAGTGTGGCTGCTCCTAGGGTTGTGAAGAAAAAAGAAAAGGGAAAAAAAGTACGTCCCCTCGTCTTTTACGCTTCTTTATTTGATCAAAGAGCTGCGCTAGGTAGCCTTCCGGAGCTGGGGAAAGAAGTCTACATTGGCGGCACGACAACCGAAAGCTGACGTCGATTCTGATACGTCTTTCGACAGCTCAGATTCAGCGTATGATACCGTTGAAGAAAAGGAGCCCGGCAGTAACAATGAATCGGAGGAGAGTGATCAAGAAGGGTCTCAATCTGGAGAAGAGGAAAGTGAAAGCGATGGAGATACAGAAAGTTCCTCCTCAAAGTTGACAAAGCAGGAACCTACAAAACGACTAGGATTCAAAGATTGGGCATTGAAGCAGCTCAGCGTCGCCAAGGGCTACGATCCTTCTCCAACAGAGGATACAGTATCCGCACAACCAGACCCTCCTTTGATACCACCAACTAAAAAGCGAAAAGCATCACATTCGGGTCCACGCGAAATGCGAGGGCCTTTAGGTGAAGATCTAGAGCTCCCGAACACATCTCTGCTAGAGCATCTTCAAAAGTCAAATAGCCAGGTCTCCGGATCTCCCACGAAACGCGCCAAAATCATCACCGTAAAACGCCCAACTAGCGTGGAGGAGGCACGATTATTGTTGCCTATAGTTACTGAAGAGCAGCCTATCATGGAAGCGATCTTACTAAACCTCGTTGTTATTATATGCGGAGAAACGGGAAGCGGGAAGACTACTCAGGTGCCTCAATTTCTGTATGAAGCAGGTTTTGGAGATCCTGGTGGTGGTAAGTTCATGTACTTATTATGCTGCACCTCGCTCAACTCCTTGTTTCACAGACAATTCCGGAATGATAGGTATCACCCAACCTCGTCGAGTGGCCGCCATGTCTATGGCATCTCGTGTTGCTCACGAACTTTCACTAACATCATCCCGTGTGTCGTATCAAATTCGATATGATGCCACAGTATCGCCATCAACCACCATCAAGTTCATGACTGACGGTGTCCTACTACGTGAACTTGCAACCGATTTCTTACTCTCTAAATACTCTGTGATCATCATTGATGAGGTTCACGAGCGTAGCATGAATACTGATATCCTTATCGGTGTGCTGAGTCGGGTACTGAAACTGCGAGAACAAATGTGGAAGGACGGTAAAGAAGGAGTCAAGGTAAACTGTCTTCTTCAGTAGTGTGGTTTCTATTGACGAATGGAACAGCCACTGCGATTGATCATTATGTCTGCCACCCTTCGTGTAAGTGATTTTGCTGAGAATCGAACATTGTTTCCATCTCCACCACCTGTCATAAATGTCGCCGCCCGTCAACACCCAGTTACAATCCACTTCAATCGCCGAACCCCTTCAGATTACGTTAACGAGGCAATCAAGAAAGCATCAAAGATCCATTCCCGTTTACCTCCTGGTGGCATCTTGATGTTCCTCACCGGACAGAACGAGATTTCTGGGGTCTGCAAAAAATTGGAGGCAATGTATGGCAAGAAGGCTCTGGAACAAAAGAGTAAAAGGAGACAAGCTGGACGGACGCTTGTAGGTCTCGATAGCACACAGCAGATTAGTGTATCTCAAAACGTGGCACCTGTCGAAGGTAAGCAGTCCCTCATTCTGTTATACCAGTCCTAACCTCATCTGTTCACAGCGGACGTTGAGCCTGAAGAAGTCGACCTTGGTCCTGCTGAACAGGATTTAGCATTTGATATTGACGATGATCATGCTGATCAAGATATGGAAGCACTGGACAGCGAGGATGAAAATGCTGGATTAGACGAAGAGTTGGGTCTCAATCTCGACGAGAGCGACAGTAGGTAGCCCCATTGGTCGTTGGCATCGTCACTAAGGTTTCTTCACAGCGCCTATGCATATCGTTCCACTGTACTCACTCCTCCCCAATGACAAGCAGATGAGAGTCTTCCAAGCACCACCCCCAGGTCATCGTCTTGTGGTCGTATCCACAAACGTTGCTGAAACTTCTTTGACCATACCTGGCATCCGGTATGTCATAGATTGCGGTAGAGCCAAAGAGGTGAGTACATTGTTTCCCAAATCCAAAGCCAGGCTGAGCTAGCTTTTAGCGCCGGTATGATGTAGCCAATGGCATCCAAGCTTTCCAGGTCAACTGGACATCAAAAGCCTCAGCAGCACAGAGAGCTGGTCGTGCTGGCCGTACTGGCCCGGGCCATTGCTACAGGCTATATTCTTCAGCCCTTTTTGAGCACTACTTCGAATCTTTCTCGCAACCTGAAATTCTCCGTGTTCCGATTGAAGGTGTTGTACTGCAAATGAAAAGCATGAATATAGATGCAGTGGTCAATTTCCCCTTCCCTACTCCTCCTGATCGTTACACATTAAAAAAGGCAGAGACGGTCTTGACACACTTGGGAGCTCTCACCAGCACCGCTATCATAGCGCCATCCACTTCAGAAGTGTCAATGGCCACTATAGGCGGCCATATCACCGCGCTTGGAAAAACAATGGCTCTATTTCCACTTTCACCACGTTACTCTAAGATGTTGGTCAGCGGCCAGCAACATGGGTGCTTACCCTACGTCATCACGATCGTTTCAGCGCTATCTGTTGGAGACCCATTCCTCCGTGAGGAAGCATTGGAAGCCGAAGAAAGCTCAGATGACGAAAATATGGATGAAAATCTTGAACATATCAAAAGTCAATCAGTCAAAGCCAAAGAAGCTCGGAGGATCCGTCGCCGAGCATTCTTTGAGTCGCAGCAGGTTTGTACCGCATATTCTTACGAATTGTTACTACCCACTCACGAATGACGTAGACTCATGCATCTCTAGGCAAATCGAGTAGTGATATCTTCAGCATGCTTTCTGTGGCTGGAGCCTATGAGTATGCTGGAGGAGGTCACAAGTTTTGCGCGGATCATTTCGTCAGACCCAAGGTATATATTTTCGCCTTTCTGCATGATAATAATAAACAGGAGATACAGGCCATGGAGGAAATACATAAGTTACGAGGTCAAATTAGTAATATAGTACAAGTGAATTTTCCGGGCGTTGATACTGGCTTCATTCCAACTCTTCGTCCACCTACCGATTTACAGGTATGTAGCATTTATACCTCGCTCTCGATAAGACTTTTGACCCTGCGGGTAGTTGAAAGTCCTTAGGCAGCTGCTGACTGCCGCATTCATTGATCAAGTTGCCGTTCGTAAAGACATTGTCGAGAAGAACTCGTCTGGGGGAAAGAAATATGCGTCTGCAAAAGGAGTTCCATACCAGGCCCTTGGCATCCCTGAAGACGTCTTTATTCACCCCACCTCCGCCCTTTCTAATTCGTCTCCTCCAGAGTATATCGTTTATCATGAAATTGTACGAACAACTCGACCTTGGCTTAAAGGTAGTAAATCGATTAATGTCCGTTTTGGATTTACTTATCTCAGTTGGACCATTTGCTAGGTGTTACCATTATCAATCCTGTGTGGTTGTCTTCACTGGGCAAGCCGACGTTGTGCACATTATCAAAACCTACTCAAAACAGCGCCGGAATTATGATGAGTATTCCTCGGTTCGGCCCTGACAAATGGGAATTGCCTCCCGTAAAGGCAGAAATATAGTGTATTAACAATACATATTTTGGATGTGGTATTACAGTTATATTCTAGTGAATGGTGTGCTGTGTAATGTCTGAATGTAGTGATAAAATAATGCGCAGATGTTCCGACCGAAATATTAATCTATGAAGGAAAAGCCAGACGTTATTGTCCTTTACTACTGCCAGAAGGATTATCAAGACCAGAGCCAGTGGGTAGCGGCTTAACAATACTTAGACTATGTCGACAAATCAGCAACAAAACACTAACCTTATTAGATTTCTTAGGAATAAAAATGCTTCCTTTCTCTTTCTTTTGACGTTTTGCCGGTGGTGGCCTAGGTTTGTGGTCTTGCTGGGCCGCGTGATTATGTTCGTCAGGCTGAACTAGTGCTCTCTTCAGACCGATTTGTTTCGGTATTATCGGGTCTTTGGAACTGCCAGTGGATATAGCAGACGGTATGACATTGGCAGTAGGGCTCTGTTTGGAATTCGGGCGATTGGTAGAAACTACTATGTCACGAGGGGTGGTCAAATTACTTGGGATAGATTGCTCTTTCGAAGACGATGGTTTTGGTTGTTTGTTTTGTTTAAGCGGTAACGTCACGCGAGGGGTATCCGTGCCAGGAGAGGTGAAGTAAGAGACGTCAGTCTAAGGGAAAAGGAAAGACATGAAAGCATGGTGGAGAAAGGGGACAAATTCAATCTTACATCAGTAAAGAAGGACCTAGAACGTGCGTCATTAACAATGCTTCGCCAGTTTTCGTCACTTCGTTCAAGGGTAGGAGCGTTACCAAGAATGAACAAGGATGATCTTGCACGAGTTATTGCAACATTCATCCGCCGCACGTCTGTTTACTAATTGTTAATAAGTAAGCCAATTGATATCATTCAAACAGTTTACCTGCCAAAAATCCAACAGATTGCAAACCCGGGCCCGCACGGACACAAGAGAGTATGATGACGTCTTTCTCTTGTCCTTGAAATCCATCTACTGTGTGGAAATGTACTTTACTTATGATATCGCTACCAAATCTCCTCTGGAAGGCTCGTTTCAATTCAAGTACTTGTCCGCGATACATCGTCACAATGCCAACGCGAAAATCGAAGTCAATGGCAGGAAATTCCTTGCAGAGGCGAGAGTACATAGCTACCGCCACTTGGCTTTCTAAGTTGTTCTTTAATGAATGTCCACCAGCTTCCTGTTCTTGCCCCTTGGAGACATTGAAAAAGCGATATGTTCCAAATTTGGGGTGTGAATGCCAGGGTTGCTTTGTCTTGACATCCATGTCAGGTCCATCCAATAGTCGACCCTGGTAGAAAATACGACTTGGTAGCTGACTGATGTCTGGATGCATCCGATACTGTATACTGATAGCCATTTCAGAAGAAGGTTTATTCAAGATAGCAGAACATACCTCAGCAAATGAACAGCCTCAGGGCGATGTTTCTGAAGACGCACAAAGAGTGATTGGTTATACTGGAACTTGCAAGCCTATTATGATTAACAAAGTTATTGCATTATCCTTTTATGACCTTTTAACTTTCTGCACTCACTTCTTGGGAAAGGACAGTAGGCGGTAATTGCTGTGGGTCTACGCCAATCAGTTCTGCATCCAAGCCACTCAATTGATTAAGAAAAGGCTTACCCCCAACCATTATACAGCGCTGACATTTAAATTTCAACGGTATCAAAGAACTTAACTCGATAGCTTGAGCAGCTTCATCTATTATGACCATCTCGAAGTCAAGTTGCTCCAACACGTCATGGCCAGCACCGGATAATGTACTGCATATCACATCGGCTTCTTGGAGAACTTCTACTCTAAACTTCCTCCGTGTAGCATCAAGAGTCCGACGATCTGATTTTTGCTTGTCTTTGAGACGGTCAAATTGCTGTGTCAATGTCATTCTACGCGAATTTAATCTTTTGATTTCGTCCTCCAAGGCCAGTGTTCTTGCAGTGTTATCATGAGTTGTTGCTAATTCCTCTAGTTTTTGCTGTTTCGCTCGCTTGACGCTTTCGATCTCTGCTCGTATTACAGTTATTTCGTTGTCTGCGCCTTTGGGAGGTTCTTTAGTAGCGTCAGAGTTTATTTTTTGCTCGACGAGATAGTCCAGCGAGATATCCTTCACACTGATGTTCATAACTTTGTCGTTACCAACTCGAACGACTTTGAGTGCAGCGCCCCGTCGCTCAGCCCCCCGGTATCCTTCTTTAAGTCGATGAGCCACTTCATCCACTGCGGCATTACTGGGCGCGCAAAGCAAAGCCTTCTTCGGAGGCGCTTTATCTGTAGGCCTCTGGCCTCGACCTACGTGGATAGCTGTGGCTGGTCGAGGGCGGCGCGACATAAATGCCTCTACGAGTCCACAGATAGTCGATGTTTTGCCGGTACCTGGAGGACTATAGTGTATCAAAGTCAGTAAAGCTTCACTAAATAACAAAAGCCAAATCCTGACCCTTGAATCAATACAAAACCTTGAGCCTGCAGGGACCCCAAAATGGCCTTGGCTTGGGGTTCATTAACACTGTACGCTGCCATGGCTTGCTTTATAGTGCTATTATCTAAGTTGGGCATTGGTGATATCTGTGGTTTCATGATTTTTTCGAATAGATCATAGTAAGGGAGTGCCACGAGGGCCCCATATTCCCGGTGTACTGTGCTCAAACTAGTATCCTATCAATTAAAGACTGAATCTGTGTAGATAATGCTCACCTGAAAGTTTTCTTCAGCCTCCAAGTAGTATTAATCTGCAGGCCTGGATCACTGTTGTTTGCACGAATATGACATCGAAGTGAAGCTTGAATGCCTAGCGGTGTAGCTTTGTAACTCTGTGTCTTGGCTAGAATGCATTTTTTCCCATCGAGATGCCTTAATAGCACCACGTCTGTCTCCCCAAGATACCAGTCTTTTTGAACAGCCTCAGGAATTGTGATGTCAAGATCCAGCCAATCATCAATGAACCTTCGGGAAAGAATTTTGCATTCGTAGGAGTCCTCTTTCTCTTCTTTGGACTGCAAAAGTTGTGACCAGCACTCCAGTAACAACAGAGGTTCGAAAACGTTGACATATTGACGATGGTCAGTAAACATGTCTGGCACGTGTATTAAACGTGGGCCCGCTCCGGAGGGCGGAGGGCTTGGACCTTCATGGTCATAATTCCACGATAGTAAAGCACGATGTAATCCTGATATGTCTGGCTTCAGTCGCAAGGCAGTCTTGCGAGCATCATTTCGTCGTTCCAATCGTTCCATTGCAGGATTCTTGACTACTCGATTAGTAACATCCAGCATTTTGACTTGACGGCGCTCGGCGGGCTTCTGTATCTTTGGAGACTGCTGATATTTAGCGAGACTAGCCAACCCTCCTTGTGATTCTTCTTCCTCATCACTACTCGAATCACTCGAAGACGCCTCCTCGCCTGATGGTTGCTTAGCTGGTATGTCCCTGGCTTTGACTTGCGGAGCGGCAGAAGACGACTGGGAAACTGCTGATCTGCGAAACGTTGGGAAAGGTACAGCACCCAACTTTTGAAGAGCTGCATCGCCGATAGCGGGCTTCGCAGATGTACTAGGTACTAGGGGTTTTGGTTTGACAGGAGGTTGGCCAGAGACTTTAGGTTTAGGGTATTCTGGAACATGTGGCTTGGCTACTGGAGCTGGAACGTGGGATACGAATTCTACCTCGTCGTCGCTTTCGAAGGCGGTGAGAGCATCTTCTAGTTTGGAAAGCCGCCCAGCGTCAAGTCGCATTTTCCCTGGATGTTTCCGCCCATCAGCGATCTGCCTGTTGAGCCTTTCAAGGCTAGAAGGTAACAGCGGTATGTTACATTCCCGAAAGCAGTCGAGGAGAGACTGGACGAGAGCAAAAGATTGGTGCAATAATTCTTGATCGGTGAGTCGGAGCCAGCGGGCTAACTCAGGGATCACTTCTTGTAAATCGTTGAGCATCTTCTTTCCTACCCGTGACAGTCCATCTCGCAGTGATGATTTATCAGAAGCAGCCGCTGCGGACTCGATCACCCGCCACTGCGCAAGCATATCGCGACCAAAGATGAGGGCATCACGCATCCAGAAAACCATGTCGTCAACGTGGAGGTGACCGGACCACACAGGAGTACGTTTGAAGATGACTGTGATAGATTGTACCATGAGCGACCATAGTCTAGGCAGTTGGGCTGCGGGTCCTTGCTTATCGACTGGTTTTAAGAACTTGTCGTTATGAAGGAGCCCATCTGGACTCGAACATAATACTTCTATAATATCGGTAAAGCATCGCACCAGTGACCTCGACAAACTACATGCTTCAGGGACGAGAGGCGCATACCGATTAAAATTCTCCAGAAAGTCAAAAATGCCTCCCAGAGAAGGGTCCGGTAGGTTTTCGATAAGTACGCGGAAGCAATCGAGGCGAACATCAACATCAAATGCTTGTCCAACCAATGTCTGCGCAGCGGCCTGGATGTCGTCAATGGGGGATAGCATGAGTACCATCACATTGTTGACCACCCCTGGCCGACGTAATATATCCAGAATGAAGGAAGAAAGGTTATAGTTTGCAAACTTCGACAAGACATCAAGAAAGCCATCTCTCATCACAACTAACGACCGATTGATCGCGTCAATTGCCTGGTCAGTTGCAGAATCCAGAGGCTTCTTTTGTATGCGGAGATATACGTCTTTGTTGAAAGTGTCCAGGTGAGAGGTTTGGCTGACAACTGTGATCATGGCCACGACTCCATCACCGTCATTTGTCTGCAATGTCCCGTATACTCTCTTCCACATCTCCTTGCGAACGTTACATATGGGCGGTGCTGTCGCATAGCCAGCAAGTTGTTTGCAACAAACATGAATAGCACTTGACACATCCTGTACGTCCTGAAGCAGCGCACTGGTAATGAGCTCTCGAGCTGAGACACGAGCATTTATCCATTTGACATCCATGAAAGACCTCCCAAAAGCCACTGAAATGAACACCTCTGCATGGATGTCAAGGACACTAGATACTGCCACACGCAGCTTAGTCGTGTTCTCATTTGCAGCCTCGTTGGACACCTTTCGCAATAAATTTGCAAGTAGCTGATGAGGCAAAAATTATAAGAAATGATGCGTCAATTTGGATCCGACCCACGTACTCGGACAGCAGCGAGCATGGCCATAGGACGAGCGTCCTCGAAACGCTCATGTTGCAATTCTTCACACAGGAAATCCACCATTTTGGCCAAAACATCACCAAAAATGGGTAACTCTCGAAGACTATTGAGGTATTCGGTGAACCAGGATAAATACCATGGCTTTTCCGTCGTTACATCGACAGTCTGCACCAGAGAACAGTACGATGGGTTATCTTTGATTGCGTCGAAAACAACTTGGGGGAACTCCGGGCCTTCCCCTTGCCAAAGGCCATTTCCCAAACGTTTGAGTAGAAATAGTAGACAGCGCAATATTTCAGGGAAATCTAGTTGAAAATTATATTACGAAGAAAAAGACATTAAACATCGTGAATATATGGAAGGACAACAGGGGAAGAACAAATACTAACGAGGTCCAACATCGTGCAAGTGCCCAGTTATGATGCGACGTAAATCAATATTACGATGTGAGCTCGAAACCAAAAGGTCGGAGGGAATGAGCCGAAGAATAGCACAGAATCCAGGCCAAAGATCGCTGGCATTTGAGGCATATGGAAACGACTGAAGGTTCATGCTGGAAGTACTTGAAGTTAAAGAAGATGGTATTATATTGACACTTCCATTTTGACTTTCTCTAGAGTTTATATTAGACGTAAAAGCACCAGCTACAGCATCCAATGCTATTTCATGGGCAGGGACAAAATGGTCTTTCAAGATCGGCACATTCTTGCATTTGGAGGCTTGGTTCTTTGCCCACTGCCTCACCTCGGCAGATTCGTCCACCATAAGAGGGAAAAGACCTGGAGGGGGAGGGTCTGTTGGCCATCCAAGTGTTGGAGGACACGAACGGATAAGTGGTAATACCCTCTTATCCCGCAAGATGTGCATGTTGGACACCATGCGATAAGTGATAGTAGACGGGACTCTGTCGAGAGAATGTGAATTACTAGGGGCCTGAACATTGACACCAGCGCGAGAGAGAGCATCGATTACCATGCTCAACTCCCATGCGTCAAAACTTTCGTAAAAGTTCTTTATCACACTGTCGGAGAAAGCGCCGAAATATCTGAAAATAAATGTGTAAGACGACAGCACGGAACTAAGAAACACACGAGTCAGGCGAAACCTTGCGAGTGTTTCCTCTCCATCGCCGATATATCCACTGCGCGCCATTCCTCTGACATCGAGTTCAAAAGTACTCACGTATGTCGCGAGCTAACTTTGACCTCTCCAAAACCTTTCACACATTTACTACATCCTTCTAGGCATACCTGAAATTTCTTCTTCCACTCGTCCACTCTAACGCTATTATAAGCAAACAATCGGATGAGGAAAGTTGCAGCATCAATGGTGAGTTGGTCGGCGCGATCGCAAAACCAGTGTAGCGTTTTATCATTAGGACTTGCCTGGACCTTCATTAAGTATACGAATATAGGAGCAAGTAAACTGTCTGAGCCATCTGTTGTGTTGACAGGAGTGTCGCGGAGCGTGGCTAGCAATGTCTTGACTTTTGACACCTCTGTAGGATTATTGGCGGCCATGAATCCTGGCTTGATGTAAAGCCACAAAATTGGATACTAGCAAGTTGGATGAAGACAGCCAGAAATGTTGATGCTATGCGCCTTGATACAGCAGATGGAATAAATCAAAGAAAAACTTGTGGCCTTGGAGGGATTGGCCGCCACATGCGCGCCAAACCTCGCCAAACCCAATATGGAGCAATTGATTACTCATCGTTATTAACGCCGTACAGCATCAGAATCGAGATAGGCTCTTGCCTTCTTGCACCAAACACATAGTATGGACCCACAAGAGCTTGAACACATAAATGATCTGTTGGACCACGATGTCGAACTTAGGGAGGTAAGAGTCGAAGCTCAAAGCACTCGTTACCTTGAATTTCATGTGTTTGGGTAGAAAATCAAAGATCAAGTGACTGAACTAGACAAAAAAGCGCGGAACATGGTTGGGCAGCTGAATAAAATACATTCAACTCCTGAAAAATCAAGTCAGCCGATACCCGATTAGCCTTTTCAACTGTCTGACACCTCACCCGAAGTACCCGCGTTACTTGACACCGTCCAACCGACATTGCTGAGTTGTCAAGAAACAAGCGCTACCCTAGCTGCTCTTATCCCACCTAATCAGTTTTGGCGCTGGAAAGACATGTGGTCTAACTCGCTACGCACTGCGGTGTTCTCAGCAGCCCTTGTACAGTACCTTGGTAATGGAAACTTGGCATCTTTGTCCCAAGTCAGTGAAACCCTTGGTAGTGAGCACCACCTTCCCTTTCAAGCTTGTACTTGATTTTTGTGACCATTGCATCTTAAAAAAATGCCGACCCATTCTAGTAAAACAAGAGTGGAAGGATCGGTTTGCACTCCCTGTAGAAGACTACCTCCATGGCTTGATCAGTTTAGTAAATGAATTGGTAGGTGCTGTATTCCATTGGATCATATCCGCTGTCACTTCAAACGCCCACTTTAAATCAACATCGTAGTATTGACTTGGTAAGTCCAAATCAGTGCCACTATACTACTTGTTACTTACTGTGATGATATGCGAGGCTCTTGTGACTGCCTTCTCTAACATACTTAATAATTTAATCATGTCTTCTATCTAGTCACGCCTTGCCGTAAATGCTGTAACGCTGGGAAATTTTGAAGAACCGATCAGAATATCGATTTTTGTCAAGGATTTATTCGCAGGATTTTCCATGGTATGCATTCAAGGAAAAATTATACGATCAACTTCACCGATAATTTGATTCCAGTTAAACCTGAAAAATGATACACTGCGACGGAGGTTTGACAGCTTGAAGTATGACATCAAGAAAATTGAGGAAGGCAGGTCTTATGCTCATTTTAATCTTTCACATATGCTTAAATATTCAATGATACTTAGTGGTATATGATGTATCTCTTCGAAAACTCACACCACAGAAAGAAGAGCTCAACACCAAATAATAAATAGCTGTATATGTCTTGAGTAGAAAACCTTGGTAAATTATGTTGTGATAGTTGTGTCATAATTATATGTTGCCACACTGCAACTGAACTGCTATTGTACATCTACCAAAGTATAGTTACAAAATTTCTCTCATTTATTGTACCTTAAAATTAAAATTATCAGTCCGCGAAGATTCGGACTCCAAATACAACGCATCCGAGTTGTTCAAGCTTGCTGCCACCGTCACAGTCATCATAGATAGTAGCCGCAGCGACGCCGAATTTCCACCACCGTGACTTGCGAGTCGCAAACGTGGTAACGGCACCTTCTTGTTCGTAATTACGTGCATGATCTGCTCACTGCTGAGCGAACCAAGGGAACAATTGTCTATCTGAAGGAACCCTTGATCGTTATGGACAGAAGACGCATGCCAACGCGACCAGCGTCTTCCGAGGGTATGTTCACACAGTCTTTCTGACAGAAAACCTGCAATAATCTTTATCTATTTATCTAGAAGTAGAGTGTTGGTCACATGCAACTCGATCTCTGTCATCAGTCTCGAATATTTATGCAAGCCCCAACAGTGTGGAGACTGTACACCGGGTCAATAGACTGATAAATGCGTGGCCCACTGACGATAGCCTCCCAGCGGATGGTTATGATGGCCTTAAAATTACATATAAACGATTGTCATCAGGCCTGAGGGACATACGTGCCCACACTGACGAAGAGATAAAGTAAGTGACGAATCAATTATTCTTTGCTTATCAACCCTTACAGAATTTTAAGGGCAATTGATGACGCCATGGAACGGATCAGCGTTTTGGTAGCACTGAGAAAAGCCTCAGAAGCTATCTTACCGGGTAATATATTTTGTGTATGGCTTAGTTTCCTGTGCTTACTATCAATTCGGTACAGAAAAACGAAATAAAAGGCCTCGGGGGCCCTCGCCTGCTGGTACTCCAACCCCAGCCACGCCACCCATAGCAACCAATGCTCGAGCTCTCCCTGTCTCAATACCCCTTCGCAGTTCATTAGGACCTTCTCCAGCAATCCCCTTTTCGCGTGAACCAAAGGCAAGAAGAGAAGCACTTGCAAAGCAATTGCCACTCCAGGAAGGAAGAAAAGTGGCTTTTCACCCTCCAGCCAATAAACCTGGCGATGAAGGGAACGGGGATGCTGCCGAAGAAAATACGTGGATCCTGGCAGTGGTAATCAAATCTATAAACCAGGATAAGAATAGGTAGGCTAAATGAGTTTGGTAACTGTGTCGTGCCCCTTTTCATTCATTGCCCCAGATATGAAGTACAAGATGCTGAGCCTCAAGAAGACGGTCAACCTGGACAGTGAGTTTTTTTTTACTGTTGCCAACCTTTATGTTTCAGGTGCTGACTTTGGATTAGACGTTACAATACAACTCTTCGTGCGATCATACCCTTGCCGGATCCAAACGCCCCTCCAACGAGCGCGGCACATCTTAATGCATATCAAGAATTTCCAACAGGCTCAACCGTCATGGCACTTTATCCTGATACCAGCTGTTTCTATCGTGCTGAAGTACTTGCCTCGCCCAGAGATCTACAACCCGGCGGCAGGGTAAGTGTCGAATGCGATGATCCCATCATTCCTCACGCTAATTTGATACAGACGACTTCATCAAAACAGATTCCTACATATAAACTCAAATTTGAAGATGACGACGATCAAGAACACGCTGTCGCTGCGCAATGGGTTGTTGAATGGCCGGGGGTTTGACTTTACTATCACACTGACATTTGTGTAAATATATGGCATTGCACTCTGTTTAATTGTAAAATCAGCTGTAAATATATTTGTATACCTTGTTTATGAAGACTGAATATCTAACACAAGGTGTTCAGTTCAACATTTACTACAATATTTGTAATAAGGTATGGCCACTCTTTTGCTGCTGTTAATTTCACCATTGATGAGTATGATTCATAAATATGGGGGCAACTATTGTGCATTCCCAAACTGCGGCCCATGATCTTTGTGCGCTTGGTCCCTCGCATAGCACTCATGGTGTGTATCTTTATTGAGAGCCGGTGAGACCACGGGCGTCTGTTTCTGGTAACCGGTTCTCGGGAAATGCCGGTTTATCGTGTCCAGAGCATTCGTGAAGTTTCGTTTCCAGGCCAAACTCGACGCTGTTGGTGATCGCTGGAGAACATTCAAAACCATGTCTTAGCATGACCCGAACCGTTCTCGAACATTTCCAGACTATGGTGGCCTTAGTATATAAGCCGCAGAAATAAGGTCAACTTTGTCTCAGGAGTCAATCAAACCCACCAAATCACTGCGACCGGAAAAGCAACATGTCTATTGCTCGTCAGTTATTTCGCGAATTCCGGCCTCTCTTTCATATGCTGGAGGAACCTTTTGGTAGGGCCCCTGTAGCTTATGGGCTTCAGAACCGCTCGGCCTTTGATCACCCGTTCTTCCAAGCGCCCACTGTCTCGCGACCGGCGATTGATTTGACAGAAGACGCAGACAATTATATCGTAGAGGCCGACCTTCCTGGAGTAAAGAAAGACGATATTGAAGTTAGAGCCGGGGACGGTGGACGAAGTATTACAATTGAAGGCAGGATGGTGCGTCGAAGCAACGGGAATGCGGTGGAGACCACCGATGACGGAACAGCAGTGACAGCGGGAAGCGAAGGTATGTATCACACTGCGTACTGTCTTCAGATACTGGCATGGCTCACGAGGTTGTTCCGTAGAAGCCGCTAACACCAAGTCTACCAGCAAAATATCGAGTGAGCGCCTTTTCTCGGGGAGCTCGACGTTTACCAGGACAGTTTGGTTGCCTCGAGCTATCGACGGCTCCAAGGTTTCAGCCAAATTGAATGATGGAATTCTTACCTTGACTATCCCGAAGATGGAGGATAAAGAAAGTGTGAAAATCGAGGTGCTTTGAAACTAGAATATTGTGATGGGTGTATCCGGGAAGGTGTGGCCACCGTGTAGGGCTGCATACAGTTGGGCCTCTGTGGAGTTGTTCTTTTCCTTGCTGTATTTTATTGTACCAGTCAGAGTGTATGCATAGCATCCCCCCTCAGATAGTTTAGAATTGCATTTAAGGCGGCAGTCGCGAATATGTTGTGAGGGATGAAATGGATGGTGGGATGACAGCAAGTCTTGCCAGGGTGTATGTCTGAATCCCAGTCTCGTCACGTTCGCGTGAAGCGCTTGAAAACCGCTTTGTTCTCATACACCTCGCAACCTCCTTTTCCGACGGCCAACCGCTGCCTCGTCGTTTCCTGCATATTTCCACCCTTTTGCCAGACCACGTCCGTTCTTTACTCCCCCAACCTACACGCACCCTTTCCACATATCTCCCAGCCCCACATAACCCATGGCAGCTTACTATGCGGACCCATCAGCAATGATGGCGCAAACTTCTTCCTCGCATACCCACCCCCGTCCGAGTGATCTGGGCACACATTCGCTCAATGGACCCAGTCTATATGACATTCCGACCGATTCTGAGAATGAAGCCGAGGTGGATGAGTTGGATTCAGACTCGGAGGTGGATGTAGATATGGATGCGAACACATCTAATGCTGGCCCGAAGAAGGGAGCCCGCAGGTCTGGAGAACGCACTCCTGGGACCACTCTGTTGCCCTCAACGCGTCTTGACAACATATTGCAAGGGGATGGTGCGGCCTCTCCGTTTCGTTCTGAACAAGGCGTCACTTACGACAGAAAATTTCTTGTTTTCCTCTAGGTGTCACTGGTAACCTCATAATGTCAAAAGAAGCATCATTCGTGCTTTCAATCGCTACAGTATGTCACGATATTCATTGCGTCTGTTCCCATGTTTAGACTTGCCTTCCTCTGCCGACAGGAGGAATTTATAAAGAGAATGGCCCAAGCAGGTCAGCGTCAAGCAGCTGCAGCACGGCGGAATACCGTGGTCTATAAAGATATGGGTATGTTCATTACTTCACGCGATGTCCCCTGCTGACGTTTTGGACAGCATCATCCATCCAACAATATCAAGAATTCATGTTTCTCGAAGGCAAGTTTAACCCTGCCTGTATTCTTTGATTACCTTTTGAAGGTTCACACTATTCCCCAGATATCATTCCGCGGCCCATATCGCTTTCAGAAGCATTGGCCAGACGAGCACAAAAGGAGAAAGAGCGTCTTGAGGAAGACCCAGCTCTAGCTTCTGTTCCACAAGACCTGCCACCACCATCTGTCTCCGTATCCCACGCAGCACAAGCCAAGGGTAAAGGCAAGAGTAAAGCAGCGAACGGTAAAGAGAGAGACACCGAAAAAACGAGCTCCACGAGCCAAAACAAAAAAGACACTGTCAAACGAGATGGCAAAGGGAAAGCAAATGCTGTCGACAGCAAGGACGAGAACGCGAGTACCGGGGTCACGAAAAGTGTTAGCAGGAGGGCTAGTCGAAATACGAGGGCTTCACGCGATTGGATGGACGTTGATGCTGAGCCAGCACCCGAAGATGTTGCCATGAACGGAATATCGCATCCCCCACCCCCAGACCCTATTATAAAAACCGATAAATCATCTATTTCCATACAAAATTCCGTTTCTCATGATCCGGAATCGTGCAACACCATCCAGGAATCACATAACCATGACCCTACATCTTTCGACCAAAATTCAACTTGGCCTGGTCAGTATACTGGCCCAGCAAGTGGGTTCTTACAGGAGAATCCCAAGATTGTCTCATATGCGCAGGATACTCCTAGGATTGCTTCTCTTCCCATGAATCCTGGCCGTACAATTTACTCGCAACAACTTCCTAATCGTTCTGAGAACGGTTTAAACCGGTAACATATAATTACTGTATCGTCATCGACTGTATTTGCTAGATATCCATCGAGAAACTCTGGAGGTTTACACAACTTATAGCACAGTATTAATTCAGCTGTCTTTTTTCATTGCCACACTACAAAGGGATTTTATCTTATCTTATCATTTTATAGTTTGACCGCTTGTGCTCAGGTTGTCACTGAGTCAGGTCCATCTGATTCACTTCCAGTGAAATATCAGCTCGAAATCCAAGTCTGTGCTATATACGTAGGTTACACGCACTTCGGAACTGATTTCTTGGATACACCAATCTGGCGATTATTACGCAGTATACATTCTGCATCTAATAATCTTATCTATCAAACGCCGTGTACTCGTTCCCTTTACTTACGTTGCACTCCTTTTCAAAGCATGTCAGGACTTAAGCCAAGCTCGCTGCCGATCATCGACATTACGCCATATTTAGTTGGGCATGATAACGACGGCCGCCAATCTGTTTCCGCTGCTATCCACTCGGCTTGCGTCGAGTACGGTTTCTTCTACCTCGATATCTCCAAATATGTGGATCCTTCCGAGCCAGAGGAGCTGACGCGACTAGCAAGGAAGTTCTTTGCCTTACCACAGGAGGAGAAGGATAAGATCAGCCTGAAGAACCAAGATCTTGCCAGAGGTTAGTCTTTGTACTATCGACCATGGCATCATTCCTGACTGATGCGTTGTAGGTTATGCCAGACTGAAAGAGAATGTTACAAATGGAAAAGCAGATAATCATGAAGGGATCGACTTTTATCGTCTAGTGGAGAATCCCGATAAGACAAAACCGCTTTGGGGGGAAAATCAGTGGCCTGTTGTTCCTGGTTTTCAAGAGAAGTATAATGTCTGGGTAGACAAGATGAAATCTCTGGGGTTGATCGTAATGGAAGCGTGTGTTTACTTCGTGCTACAACTTAGACCAAGCTCTCATGTTGACTGTCTAGAATGGCAAATGGGCTTGGAATGAGTCCAGAGGAGTGGAAAGGGTTACGTGCTCAGGTTGACGATAGTTTCTGGGTCATGCGTACTATTGGTATGCTATTTCTGCAATGCACTGAGAATGTAATTGAACTGTGGGTCTTTAGGATATCCACCGCTTCCAAATGATCACGATGGATTCTCATGCGGTGCACACAAGTACAGACAAGCCCTCTTTCTAGATCGCACGTACCACTAACTACATATCACGCCCAGGGACTATGGATGTCTAACGTAAGGTATTTACTAGACCTCTCTCGCTCGATTGCCTACCCCTTCCCTCCCTTAGGTTTTTGTATGCCGATCCGACACCTTCCGCACTACAGGTATTTTTACGAACACCAGGTGTGACTACAGTTCAGCAAGACGATCTACCATTAGAACATGGTGGAGAGGAAGGCATATGGATCAACGCAGATCCGATTCCGGGCTGTGTGGTGTGCAATGTCGGTGAAAGTAAGTAGCGTCGAACGATACGATATAACGACAAGCTACTTACTCGAGGCCTTTTAGTGTGGGAGCTCTGGACAAATGGCTTATACAAGAGCACGTTGCATCGAGTGGTGCATCGAGGTTCAAATTATCGGTAACGGTTTTCTCCTCTGTTCAGTCGCCAGTATCTGACATATTCATATTGCGCTAACCAGAGTCTCGTACGATATTCCGGTTGTTCAATATTTGTGAACTGCGGCTGACCCGTTCTCTAGGATCCCTTTCTTTTTCGAGCCCAACTTCAATGCAAATGTCGAACCTCTCGCTGCTGCGTTGCGTATCCAACAAAGGGAAGCGAACCAGCCTACAGGTGCATCGTCTTCCAACGATAAGACCTACCGATCTGTTATATATGGAGAATTCTTGATGAATAAGGTTGGAAACAATTTTTCGGTAGAAGGGGGGAAGGGCAAGTACGATCCATGACCCACGCTGCCAGTGCATATTATGTGCTCTTCGAAGAAGACGGCCTTTTACTCCAAAGAAACACTCCAATATTATTCATTTTTTCTCTGAAATCATACACTTTCAGCACAGAAGGCCAGGGGGCTGTTTGTTTGCACGCTGTATCCTTTAAAATTAACTTTTCCGTTCATTGTCTTTTGCGATTTTTTATCAGTCACGTGCACGATCATATATTGACTTTTCCACTGACTCGGGCATGGGCATTCTGACTCGGGCACTGTATCTTCATCGATTTGCTACACCAGCGGGTATCTTCAGTAAAGCTCCACATAGAAACATGTCTTTTGAAGCCAGTGTCGCTGGTCTTTTCTCCCCGATTAAGGATCTAGTCCTAAACGCAAACGAGAATGTGGGGAAAACAGAAAACGATCAGGTGGAAGTTGCAGGATGGATAGCAAAAGTAGGCCAAGGTGATATTGTCAAACCAGAAGGATTGAAGGTGTGATAATCTCGTTGAATATCCAGACCTATTTCGAACGCGATCGCTGAGTGGTACAACAATTAGGACCTTGATACTCAACTCATTCCACGCACATATCTCGTTAGCAATTACCTGACTGCAGCAGACGTTGCGCTCTACGGCGCCCTCCACCCCGTTCTGGTATGTATCATGTATCTGCTATGATAGCGATGTTTATACAATCCTCTTTCTTGTAGTCCCAGTTGCAACCTCCTCAATATTACTCCCATCCTGCGCTCACGCGTTATTTTGATCACATTCAATCACGTCCTTCTGTACGGACTGCCGCTGAAGCGCTGTCTCCTGCCTTCTCAGTTGTAGCTTTCGATCTCGACAATGCGCCTGCACCCGAACGCAAAGCTGAGCCATCAAAGAAGAAGGAAAAGGCACCCAAAGCCCAGGCCTCAGAATCTGTCGCTGCAAAAGAGCCCGAGAAGGCAGCAGAAGCAGACGCGAAACCACAAAAAGAGAAGAAAGAGAAGAAAGAAAAAAAGAAAGATGCTGCGCCTACTGAAGAATCTGGAAAGAAAAAGGCTGGCGGTGGCGGGAAGGCACCAGCTGAGGATGCTGGTGAACCTGTACCTTCTATGATCGACCTTCGAGTCGGCCACATCATTGATAGTAAGTATATAATTATCTTCCGAGGAATAATCTGACCAAATCACCGATAGTCAAAAAGCACCCAGACGCGGATGGTCTCTATGTTGAGGTGCGTTGGTGTAGTCTTTACTAGTGGAATTCTGATCTGACATTTACCTTAGCAAATAGATATTGGAGAAGAAACAGGTCCCCGAACGGTTGTTTCTGGGCTTGTCAACTATATTCCTATCGAAGAAATGCGGGATAAATACTTGGTGGCAGTGGTAAATCGATAAACGGACGATTCATATATATGAAACTCACATGATTTGATAGTGTAACTTGAAGCCCGCTAACATGCGAGGTGTGAAGAGCTTCGCCATGGTCCTCTGCGTATGTATAAATCCATGCGTTGAAAGTACTTTGGTTGACCTGATATTGTAGGCATCATCAAAAGAAGGAAAGGAAGGAGGCATCGAGTTAATCCAACCACCACCTAATTCAAAACCAGGAGAGAGGGTATTCTTCGAGGGATCCGAGTATGAAAGTACGTCTACAGAGTACATCACTCAGCTCATTGTGATCTAATGGAGTCTCTTAAATAGATGCTACCCCGATATCCCAACTGAACCCAAAGAAGAAAATCTTTGAGACGATACAGCCAGGTACATCATCTTATCTAGTACCTTGTTTATCCACATGCTTATCTTCATCCAGGTTTCATCACTCTTGATACCAAGGAAGCCGCTTGGGTAAATCCAGCGACCAAGTCTGTACATCGAATTCGCACAAAGGACGGGATATGTGTAGCGCCAACACTTATAGGGGCATCATTGTCATAGACGTAATTTCGTGTATCAGCTCGAAGCTAGTGGCTGTTGTGTACTTAGAAAATATATACTCTACAATACACTGTGATCCTGTTTTTCATCGTACGACGTTGATTCGCTGCTACTATCGATGTTGGAAATGGGTCCTGTGAACCATTTTCGTGCAGACAGCACCCACGACAAAGAGGCGAAGACGAAGACGGCCATGACGAGAACAATTGCGTAGTCTATGCCCATTAAAGCATTATATCAACATAAAATGAGGGCTAGTGCTGGTCACTTACTCATCGTTTCTGCAGTCGTAGATTGGCTCGCTGGGAACAGTAGCATGACTACCATGAATGCCACCCAAACGATTGCAGTGATACCAATAGGGGTTGACCAGCGGCCTAGGTTAAATGGTCCAGGGACAAACTTCTTCCGACCCGATGTGATACGAAAGTAGACGGGTGTCACATACGAAATGTACAGGCCAATTACAGACGCTCTAATGTGAAATGTTCAGCGGTATAGCAGAGCAAGCGATAGAAACACACCGACGAGACAAGAGAATTAAAGGCAGCTGCAGAAAACGATAGAACACCACACACAGCGGACGCGGCCATGACAAGCCACACTGCATTGACAGGTGTCTGGGTACGCTTGTCGATTTTCTTCCACCAACGGGACCCAGGAAGCGCATTGTCTCTGGAAAACGCAAATATAACTCTAGATGCATCAACGCCCTGCGAGCAACCGCACATATACTGAACAAAATATCAGTTGAATGGGCAACATCGAAATAAGCATAAACATGCCTGGACAAGGGCGATAAGAAACCAGAGGGCCAACGCGCCCTTCTTTCCTAAAGTGTTCAGAAAGACTTGACCCATGGGCAATGTCAATTTCGTTTGAAGGATTTCGTCCACAGAAGTTGTTGCGAAGGATGCCGCCATGTAATATATCCACCCAAAGATCTCAGTGGCTGCGACACTAACCACGATTGCAATTGGCGCTGCCCGTGCTGCTCCAGCAGTTTCTTCTGATATATGAGCGGCTGAATCATCTGAAAGCAGAATTGAAAAAAAAATGAGCTACATTTGGCGGGATAGCTGACGAATGCGAAAGGAAAATCAGGCTTACAACCCGTTAAAGACCACATAGGAGAAGTGAATGCCATGATGAATGCCCAGACATCTACAAAATATCAGCGAAACTGACTTTCAACGGAATGATTTATATGCACTATTTGACCACCCAGTACTATTCTCGAATTCTGTGAAGGCAACTTTGGCAGAAACTCTGTTTTTCCTAGCGCAGACGAACAGTCCTACAACAGCTGCAATCAAAGTCCCCACTGTAAAGATGATCAGGACGGTCTAAGATAGACTAAACCAAAGATCCTCACTAGTGAGTATCACAGACAGAAGATTGATCCGTGCCAACGTTCGAGTTGCTGTTGAGCAAATTATGCCTTGGGTTGCAAAAATAGCCACCAAGATGCCAAAAGTTGGACCCGACCCCAATGTGACAGCGCCGTCGGTGGCCATAGTTATTCCTGATGTGATCATTTCGGCACTACTCTATCGTGTAAGAGCAGGGAAATAACGATACAATACACATTACCAAGTATATCCTATCGAGCATACTAAAGTTATTTGACCAGTGATATTGGCCCATCCTGTAATCCAGCTAGCAAGAGCGGAATGTTTGGTGGATGCCATTTTAGCTGAAAAGTAATATAGACCAGCACTTGTCCTGTTTATCTTGTCAGCGCTTATTTACCATCCACATTAGAGACATGATAACGAACGGCATGGACGATGCTAGTTCCGCCATTGAAGCGGCTACACACATGATAAAAAAACAGGGGATAAACCATCCCCAAATCATCGCAAAGTGACCACCTGATACATAAGAAAATCAGCGATGAGTTTAAAAAATGATATGTATTGATCGTGACCAGAATTGAGAGGGAAAGAATATCCTGTGGTGACACCAGAAGAGACGGCCATAATCGAGAGAGAAAAACAAATAGTTTCAATCAGCTGCGCCGGAGAAGGTCTCAGCAGTTCATCAACAGAAATTAAATGGCTAGAGCTTACTGAGAATTCACGCTGAAATTCACTTTTATACCCGAGTTTCCTCAGAAGAGCATTGTCAGACCGATGGAGAACTTCCGTCATACCATCGTTGCACTCTTCATTCGCGACGTTGGTATTCGAAAACTTGGACATCACAGAGTCAATTGCGCAGAATGAAGAAGAGCCGAAGAGTCGGATACACAGAAGGGCGTCATATCGGTGGTATATAGCAGGCTTTAGAAGTGACACTGCAGCACCTCGAAAAAATTCCCAAGATGATAAGACTTGAAGGCACGGGGTTACGCTTAACTTTCCTTATCTATATCTCCATCCTGATGATGATTTGTGTTCTTGTGAACTGACAAGAGATTGTGGAACTAAAATAGTAAAACCCGCCCGAAAAACCATGGAGTTAACCATGATATTCGCTGCCTTTGAATTGAGTTTTGTACTCCGCATATCCGGCGTTCTCCTGCTCTGCTCAACTTTTTGAGTGTACAACTTTTGTCATGGTATTTCGGCCAGGGCTCAGCAATGCCCTCCGTCATTTCAGCTCTACAGCGCGGGCTTGTTCACACACGTCCCACATTGGAAAAGCACCAATCCAATTTCCATCCACTGTAACTCTTACACAAAGTGCTACTTCCCTATCTGTCAAAGGACCTTTGGGGTCGACTTCAGTTCCGCTTGAGTCCTACATGCAAATATCTTTTCCAGAGCCAGACACTTTGACTTTGGCTGTGGAGAATGCTGAAGAGAAGAAGCAGCGATCTATGTGGGGTTTAACGCGCACACTTATCAATAACGCGGTCGTTGGAATGACGGAGGGTTTCACTGTGCCTCTATACTTGGTTGGTGTGGGATACAGAGCTGTGCTCGAGGATGATCCAAGAGGCACAACAGATGGAGGAAATGGTCAACGGTTGAACATGAAACTTGGATTCTCGCATACCGTTTTTGTGTCTATCCCATCTTACATCAAAGCCGAAGTGCCTTCACCGACAAAAATTGTTTTGAGCTGCACGGATAAACACCTGTTAGGTCTCTTTGCTGCTAAAGTCAGGAAGTGGCGACCACCAGAGCCATATAAGGGCAAGGTTCGTACATTGGTATGCTCATACAGTCTTTGGTAGACTGAACATCTGTTTTTTAGGGCGTGTTCATTGGAAACGAGCAAATACGTATTAAAGCTGTTAAAAAGAAATAATATGCTACAATGGGGCGCATTTTTGGAGATTACCGCGCACTAATTCACTCAATCATGCTTCAAGGACCTGTAACACTGGCCATCTTCGAGTGCCTTAGATTGGGTATCATTAATGACTCTTCATAGATCACTACGGACTTGTCCCGTTGAATATCACGGTTCGTGTGCGTCAACATGGCTTACTATTACCAATGGGAGGAATGCTATCAATAGGCGAAAGTACTTGCGAGCTCCTGACACAACAGTATAGAGCTTATAGAGGTGTCGACCTGATATTGTGATATCATACTACGATTGTACGGTCTGATGCTAGTTCATGAGTGATTCAGTCATTGAGAAATGAGTGTACTTGTACCTAACCATAAACCGAAGCTGGCTGGGCGGCAACTCCGAGTAAATTACCTTTTTTGGTCGCTGCCCTCCGCCGTGCCGGTGAGCGACCGTAACTGCCAGACTCCTCAGCTGTACTCGTCTGCGTAGTTTCCAAGCGCAATTTGTCCCAGTATACTTGCTCCCGTCCTTTCATTTACACAGTCATGTCGTCAGACTTATGTCCTCCGTATGCGCCTTTCTTTGGTTTTGCAGGTGTTGCCTCCGCCGTGAGTTTTCCATCAGGCCTTTTTGACAAGTTTACTCGGCTCACCTTGGAGTAGATGATATTCAGCAGTATGAGCTTATTTTTTCAGTATAGCTTGCGCCATGATCACTAATCGGATTGTATTTGTATCTAGCGGTTGGCGCTGCTTTTGGGACGTCGAAGGCTGGGATAGGCATTGCAGGGCTAGGGAGCTTTAAGCCAGAGTTGATCATGAAGGTACGTCTACGACACACCAGAGTCCTAGTCATGCAACTGTTGCAAATGTGTATTAATCATTGCATTGTCTCACAGTCTCTGGTCCCTGTGGTTATGTCTGGTATCATTGCAGTGTACGGCCTGGTAGTCTCCGTTCTTATTGCAGGATCACGTCCGTTATTGTTTCCCTACCCATACTGCTATGCATACTTACATCTAGACATGTCCAGTCCATCCATCAAAAGACTACCCACTTGCCGCTGGCTTCATTCACCTTGGTGCGGGCATTTCATGTGGTGCGACAGGTATTGCAGCAGGTTACGCCATTGGCATTGTGGGTGATGCTGTAAGTTCCATGTCTTATAAAATATCACGAGTCACAAGATTCTAATCACACTTTCTGGTAATCTCATCAAGTGTGTGCGAGCCTACGTTCACCAACAACGTGTATTCGTTTCTATGGTCCTTATTCTCATCTTCGCAGAAGTTTTGGGTCTTTATGGGTATGCCTTATTCCATCAATGTCTGCTGATTTATTTTCTGATTATACTACTCATAAAGCCTCATTGTTGCCTTGCTGATGAATACGAGAGTTACGGGCCTTGCGGCATGCATTTGAATTTTGCTACCCTCGCTGTGTACTCGTACATATATCCTTCCCGGAAAACTATAATAATCATTGATTTCAGAATTCTTTGTGAGGACACAATGCGATGCTTACATTTGACCAAACATATTATGAACATGCATCCTTCATCTCCTTTGTATTTTCATCTTGTGGGTCTTCGGCCCCTAGAAGAGGCCGATTCACCAGACGATGAGCTTGAAACAGAGCGACTGCGACTATCCCGACGAGGAACCCGTCTTCTTCTGTCACGCTCTCGGGATCGAGACGACTCTGAGTCAGAGTCGGAAGAGCTCGAATCTGAATCCGAGTCCGAGTTCGAGATGGATGATATTGAATCAGAACCTGAAGAGCTTGACGAGCTACCCGACCTGCCATGTCGTTGAGCAACACTGTCTTCTCAAACTGAAGTAACTCGGTTAGACCCACCTTTTAGCCTTCTTCCTTGCCTTGTCTTTGCCTTCAGCTTGACCACCCTCCCTCTCCTTTTCCTTTGCTTCTAATATTCGATTCGCAGTCCCGCTTCTTCATAACACAATGACCATGAGCATCGTCACACAACTGAATAGATAAAAACACAGCTTACTTCGTCTTAAATTCCTCGGGAACTTCTACAGAGGGTTTGCCTTCTGCTTTCATCTTTGCGAGCACCTTTGGGTTCTCAAGTTGTTGCGTGCGTGACGGCCGTGAGACGTACGGTCGAGTCGACTTGCATTCGAAAATGAAATGGCCTGCAATCCTTTACTGTCAGTATTAGCGCCTGCATTGTAACCTGGCCGATAATTACCTGTGCCGAGGCATTTTTGGCAAATGGTGGAGGAGGATGAACGAGGATTGCTGTTTGCGCTGCGATGAGGTGCGTATTTCGACATTTTCTGTTGTCTAGCCTAAATATCGGTACGATTGTCAGAGGAGAGAGCTACTTCAAAAGTATCCGAGTCAATGTCGATGCGCACTGGCAGCTGCAAGGCTGAGATCGCTGGGACTCAAAAAGGGGGGCGCGGGAAAAGACACCGTTGCTCAGGTAATCATCCAAAAATGGGCAGTCCAAGTATAAAGGTCTATTCAGCTGCCATGAGGACTTGTAGGTCCATATCTGTGCAATGGCGCCTGCTTTTGGGGTTCTAGCCACAGATTATCATACCTGACCTGTTTCTGCCATGGGAGGTCGGGCATTCCTTCAGACGCTACCGCCCAACTCTTTCCCCCGTTTGCATCCAAAGCTATACAACGCAGTGAAAGAGCGTCTTTTACAGGTTCTACCTGAACTGTATGGATGCGTCGAGGTGCCGCCAGAGGCACCTGAGAAATTGGATCATGGTGATCTAGACTTTGTCGTTGCCCTTCCTCTTAACCTTGAATCTCCCGCGACGACTGAAGATGTTAAGAACGCACTGGGCGCCACTGCAGCGATCACGCTGGAGGGAAATAGAATGTCAAACTATGCGGTGCCGCTGGACAAAAATGAATTGAGGTTACTCCTAGATTTGAATGCGTCTGCTCAAGAGGCAGCTGATGATCTAGGATGACCTGTATACGTCCAGATAGATGTTCAAGTCTGCGACAGCAAGGAGCAGGTGGAGAGCATAGTCGTTTTTCATGGGTATGGCGACTTGGGCATCATTTTATTTTCTCTAGCTCAGAGCTATGGGCTGACTCTTTCACCAAAGGGATTAAAAGTAATTTTGTTCCAACGAGTTCATATTCTGTTTCTGATATATTCGTTTCGCGTAGATTGGCAGCCCCCGTCCAGATCCACCTGTACACCTAACATCATCACCGACCGCAATATTGGACTTCTTTGGTCTATCCATGGAAATTTGGAAAAAAGGATTCACGACGCAGCAGGCTGTTTTTGAGTTTGTCGCGAGCTCAAGGCTCTTTAATCCTCACAGATTAGAAAAGCCTAGTAAGCCATCGCAGAAAAAAGTAATTGATACTCGGAATATGTACCGCGATTTCCTCCTGTGGGCTCATGAGCAGCCCTCGGCGCCAAACGCGCCTTGTGGCGAGGACGATGTGGTCACAGAAGCTCTCGTTAAATTCAGCAAGAAAGAGGAGTGGGATGCTATGGCGAAGGAACGATACGAGCGCGCTTGGATTAAAGAGAATTTTAACGGAAAACTCGTTGCAGAGTGGACTGGGCTGGGCTGGAGGGGAGTCAAGACACTTATGTACGAAATAAGAAAAGACGTTGGAGGAGAAAGAATGCTTGTTGGCAAGCCAATCGTTGAGCTGAAGCAGCTAACCATCGATACTAAGCATTCATTGGGATTATCCTAACTATTTTTGATTACTCTGACGAATAAGGCCTGGATATTAGGATACATTAATTCTATGGCTGAGCCATGGTTATACATGCAGTCACATCACCAAACATAAGGGACGACTCTTGCTGTCACCTTCCTTTTGTACTCCTGGTATTCCTTTGCTGTCTTTGCATCCGCTTCAATAAATCCCTCCTGCACAAACCGAAATAACAATATCAACGAATGAGCTTTAAGCAACCTCATTGCAACGTACCTCAATCGGCATTTTGATTGCGAATGCTCCAGCTATGACCATCAGTGAGAAGATAGGCACATAAGACCAAGTTATAACGGCAAACAGGGCTTCCTGAAGTAAAACAAGACTAGAAATAGGTACGTGTATTAGACTGGTGCAGCAGTGATCACAAGGAGAGAGTACTACGCACCCATACATAGGGTGACGAACGATGGCGTAAGGACCAGTCTGTACAACCTTTGAGTTTTCTCGACGCTGAGGTTGGTGGAAACCTTATGTCAGGACTATATAAAACTCGAGAGCTGAGATCGGACTTACCCCAATATAATGCCACTGCGATCCCAAGTGCCTCTGTCCAACCGTTCCAATAAAATGCCAAGCTGCCAGGGAAAGTACGCAGGCCGTAATTCTCAGTACAACCTTGTACGATTCTTCCAATTGATAGTCTGGCAGTGCCAGCCTCATCATCCACTCGGGCTGCCTTAATCCGTTGACAACCAACGTGACAATATACACAGCGATTGGAACGAACAACGCAGCGCCGTGGATGGGTGTGACAACCTTGCCTATGAAGGTCGCTGGAAGTGATTGAGGTCGTATGGCGCCACCCTCGGATTTGGCTTGAGATGCCATAGCTCCTTGTTGCCTGAACGACACTACGAAGCCCGCCAGGATGGTTGCAAACATCAGGGATTCTATAGCTCGTGGACTCGGATTGGTGAGATCAATCATTCTGTAGAGTGATCAAAAGTTGGTAGATTTGGATGTAGAACATAATCATTGTTTGCAAGATTTTTATACTTTCTGTGGTCGCAAAGGTCACCATAGCAAAGAGGCCTGCAAAGTAAGCGTCTGACCGTCACCGCATGTGCCAGTGGATTGTAATGTAAGCAACCAGTGCGGTCCTTCACAAAGTTGTTCAAGTATTCACTCAACATTGCGGACCCTATCAGTTATCAGCCTGGTCGGTTAGTAATATGATCGAGAAGAAGACTTGTTTAGGTTTAATTTAAAACTCCGCCAGTTAAATCAGATCCCCCGCCTGCTAAGTGGTAGTCTGGTCAGAGACTGGCTGAGTGGATGCAAGGAAAAATGCATTGGTAACTCAATCATACTGCGGTATCATAGAGTTTGTTCATGTGAAACAAATCTTTGGCTGAGTACTGATACATGTGGTAATCAATGAAAATGTGCCAAAATCTTTAATATAAATGAATACGAAAATATGATGTTATGCTAAAACTTGTTTACATAGTGACAATTCCGAGCGAAATCACTGAACCCCGCTGTGATAGCGTAGCCAGCTTATTTTCACCAGAGCTTTCAGATGATTGCGTTTCAGACTCTCCCTTATCCTGATTCGGAATCTTCTCAGACATTTGTCTGGATCCTCGCCGAGGAGGAGGAGAGAGCGACATGATCTCGGGTGAACTTGGAAGACATTCGGAGATCGAAGGCCTATTAGGGTTACGTGGAGGAAGCTTAGGAATACTGGGAGAAACAGGCGTAACGAGCTGAAGAAAACTAGGATCATTTTGCATCGTGGTAATACGTTCCCCGATTGGAGTCGAAGGTGGAGAATAAGCATCTATCATTGAAGGTATCGATGGTGAATGAGGTGCATAAGCCTCCGGTGGAGGTAAAGGCCCAGCAGAAGGCGTGCTGAGAATACGTAAACGTTGTTTAATGGTTGAAGAACGACTCGATGAATTAGACGAAGGTGGTGGTGGGAGAGGCACAGTAGGAGCTGGAAATGGAGGCGTAATGGGCGTCGGCGACCCAGGGATGGAGTACAAGCTAGGGTTGTTCCCACTGCTTGAGCTCCTACGATGTGTCTTGTAGCCAGGCTCATCAGGACGAGGGGGCAAGTCACTTGAAGGTGGAGGCTTGGGTGCCGTCAGAGACAGCCTTAATGCACGTTGGGCGACTGAATTACGAAAACTTTTTGGAGGGAGTGAGTCATGCCTGGCGAGTGCCTGACTCTCAGAGGGAGCTGGGGGAGGAGCAAACGTTGGGGCTGGTCGCGGAGGCGGCATGGACTGTCTTTTCGTTGACCCAGTGCGAGGAGTGGGCAGGCGTGGACTCGAAGTGCTCACTCCACTCTCGCTGTAAACAGACGAGTCTGATGTACGTTTCCAGAAGTTAGGCGAGAGAGAAGCACCGATCTGAGGGGCAAGACCAGAGTGTTGCGAAGATGTTCTGCTTGGGGGGCGCTCAGCCGCGTATGGATGCGCTTTGAGCCATGAATTAGGTCTGTTAGTGCCATACTGAGGCGTCTGTGCTCGACTCGGAGGGACAGAAGGTGGGGGTCCGGTTGGAGGCGTGAGCTGTTTAGGAATATTTGCCTGCCTCGACCACCGTTTCACAGACGAAGTAGATCTATTCAATATGCTGATCTCGGTGGATGTGTGCGTTGATTCTGACTGGGAGCGATGCGGGCCCGCTCGCGCTGTTCAGGAATTGATGATTGAACAGTCAAAGCAGGGCTTGCGGGGGACTGACTCCTGTCCACAGACGTAGTAGTCTGTATCCCAAAGCTCCCTGCCACACTACGATTCCCATCACTGTGATGGTAAATATGTGGAATGACATCCTGGGACGTAGTGATACTAGGAATGCTCCACAGCTTCTTTCTAGGGGGAGGCTGCAGAGATAGAGACCCGATAGGTAGGGAGTGGCCCTGCGAGCTGCGTGGGCTATCCATCTTAGGGGGAGACTGACGCTCTTTCATAATCTTTATGTCTAGACGTTGGTCCGCAGGCGCTAGAGAAGGCGTTGCTTCTATGATCTTCTTAATAGAAGATGAGAGACTGGGTACAGAAGAAGACGTGGAAGCGGGGTGTGTAGGAGTCATCGATACATCTCCCGTACCATTTGTACGTAACATAGTCAAAAGGTTGTTTCCCATAGCGCCAAACGAGTCTTCCGTTGTGTCTCGGTCCTGATCTATCGAGGTAGAGCGCGAGGAGGACCGTGGGCGAGTACCGAACATGCCCTTAAGAGTGGAGACAGTGTGGGTTGATGACTTTGAGGCTATTGTGGGAGAGCGCGAGGCTTGTTGTAGTGACGTTGGGCGGCTCGCTGGAGGCGATACTGGACGGCCGTGCCCTATATGACTAGTTGGGCGAGAATTTGATTCGGCGCTTGTTGTCTTCTTTGTTGTGGCAGATGATGATGATATGATTCCCTGGAGGCGCATAGACAGCATAACGTCCATATCGCCCCTGGGTTCAACTCCACTGGCTGTATGTGCATGCGCACCCAATCCGGCTCGCATGGACCTAGAGTACAAGCAAGGTTAATCGTCGGGTAAGAAGCCTGGTTACGTGTGAGAAACAGACTGGCCTTTGACTGAATATTGTATTCTTGATTATGCCAATCCACCGCTGAGAATCAGATACGCCTGGAATTTGTAACAGCCATAGAGTTCGACCGGCCTCCTCGTGATTTAGATCCTTCCGCATTGCCCCAACGTCTATTCCGCCGATTTTAATCACGTCCCCACGTCCCGCCACTTCTTCCTCTGCAACAAAAATAACACTATTTTCGTTGATTTCCATCCTCTCCAACTCTTTCTCCTCTAAACTGGATGATTTGAAGAGATGTAAATATGAGACATTCGCGATTTGACCAGATATGATGGGGGACGAAAACACCATGAAACGAGATTTCCATTGCTTTGACAGAGCATAGACAAGAAGCGAAGATGGCGGATAGAACTTTGGCAACGTGATAGACAGCTGAGAAAAGGGTTTAAGAGCAGAAAGAGAGGCCGGAAAAGGGGGTATTGGATAAGCTTGAACCCCAGAATTCGTCCTAGTGTGTGTGAGAGAGTGCGTGTAAGGGCGTACTAGGGGGCCAGTATGATGTGGGCTGGGCATCGTATCGTAGGGCAGAACAGCAGTATCGTATACTGAGTTTTCAGCAGTCAGGGTATCCAAAGCCGCATGTTTACCGTCCGTGATCCCGCCGTCATCGGAAATGAAGTCCTCTTCGTCTTCAAGTATGTCCTCGTCACGAGATTGCGTGCTTTGCAGCAGATCTGGATCAATACCTATGGACTGCGCAGCGGCATCACGCAAGCGCTCGCGTTCTTCGCCCTCTTCGTCTCTGCGAGGCGCGCTTATTTCGATGACCTCTGGCATGATAACAGGCTGAGGGATCTGCTTGACGGATTTGCGCTTTCTACCGAACTTGAAGCCTAGTGCATCGGATGCGGCAAGAAGGAGGCTTGCACGAGGTTTTTTGGTAGGGGTAATGGGAGAGCGGGGAAGAGAAGAGGACTCGTATGATGTGAACGAGGTGGATGGATTATAATGCGTGGATACGAATGGGTCGGCATCTGACTCGTGGACTGAGAACGAAAATAGAAATGGGTGAAACAACGACTGACCGTATCCGAACGAACTCGAGTCTGCACTGTCGAGAGAACGCTCTTTGCCCTTGGCGGATGTGTTTTTGACATGGCTGGACTGTATCGAGGACCTACGTGTCCTTTCTGCAACCCAGGCCCAGGGCTCGAGTGTCTTGCTAATGGTGGCGCTGCGCTGCTGAGACACGGTGCTTGCCTGGGACTGGGACGAGAAACGGATGGGATTGAGAGGAGACGGCCCTGGAGATATTGGGCGTGCAGCTGTCGAGAGCATTCCAGGGAATGAAGAGATGGAAGAATCCTGGCAAAGAAATGAATATACGAAAGGGCCATGGCAGATATCAGAAAGGCGGTGAACCGCGCCCATTCATAGCCTTTGGCTGTTGGGCTGGATGTTGAATCCGTGAGTATGAGAAACAAATGATCCTGACCTTGCAACCGTGCCCGTTGACAAGCCCGGTCTCTGACATTGCACCGGCGTCGTGATGGAAGGAATGCGAAAAGGAAAAGAAAAGGTAAAAGGCAGGAAGACAAGAGGCTGGCACCTGCACTAAGGCATCATTACAGAACCGGCTGTCTCTAATAAGAAGTGTCTACTGACTAACACTTTCGTCTATCTTACCTCGTGCCTCGGGTCCGCACGGGTCATGCCCACTGCATTTTCTAGCTTATTTTACTCGCTCCCCTATCACTCTCAGGCGGAATAGTCACTGATGTATTCATGTCTTCACTTTTATCCTACACCCCCTCCTAATGCCCCTAGCTAGCACCATGAGGCTACTGCATGCGCCTCCAGTCGTCAGGGACATCTTCATAGCTTCAATCTTTCATCCTTCCCTTAAATAGACTTGCAATTGAATCGATGCGAGCAACGCAGAATGGGTACAGAAGAGCCACTCACTGCACCTATACATAGTCGCTTTATGATAGTCTTCCATCAGAATGATGGTTGATGCAAAGTGTGCAATACTGCCATTAATGAATATCCGCGGACCATAGAATACGAACAGTGTGAGCAATACCACAAGGCCACGAGCACTGGAACAGCGCCGGACGGAACACTTGTAAGCAGCATACACCGATAGCGAATAAATATACTTCAAAAAGAAAAAGTCTCCATCATGATGGGTCGTATCCAAGATGATGGAATCACATCAACAGCGCAACCCCGCTGAATAAGTGCGGGTCAGCCGGCCAAACACTCATAAAAAGGAACATCTCTCACACAATCGTCTTTCATCAAGTCGCCGGATGCAACCTCTTATAGGTTCCAAACGGCCCAACAGTTCCCGGAGCTCCGCCCAGCATACCCTTCTTCTTACCAGCCACGCTAGGCGTCATCTTCGGGAGCTCGATCTGTTTGGCTTCATAATGGAACGCGTCCTGCACATCCTCGCCCAGCATACGTCGCAGTACCTGGTTCTCCTTCTCGAGCCTCGCGAGTTCGCACTCACGCTCCAGCGCGAAATCATCTTCTGGCACTGGCTCCACGCTATTCTCAGCTTCTTCAATTATGGGCCGTGCCTCCTCGCCATTTAACGATCGCATCAGTTGACGTAGCGATGTTGACAGCCGCGCCAACGATTCTGACTGTGACGTACTGACGCCAAGGTCCCGAGTGGCATCTTCAAACTCGCGTGAAAGTAGTTTAGATTCATAGTCACGAATCAAGGCTAGTTCGTGCTCTTGCACATCCCGCTAGGAAGGAACAAAGAACAATATTAGGTGCATGCCATCGGAACTAGAGCAAACCCCAGAAAGAGCCAGAAGTAACAAGTCGAGGTGACATACAGCTCGATTACGGAATGCGCTCATCACATTCTCCAGTGTTTGCTCATATTCTTTGATCAGCGAGTTTAGTTGCTTGTTATCGTGTTGGAGGTCGTGGTTCTCGGCAGAGAGAGACGCGTTCATGCATTCGAGCTCGCTCTCATATGCCTCTGCTCGAAATGTTACATGTAAATGACATACACTGAGGAGCATGCATTAAAGACATTGGGCACCTTTGGATTTGTCTAAATTAAACCTAGAGCGTTTGTTACAGAAGATTCACCGGCTCTCCCATGTTCCGAGATGGATAGCGCACATACCTCCTCAAAACAAAGCCCGTCTGCGAATGAACAGCCTGAGTCTAAAATGTCCAACGCCATCATTTAGTCACCATGTTATATAAATCGTTAACACTGAGAAAGTCGTGAAACAGCACGGACCTTTGCTGCGCCGGCCATGCTATGCAACGCAATGGACTCTGACCGATGTTGTGTTAGCTGATCCGACAGCTCCATGATGACATCGAGTATGTCGAGGAGGCCTTGTTCTGTGCTGCCATTGATAACCGCCATTTTGCAGTGGTTTTCGTTAAGATATTGACAACGACGAATGCCAGTGTTTGCGCTGTGGTCTCGGGGCAAACGTCAAGACGGAAAGTGCCGGAATCGGAATTGCTAATAAACGGATGCTTTTACTTCGATCCGGATGGTTGTCCGCCGATTTAATTGACGACCGGCAACTAGGCATAATGGGTTTTCCAGAACATTTCCGTGTTATTCATTATACTACTAGTACAGTATTCGCTTTACAATCTGACAGACAAGCTGGCTGCATTGAATTAGTAGGTTCAAGAGATAGGGCATTCTCGGAAAACCAAGATAGCTAACTTCCTTGCATCCTACATGGGCTTCTACGTCAATAAGGCATACAAAGCGCAATAATCTACCTCACCGTTTATCTTCCAAACCGCGATTGCTACAACCCAACACCTGCATCCAAACACCTGCCACTCCGTCTTCTTCGCATCCAACCTGCATTCCGTTATCCTTCAAAATATAGTATTCTCTTCCTGGAGTTTGCACGATTGCAAGTGCGGGATGTAATGTCCTTCCATCAGCATGAGTAAAGTGCACGCTTTCAACATGATGGTGCCTGTAAACAAATCGTCATACTGTGCACTCCTGAAAGTGTACGAAACACTCACAGAGGGAGATAAAGGTTGATTCGGGGAGAACATGTCTTCACCGCGTTACCTCGAGGCGGAAGCCCCGCGAATTCTTGGGCCATCTGATTAGTAGACATCCACTCCCCGCTGACACTGAGATGGCGGCCAATTAAAAGTCAAACTCGCTGACATAGGCTTGATTGGGAGATCTACCTGTTTGAGACCACAGAGGCCATGATGTACCGCTCAGCTACCTCTCTCTTGATCCGCCCTTCGTCACCTTCGTCCGCAATTCTCTTCAACCATAGCTTACTAACGCCACGGTCGAATTCTTCGCAGTTCGCCCACTTGAGATGATCAATTACAGAACGTTCATTCTCGTAGGTCGTCGACAGTCTGCGAGAAATATAGGCCGACCAATCAGCTCGGAGGTTATATGTTGAAGTACTAGAGCTGGGGTGGGACTGGGGAAGAGGACGGCCGATGACTTCACATGTGGACTCCAAAACGTAGAGCAGAGTTTTTGGTGTAGGCTTCGCGATGTCTGATCGTCGCTCCTTGATAGTAACACTCCATATCTCTCCTTCAACAACCTGTTGGACGTCTTCAACTACACTCTTCGCCCACTTCAGAGGATCTTGCCCAGCCCCACCAATAGAAAGCGTGAACCACAGTCTTGTCGCAATGAATCTACGCATATTACAAACATTCACATGGTTCCTTCATTATAATGTTCACCCACCCACCTGAGTGCAATGACGGTTTGCTGTTCATGGTCAGGGTTGGCCCACAACCGCTCCGACAATGGTGGAAACCCTTGGAAGTATCGACCAATGTATGACTGACTGTATCCTTGTCTCCCGGCCAACTCCTCGGTTTCGCGCTGACGTAGGTACGGCCACATATTCGTCATATTTTGTGGATAACGTTTGGTCACCTCTTCCAATCGGGGGCCAGGATAATTTTGAACGAGTATATGCGCAGCGGAGAGATAAACTTGAAGTACGAGATGGTCAATAACATTATGAATTCACTGAACTTCTCGCACCTGCATAGCGAAACATTCGAGAAACTAGGCTACAACTTTTACGACCATTGTTGGAGACGCCGCTCAGCAATATAGCCCAGACGTGCACGCGTTTCCTATCGGACAGTTTGGGTGGCAAAGTGATATTCTCAAGAGATACTGGCGGAGAAGGAGAAAAGCTCAAGTTATCTTGTCCAGTAGGATGAGAACAATTATCTAATGAGATAAGATCGGCCTGTGTCCCTTCTTGGTTTCGTGGGGAAGTATGACTAGAACGCTGGGCACCAGATCGGGGATAGGTTCCTCGAGATAAGACCAGTGGTTTGAACCGTTTGCGTTTAGTTGATGAAAGATCGGTGATTCCCTTTAAGGGAAGCACGTTCGGTAGTTCGAGGTCATTCGCACCAGAAGCTTGTACTGAATTGACTGGAGCAGGAAAGGGCTCCTTAGTTCGATCAAGAAAAGAAGGCAACTTGGCAGACTTTTTTGTTAACAGGGAACGAATAACGGGGGTGCTTGAGACGTGTTGTTTGGCATGACCTCCCACGTGAGCCTTTGGATCCGTAGTCATTGGCAATCTCGCTCGTTTCAGAATAGTGTCATCGGTTATTTTCGAATCTTCAGTGCGAAGGCGCTTCGACCCTTTAGTACCATCACCTTCAAAGTTGAATATCGTGGTCTTCGATGAATGTATGGTTTCTGGAGGGGGTATAGCAACATTACGAGACAGCTTTTGTTCTCCCCCCACATTACGAGGTGTCACAATAATGGAAGATCGGTCCACTACAGCCCCTAGTACGACTTGTCCGGTGCACGCGTTGTCCACGACAGAGCGCCCCCGCGTATCCTTATCAATTGAAATTTTGGGACTTGAAAAAGCTGCAACTGGGGATATATGCGCCGATGGTAAAGAGGTTTGACCAGTTTTTCTCGCCCCGGTGCTTGAGCAAACCAACGTTGTACCACCAGCTGTCTTTTTTACTGCCGCTGTGGGGGGTACTAGTGGACTGTCCTTGGACTTGTCGCTAAAATCGGTAAGCTTCTGGAGAAGAGCACTTTTTGCCAGTTTCGAGTAGCCAGTGATACGACGTTCTTTGCATAGCGCCTTCAATTGTGGAACTGTAAGTTTAGACAAGACGACCGGAGGAGTTTCTGATGTATTGGCCATGTTTTTGAAAGTGCTGAGGGATATGCTAAGCTAAGAGCGGATAATGCTGGTCAATATTAATGTTGCTGATAGAAACCACTCTTAAAAGACGACAGGAAGACTGTATGCGAAGGGAATTGACAGTGACAGTAAGTCACGGTCGACAGAACTACAAAACCAGATTTGACGTTCGCTGAGTGGCGGGTCAAGACGGGCCGGGACAGTCGTGCACTAGATAAGATTGCAGCCAAATTCACTTCGATACATCGACTGATAACACGTACAAAAATCGAACAACTCCCCCACAAAACATCGAGCACATTGCGAAAAACATGGATATCATATGTCAAGATGCGCGAGCATGAGCCTGTTCCTTTCTTATCCAGTCACCCAACGAAAAATTCACGCCAATCTCCAGCTTCTGCTCTTCCGTTGAGCGTTCACTGAGTGTCCGAGCTTGGGACTTTCGTGGTCTGCGGGTGTTGGCCTGCTTGTTGTTCTTGTTCGCAATGGCACGACTCCATGGGTGGTCGTCTTCCGGAAACCGCGCCTTCATCCACTCAGGAGCCAGACAGCCCCTCAGTTTCAGCTGCGATAAGTAGCACATCACTCAGTAAAAGCAGGGTGAGAATATATCAGTCCTTACCTTCGTGGCTTCGGATTCCTCCTCGCCGTCATCCCGATTTGCGTTTCTTTCTCGAGTTTGAGCAAGAGGTGTGTACATACGTATGATGCTATATGATGACTTTGCGTAAAGATCGTCCATATCAACGTCCTCGTCTTCATCTGCTGATGGCTCAGTTGGTGGTACAATACTATACTCGTGTGATGAAGGTCTGGGCATATTGCGCTGGATCATTGATGTTTGCGGAACGATAGTAGCAGGCTGTGTTACTGTTACTGGTGGATACATTGAAAGTTCTGGTTGACGTGTATCACTGGTCGGACCCAGGGCCTGGTGATCTGGAGGATACTGTCCATCATGGGACGGCCTTGCGATATCACTGGGATAGGGGTGAGGCAATGTCGCCCTGTCTGGTTCATGGATCGATTTATATGATGTGGAACGTGGCAATGATGGGGTTGATGGGACTGAACTGGACAGCCTTATCGAAGAAAACTGCGCTTGGAGAGTGGGCTTGGATGCAAGGACCTTTTCAGGGGCTGCCACCACCGAAGAAGGCTCATCAGGCGCATCAGGCTCCGGATATTTTAGACTCTGTATGTGATAAGTAAGTTATCGAACGGGAAGTCAAAGCAGATATAATATACTTACTTGCATAGACGCTGATCGTTCGCTTGCCACCATGGTAACCGAGGTCTGCCCCGAGCTGCTGCTGCTCATCTCCCGCTGAGCTGGTACCTTCCCCTTGTTCTTCTTACAACGTTTACACACCCACTTCTCTAGCCCATTATCAATATCATGCTCAGTCGTCGCCCTGATACGTTGAATGAGCTCCGCATCTTCGACGGGAGGTACGTGGCAACCTATAAGACAGCAAGCGCGGCCAAAATGAGGACGATAACGTGCGTTTGGTACGAAACGCATGCTTACGATGATGCCAGGCTCTACGACACTCAGAACAGGTGAGCAAGAACGCTGGTGGACCGCTGTGCGATAGATCGCATCTTACACAACTAACCTTTCGCGACATTTTCTCGTAAAGGATGATCAATATATTGGGAGTTGATTGGGTACAAGCAAGGTTAGGGTTACCCCTAGGATATGTTCATTCCCTTGATACATTCAGCATCAGACAGAATTCTATACATACAACTGGACGTGTATCTTTCGAGATTTATCCAGGGTAATCAATACAGATCTGTATCTCGGGATAAAATAGTACACTAAGCCGAAGCCAGTTACACAGCTGATTACAGTTTTTCATGCACTCCCAAACACGCCCTTACTCGCCGTCAGTTCAGCCCCGAGTTTGTAGCCCAGCACCTTTAAAAGTAAAGGAGATCAGTACGAGGGACGGTACATCAACATCATCCAACGTTACCCTGTCCCAGTCAAGTTTCGATCGTGTCATTGGCAACGCGCGTCTGAGCCCTTTGAACGTCTTTTCACCCATCTCATGGTAAGTGTCATTTATCGCTGTCTGATAATTGCTCTCTTCGGCCTCAATGAGAGCGAGTATTTTAGAAGCAGATTGGGCTGGAGAGGAGGTGACTATAGCCTGTGGCAGCGATATAGAATGGTCGTGATGAGTAGCCAGCTGGACCTATAAGGTATCGCATTCGTTAGAGAAGACTCTACGATCAACCGTCGACACGTACATTTCCCTGCTCGTAGTAATGGATATTAACAAGCACCTTGCCTTCCACCTTGTGTTCGCTGAGGTCCACGGTATACTCTGATCGCCATCTCCCAGCCCTAGACACATCTACGCCTCAATTTCCCACATGATCCGTCTAATAAGAACGACTACACACCAGAAGTTGGAAGGATTATACTTGTTGGCTACTATCTGAATGATAAATCGGTTGGTTTCAGGTGCAGAAAACACAGCAGCAACGCCATCGTGGAAATGCGCGCTCAAATAAGCCAGAGTCGACTTTTCTAGTGCTTCCCTATCGTTGAAAATAGTGATCTGATATCAGCAGGATAACAATAAAGAGAACCTTCGTTTACCGTAATGGCTCTGCATCTGCGTCTGGCTCTACACTTTGTGGATCAGACGCTTCCTGCACGAATCAAGGGTAGAGTTAATGCGTAGGAACACTCAAAGAATGCAATGTAGTCTCACTAGACTCAAATGATCAAACCGAAACGACGTCTTCGATCTAGGATCCAAGAATCTCTCCTCCTCATCTTCCCCCACAGCAAGTCTCGCAGCCTCACTGACAACCGTCTATCAACGCAGACATCAACTCCAGTTTCAAAACGATGTTGGACACGAGATCAGATGCATTTACCTGGTGCTGAGTTCCGGGTACCTCTACAGTGATGAACTGCGCAATGTTGTACTCTTTCAACGCAGGTAGGACACCTTCATGCAGGGAATCGTCGTCTGATATGATATTGCGGACATCTAGAGGTGCCAGAGGTCAACGACAGATAACAATGGCAACGAAAGTTTAATTGTGACCATTGAGGACATCGTTGATCTCTCCCGGTGGTGATTGTAAGAGAAAGCTAGATGCTGTCTGAATGCGGTCCACTGGATCCATTGTTGATCGTATCAGGGGGTAAAAGTGTCAAGCAGTATCCAAATTGATGTACGTGTGGTATAGGACCAGTGTCTCAACAGAACGTTGGCAACAGTATGTTTGGATCAGAAAGGAAAGCCTCTTCAAGTTATCCAGCGCAGCGGAACTTCGGCCGGTCAATATAGCGCAACCTGACACTCGTCGGTGGCATCTCACAACTTAAACTTGAAAGCTCAAATAGACTCAAACATAACATACCATGTGAAAAAAAGTTACATATAAAAAGTACAAGATGCGATTGGAAAAAGTATGTAAGTAAGTACAAAATGACACCTATGCAACGTCGACAAGATGACCCAAAGCAAGACCAATTACAATTTCGACTTGAATTGATCCTCAGTGACACCTTTGCCCATTGCTGATGTTGATGATACACCCCCAGTAACAGTTTTGATGAGGTTGTCGGCATAGTCCGCACCACTCCACTGTGGGGAAATCAGCTTCTTGAACATGTCATTGTAAATAAATCTCACCTTTTGGTGGGTCAGAACATCCGTGCCGATTTCCCGTTCTTTTCGTTGCACGAGCTCGACGTAGGCTTTCATACCTTCCTTTGCATACTCCTTCGCGAACAAGTCGCTGATGTATGCATTCGAGTGCAGACCACCGAGCTGTGGTGGGCAATAAATCAGGACACTCATACGCACGACATATATATGTAAGGAGACTCACAGTGATAAACTGCCAGCAGAATCCAAGCTTACCAAGCTCCCACACATAGTTCTTCATGTCATCCGTGCCAAGACCTGCCGCATCCCAGTTGAATGACGGGCTCAAGTTGTAGGCCAACCAGTGGCCTGGTCGTGCAGCGTGCACACCGTAGGCAAATTCTCGCGCCTGGGACAGGATGGGCTTCTTCGTCTCCATCCATAGAGCATCGGCGTATGGTGCATACTCAACAGAGCGTTTGATAGCACACTGTGTTCCACCTTGGTATCGGTAAAAGCCTTCGCGTGTTCGTGGTGAATCCCAGTCCCAGTACGGAACAGTCTTAAGGCCAAACTCAGTCTGAGCAATAGACACAGCTCGGGGATACGAAACGTTGCCAGCTCGCGCAATGAAACTGTCGACGGTGGCCTTGGAAGCACCTTGCTTGGCAATAGCGTTGGCGAGGGTCTCAGAGAAGAGCTGCAGGTTCGCCGAAACAGTCCAAGCATCTTCGATGGCTTGCAAATCATCTCCCGACTTGCCTGCTTTCTCAGCATCCCCCATGACATTAACGAGCGGAGGTAGTGATGGGTTAGTCGAGCCAAGAATGAAAGCATGGTCCCGGTCATCAATGTTGGTCGTGATGAGCGTGGCAGCCTCAGAGTCAGTTCGAGCAATCACGAGGTTCTCAACACCCATGATGTCGAATTGGAGACGAATGGCAACCAGACGGTTGATGTGCTCGGAGATGGGGACGAGCACCTTGCCGGCCATGTGACCACACTTTTTGGTACCAGGTGCTTGATCCTCGATGTGGATGCCAGCGGCACCTTTTTCAACAAACATCTTTGCGAGCTTCATTATAGCAGTGAGACCACCGTGGCCAGTGTCAGCGTCAGCGACGAGGGGACGGAGGTAGTCGATGTAGGGCGTAGCGGCAAGTTCAGCTTCGGACATGTTGGAGCGAGCCTCTCGCTGTTTGCGGTCGTGGAAGAGCTGGGCCATGAACAGATGCTCGACCTTGTTGGGCACAGTGTTGGATGGATAGTCTATAGGACCGACGTCAGCAAGGATGCTGATAGAGCAAGTACATGGTGACTAACCGGCAAGATCTGGGCCAGGCTCGTTTGTGCTCGCTGCAGTACTCGATGATTGCCATCCCGAGACGTAGACAGTCTCAAGATACTTGGCCATTTGCGTAATCTGAACGGGGTCAAGACTACAACCGCCATTAGCCATTCAAGCATTGTACAGGTGTTGGAGGTTACGTACGCTCCATAGGTATGAGAGGGAGTCCCGTTCTTCGCATGTTCGGCGAGGAGTGCGAACAGCTTTTTGCCCTGCAGGCCAGAGGGGTACTTGATAGGGATGGTGCCCCGCTTTGAGACCACTTGAGCAGCGGTATAAGGACGCTTAACTCGAGCGAACCGTGGGCTCTGAAGACCATAGCGTCAGTCACACGAGCCAAATGGCATGCGAACACGAGGGGCTCACCTTGAACCACTGTTCTACTTCGGCGACCTCAGCCTGGAAAGCGGCGCGCTCGCTGTTTGCCATTACGGGAATGCGACGGGGGTGAATGAGAGGAGTAGAGAGAAGATGGTGGTTGATAAAAGAAAAGTATACGGACTGTATTTCATCTTTCACTGGAATTCGAAATTCAGCGAGTCAAGGTGGTCGGACATGTGATTCCACCAATAGCAGCTGTACCCGGCGCAACTGTGCGGAGCAAAGGCCTCTAAGTACGACCGTCGGCTCCCCTTCAAGTACATATCTCGGTGCGCAAGGTTGCAGAATGAGCGGAATGCCGTGCAAGACAAACGACAAGTGGTGCATGATTTACGCGATGCTCGTGATTACGCTCTAACGCCTATGTACACTTACAATGCTATCGGCGTTATACGGACTTTCTGCGGTACAGTACCAGCTCCTGCTCTAGCCCCGCACCAGCCTTGGGTAACCAACAGCGTGCTCATTCACAATCAAACTATTCTTGACCGACGACGAAGCCAGACATACATGTACATGCCCGCTGTAGCAGCGTAAACAGGACACGGTCGTGTTAGTATTAGACCCGTCGGCCGACGCTCATTAACACATGTTGTCTTGTCCGATTAATGCCTGTCGCCATCGTAGACAAGGCCTGCCAACCCATAGCGTACAATGAAAGCCAGCACACTCCCTGCAACCTGCGCGAGAAGTTCGTGTATATCAGCGTATGAACGTACCATTGTCAAAGAAATCGGGTATACATACCTGTGTGCACATAAGTGTCTGAACAAGTCTCTTCTCGTTCATCGGTCCCAGCCGTAAGAGGAAGAAATTGAGGATTGTAAGGTTTGTTGCTTCGAGAACATTTCCTGTCGTTGCATGTATCGTTAGCTCGGTGAGTCGTAGTGTCGATAGCGTTCGAAGAACGAGGGTTGTCAAGTTTGATGGAGGCTTGATGAAGAGGGTTTTTGAGGGATGCAGGAGATTCGTATCAGGGTCAAATCTAAGGTCGAGTTATTTATCTAACCCCGCTACGTTGATGTAAATGAAACTAACCTCGGGACTCGGTGCCTCGGACATGGTACGAGGCCGAAGAGCTGTGGGCATGATAACAAGAAGTTAAAAATCTGGGGTAGAAAGAACAGAAGCAGGGTTTTGGAGAAATGGGCTTGAATTCCGACGACAGAGAAGGCCATTCCAGTGACATAACACAGTGTATCTCCTGGGAACGCACGTGCTGGATACCTTCGTATCATTTCACTGTCAGTGGGGTGCCAACGTGCGTTGGAAGAATGAAACTGACCAATTGTGATACATGAATCCGAGACAAACTCCGACCAAGGGAAGCATGAAATATAGACTGAATAAATGTCTTCCGACGAGTTCTTTGCTGCCGTATGACATCCCAGCGTGTAGGACCCCACCAACTTCTACCTCGGCTTGGCTACCAAGGAGGTGAAGAGGTATACGGAAGTCGATTGGCCATGGGAGATAAAGCAGGTCATTCAGAATGACCGAAAGGGCAATTATCAGTGCCTGGCTAACTTCTGAACCATTTATGCCGGCGAGGATGTTTATGCTATTTGTTGTAAACGTGGAGAGCAGGGACATGTAGACATAATAGAGAGGACCTGCCAAAAATTATCGGCAATCAAACCTAGAACGTGATAACAGCAAGAAATGAATGTAAGAACCTAGATTTACTAGCACGCCAAATATGGACCGCAAAGGAAGAGGGACAACGACATGTGTGTTCCCCCCTTCAGCGTAATAAACCATAAGGAGGGGTATGGATGCAATTATTGGGATTGGTAACTTATGCCGCCATCTAATGTCGAATACATCATCTAGGAATCCTAGCATTGTGGCCATCAGGAGTGAGAGTAGAGATGAGAGGTACATTGCTAGCTGTAGGTTCTATTGTTTAAAGGCGGGCGTTCAAAGGGAGATATTTATTGACCTCATGATGGAGAGAAGCTGTGGCAGTCAAGCCCTCTGGTTCTTGAGGCTTTGCAGAAGATAGATTTGCGACCAAATTCGAGAAAGGAAAGGGGATGAACAAGATCAAGAGCAGAACATAGATTGATGCGCAGGCCAAACCCAGACTCTCTGGTCTGTTCGAGAATACATCGTCAGAGTCTTCCAAATATACCCAGAGTAACTGACATACATTGGATCTGAGTAAATCTTGAGCAAATCCCTGCCCTTGAGGTTTGCCCCCTTGAATGTGGGTCCAAGTGCAGGAACGAGGTATAAAGCAGCTAGAAAAGCATAAATGGAGAAACCAAACGAGGTGTATAGTGCAGGAAGAGGAGGGGCTGGGCTGAGGAGTGGCCGTACCACGAACCAGGATGCAACTGGAATGAGAGAAACAAGCAGAATGGTAGGGAGCGGGCGAGGAGAAAGAGCTTTGGCCATAGCGCGATATGAGTTGCGTTACAAGTTTATAACGGATAGCCTACAACCGCTAAATTTGGCCTACGCTTAAGTCATGTTTGACGAAACATGACGGTCATATACGGACGGCCTACACATGGCATGCCGTTCAAACACTCACGTTCCCACACTGTAAACGAGGTCCAGCCCGTAGCTCTGCCACTGGTGCAATATTTTTTGCTTAATACTGTTAAGTGATCAAAATGTCAGTGAACTTATGCTGTCTGTAATGTATGCTAAGTCTTTGAATCCTATGATGCATGTTTGACATGCTGTTCTGTCCTTGAATGTCCTTATAAGCTTGCCCTAAGCTTGTGCACAGTATACTGAATTCAAGTAAATGGTTCATTGAATCTTTACAAACATCAACATATATTGTAACGTAAAAAGTCTATGGTATTACATTGATAAATTGATGAGAAATAAAAAAGGGACTCCAGAAATGGTAAAGGATGATAATATGATCTGATAACAAAACACTTTAGTAAAAAGGGTGAGAATTGGGGAAAAGTCTACTTGCCAGTCACGGATAAAGCCAGTCAGAATTTATATACCATCTGTCATTTAAACCATGTGGATATAGCACTTTTATTCTCTCTCCTGAAGTGCAGTGAGACAATGCAACATAAAGTTACCCATGTGAAAACACGTAAATCCAGCCCAACCTGTGTCACTGATTGGAATAAAAGCTATCTGTCCTGCATGTTTTCCTCCCAAGACACGGCACTTCAATACTCTTCTCTTCATCTCTATCAAAATCATGCATGTTCCGATACAGAGTCCATTTAGGGTATCAATATTGTGGAGGAGCATAAGTGGATATCCAGCTTTAAGATTGAGGTGTGCTTCAGGAAGGCCAGATACTTGCAAGGAGTTCAAGAATTCCACAGGATAATGTTTATGCCCCTCTCCAACCACTTTATCAATTGACAGAGCTACTAACTCTTCCTCAGGGAGTTTTGTGAGGATTGCTGAATTAAGGTCGCTAAGAGCATCATTTTTTGTGGAGAGGATGGTGCAGTTGTAACAACCAAGAGTTAGTTACTCTGGCGCACTAGAACCAACTATAGAGATGATGATGAGGGAGTGGTTACCCTTTAGACTTCAACAAGTTAGTTGTGAGGATACAACAGGAGGACTCGCTGAGGAGTCTCCTTGATCTATTAGTCTATATATACTACTACAGGTTTGTTTGTACATGTATACTGTACAGTTGATAGAGGCAGTGGCTGATGATGGGGCTTAGCCCGTGTGACCAGCTCCACTGCGTGAGAGACTTGTAGCTAAAATAAGAAGAAAGGCAGCGCAGCACGAGAAAGAGGAGTTTGAACAAAAGGGAAAGTGCCGCATGGCACAATGTGAGAAAACTATAGTAAAAGGTTAAAGAGGAGAATGAAAAGTAAAGGTCCAAAAATGTGTTATTGTAACAGCAGTGGAAGAAATAATGGTCATCTTGGTCTCCATTTGCAATTCCGGGATAGGTAGTGTTGACTAATGAGTCTATGGTGTTTTCTGGCATAAGCATGTTGGTGGGGAGTTCAATAGTTCCATCTCCTGAAATTCCACACCCACTACCAACATCCAGGAGCCAGCTAGCAAATGCTTCACTTTCTGGAGTACGGTCCAGGCACATGTTCTGTGTGAGATAGCAGACATGAATATTTGTCCACAATCATGACCTTCTAAGAGAGGCAGAACTAATGTGTTGCCTTGACCCTCTTGGAACAACAGGTGTTGTTTGGCAGAAGTCCCCTCCAATTACCATTGTAATGCCTCCAAATGGAAGCTGATTATCCAAAATGTCCCGCAATGTACAATCCAATGCTTCAATTCCATAATGTGTTGCATCAGTGCTTCATCCCAGAGAATAACTCTGGTATGTCTCAATGGAGGTCAGAGTTTTTTGGAATCCTGCATGTGGATGTTTCATGTACAGGAATAGGGATTCCAAAGTGTGAATGAGCTCTGCGGCCACCCTCCAAGAGCAGGGATGCAATCTCAGAGGATGCTACACACAGAGCACCATTATGATTATCTCTTGCTCAAACAGCGGCTGCCATTGTATTACAGAGATATGTTTTTCCCCTACCTCCAGCACTGTGAATCAAGCAAGATCTTCTCCAATTATGATGAATTGACTGTATGATGGTATCAAAAGCATTCTGCTGCTCTTGACTGAGCTGCTCTACATTATCTTTTGAGTAATGATAATACAGTTAAGTGATCAAATTTTACTAAGTAAGAAGTCAGTGAACTTGTGCTGTCTGTCCTTATAAGCGTGAGAATTTTCAAAGTGGCTACAATTTTCACTGCACTCGTTACTACTGCACTCTACCTACTCTACTGCTAACCGAAAACCACGCGAGCAAAACTAAGTGAAAAAATGTGCTCCCATGTGTGCCACACACGACTTTTGAGACCACTGTCCCCTTTGTTATAGATGGTATACAGACTAAAGCCAGATATTGTTCACAGCCCGCTGGAATTAATTCATATGGTTCAGATGAACCAAATTATATAGCACGGCCCTCCGGGCAAACCTGGTCCCCCGGTTTGTAATCACACAAGGCCGTGTTATAATTGTAGAACACAAGAGTGTTACAATCATAGAATCATGAAGTAAGGTTTACTATGATGAATACTTAAATATTGTTATAGGTAATACAAAATCATTCAAACTAAAATTTCATTCTTGATAGCTCTATAGTATAGCGTGAGCATGGGTGATAGAGAGTGCAAAATAACCCATACGCAGCCGCAATAATATTCATGAGAGATAAATCTTCCATAGTGACGTGAGTTGGTTTGGTGGAATCTCTTTGGGCGTGTTTAACAATGAGTAACCCCCCCTTCCAGGTAGGGTTACTGAGTAATTGGTGAAAATGGATGTGCAGTAGTTGGTCAAGTAGCGTATTACACTTCCATGGATGAAGTTGGTCAAGATAGAATATAGTGTAGTGATTTGCAAGATATAAACCGCAATTGGACAGGGAGATTGAATGAAGCTGGTAGGATTTGATGAAAGGGGGATGGAATGTCATGGAGTGTAAAGGGTGAGAAGGATGAAAGTAATTGTTGCCATCGACAGATACTCCGTATTCCAAATAGTTGCGGACCAACATTTGGATGGGGATGAGTAGAGCACTATTTCCGGCATAGGTGTCAGTGTCTATGATCATATTGACCTGGCTGTCAATTGGGTCTGCCAGGGGAGGGAAAAACGATAGCGGAGTATTGGTGTTGCCAGCATTGTGAGGTGGAGTAAATGTCCGGTTTGCATGGTACATTGGTTACATGTGCTTATGTAGTAGCAGTACTTGCAACACCATGTGCAGTCATGGTGGAGTGTTTTGATGCCATGAGATGGTCCACCTTTCATGACGTAGGTAGTAGTTGAAGACAAAAGTGGATCGATTTTGTTAGGGATACATGAAGTATTACATAGACAACAAATTGTGAATATAAACAATCAAATGAATATAAAAGCAGTTTTGCTGTATATGACTGATACAGCTTGTAACTCAAACATGGTTTTCTGTTACGATTTGTCTACCTCTATTACGGACTACTCATTTCTCGTTACTCATCGGTTATACCATCGGACCAATGACTCACGTCCCTCACATACACTTCCGCTCCTCTCGCACTTCTATTACCTTGTATAGTACTCAGTCCTCAACGGACAGACCTACCCTAGATAGGACGTAACTCCTATCGCCGACTTACTTCTCTATAAATACGCTTGTAACAGTAGTAGTATTCTCCAATACGATTCTACGCAGTTCACGCTTACAAAGCTAGACTTCTAAGATCAGACTTCCATACGGAAGAAGACCAACAACCGTTGGAATCCCTCTACTCAGAATTACATCCTCGAACTTGTCTTCGGATAAGTCTCTTTGAACAAACTCGACGAACCCTCAGACTTTGTTAAGCACTTTGTGCGTAACAAAATAATTGTATTCCATACCAGAAGTCCCACCTATTTAGGTTTGGGAAGAAAAAGCCGACAATACGTCGCAACGACCGAGAACCAGATCTCAGAGAGCAGGAAGAAGCTCAGACGATTTACAGACACAGACAGCAACACCCCCGACATCGTCCAGACAAGGAAGGATAGCAGCACCACCCCCCTTCCCTCAACCAGACGTCACCCGACTCCACACCAGAGAACAGGCAGACGCATTCTACGAAGCTAGAACACGTTGGCTACAGTTCTACGCGGAAAGTCATCCACAACTAATCCCCAGAACACAACACATC